TGAGAGAGGGGTACACACTGGTGCTTGAGTGTGAGAGAGGGGTACACACTGGTGCTTGAGTGTGAGAGAGGGGTACACACTGGTGCTTGAGTGAGAGAGAGGGGTACACACTGGTGTTTGAGTGTGAGAGAGGGGTACACACTGGTGCTTGAGTGAGAGAGAGGGGTACACACTGGTGTTTGAGTGTGAGAGAGGGGTACACACTGGTGCTTGAGTGAGAGAGAGGGGTACACACTGGTGCTTGAGTGTGAGAGAGGGGTACACACTGGTGCTTGAGTGAGAGAGAGGGGTACACACTGGTGTTTGAGTGTGAGAGAGAGAGGGGTACACACTGGCGCTTGAGTGAGAGAGAGAGAGGGGTACACACTGGTGCTTGAGTGTGAGAGAGAGGGGTACACACTGGTGCTTGAGTGTGAGAGAGGGGTACACACTGGTATTTGAGTGTGAGAGAGAGGGGTACTCACTGGCGCTTGAGTGAGAGAGAGAGAAGGGTACACACTGGTGCTTGAGTGTGAGAGAGAGAGGTGTGTCACAAGTCCTTCACACAAGCCTCCAGACGCAGCCATTATTCCACTCAGTTCCTGAAGGTCAAGATTCCAGGAACAGGAGCTGGCTCACATCCTGTTTTTGTGGTCACCTGAAGGAGGGACTGGACGAGTCATGCTGGTGGGGGGGGGGGAAGGGGGTTCATGACCCCTCCACACCCCCCTCTCTCCTGCCCCTTCCATACCCCCCTCCACTCCTCCCCCCTCTACCCCCTCTCTTTTAGTGACTGCGTGGCCTTGCCAAACATTCGTACGAGGAATTTACTCGCGTGGTGTGTGTGTGTGTGTGTGTGTGTGTGTGTGTGTGTGTGTGTGTGTGTGTGTGTGTGTGTGTGTGTGTGTGTGTGTGTGGGGGTCGGGCGTTAACTCCTGAACCCCGCCTTAACAGTTGCTTGTTGTGTATTGACCAATTACCTCCTGATTCTTATCTCATCTTCATAAAGTATTTATCTATTAGTTTCCGTTATCTCTCCTTCTTTTGTTCATTCCGTTTGTTCACTCTCTTTTTGCTAACGAAGTTCTCTCTAACCTTTCTGTGGCTCTGTGCCACAAGTGCCTATCCCCGTCTTCTCCTCTTCTATATATAGAACATCTTCCCTTAATGAACCACATTAATTTCAATCAGAATCTTAAATGTCGTTATCATGTCTCCTCGTTTCATTTTTTTTTTTTGTAAATGTAGTGAGGTTGAGGTGTCTTTGACTTTCTCCTGTAGTTACTACCCTCGCAGGTCTGGTTCGAGCCTCGTTCCATACCTCTGAACCTTTTCAAGCTTGGGGTTCGATTCTTTAGACAAAGAATCAAAGAAAGAATTGTTCAATTGAACTGTACAAAGAACTGACACAGTAACATTGCCAGAAATTATCAGTTACGTAAGTTCACAGTGTAATCTACATATCAGACACTGGTACTTAAAGAGGAATGTCTATACGCCGATATTACGGGGCTTTAATTGTTACTAACACGTCTTATTTTTAACGAATTGTTCGTTAGACAATGCCAAGCGTTAGAGGAGAACCCTGAATGTGCTCGAACGACCAAGAGGTCATCAGACTGACCTCTGGAGGTCACCGGACTGACCTCTGGTGAGTGCCACTGGAAAAACTTGGTTAGTTTGGTCACTGGAAGGTGAGAGAGAGAAGGGGAGAGAGAGAGAGAGAGAGAGAGAGAGAGAGAGAGAGAGAGAGAGAGAGAGAGAGAGAGAGAGAGAGAGAGAGAGAGAGAGAGAGAGAGAGAGAGAGGGAGAGAGAGAGACCAAGTAAGCATCCAACATGTCCAGCATCAAAACAAGGATGGCCACTCTCAGCATAAACTACCAATCGTCACCCGTCTAGTAAAACCGGTTCATTACGAGTTCTGTCATCGCCAAACACCACCATGTACAACCAATGAGTTTTTTCTTGTAGAAGTAAGATGGTAATTACAAGTACGAGCAAATTATACTTGTTATGCACAATGTTTAATGGTGGTTGCTGGCAACTGTTGCTACACCTTCCAATCATCTCTTCCAGGGAACGTGACGCATCGATGACGTCATGCCGGAACCTCTATCCACGGTGACGCATGTATGACGTGGCGATGACGTCATGAAAGCCCTGTATCCATGGTGATGTCATCCCTCAAACCTGACACTCTCTCTCTCTCTCTCTCTCTCTCTCTCTCTCTCTCTCTCTCTCTCTCTCTCTCTCTCTCTCTCTCTCTCTCTCTCTCTCTCTCTCTCTCTCTCTCTCTCAGAGATCAATGCCTTATTGGTTCATTTTCGCTATATATTATAGTTCGCTACGTCGCTATATATTTATATAGTGCTAACCAGCTTATATATATACTTCTGTCCTCCATGAGCAGGGCTAGAGAGCTGTGAGCCCACAGTTCTTGAACTCACAGACTCACAGATACTGAGGGCTCAATACTAGACAAAAACCGTGTCTGAAGAAAATTACAAGAAGATTATCCCCTGCTTGACGGCCTCACCTTGACAGCTGCAGCCAAGCATGGAAATGCTGTCTTGGACAGGAGGCCACCCGGCGCTCCAGAGGTGTGAGTATCCACCAAGATGCCGGCTTTGACAGGATGTCCTGAATACCTAAATAGCGATGCATTTTTTATTCACTTGATGGATATATATATATATATATATATATATATATATATATATATATATATATATACTTCTGCACTTGTATATTTTATAGAAGGGATGAAAGGGGCAGATATACATTTTAGATAGGTATGGATGGGTAGATATACACGTTAGATAAAGTATAGCAGAGAAGATATACACTTTAGATAAAGTGTGTCAGGGGGGAAAAATGCACGCTTCATATAACGAATGATAATATGAAACTTGTAAAAAACTTTAAATGGCAGACATAATATGAGTTTAGCGTGGCCGTCACCCTGCACCACTTACAGCAGGATGTTCGTCTTTCAGGGAGAGAGACAAGCACACCTCTGGAACAATTTCCTTGGCCAAGGAAGCAGGACAAGATGATTGTTGTGCTATATTTTTTAAAAACCTAAACACCTCAGACAATCTGGAGGCACTCTTCAAGTGTCATAAGAGAGCTCTGGCCTCGGTTTTTTTTTTGGGGGGGGGAATTGTTGGCGTTCGATCTCCGGTTGTCAAAATGGCTGTTTTCCGCTATTTAATTTCGTGACATTTCATCTCTTAGTCTGTCCTCATACTCTGTCCTCATACTCTGTCCTCATATTCTGTCCTCATACTCTGTCCTCATACTCTGTCCTCATACTCTGTCCTCATACTCTGTCCTCATACTCTGTCCTCATACTCTGTCCTCATACTCTGTCCTCATACTCTGTCCTCATACTCTGTTTTCATACGCTATCGCGGCCATTGTTGAGTTAAGTGTACCAAATGTATGTCTCCAATCCTCTGTTTTAACTGCATTTTGAAAATTCAGTTTTTATGACATCAAAATTCAGTTTGTTTGAGTTGTCTCCACCCACTAGAGGGGCGCTCTCTCCGCCCACTAGAGGGGCGCTCTCTCCACCCACTAGAGGGGCGCTCTCTCCACCCACTAGAGGGGCGCTCTCTCCACCCACTAGAGGGGCGCTCTCTCCACCCACTAGAGGGGCGCTCTCTCCACCCACTAGAGGGGCGCTCTCTCCACCCACTAGAGGGGCGCTCTCTCCACCCACTAGAGGGGCGCTCTCTCCACCCACTAGAGGGGCGCTCTCTCCACCCACTAGAGGGGCGCTCTCTCCGAAGTCATGAACAGGACGATCCTAAAGCTCTGAGTGTCCTCGTAGTATGCTTGACTTTGTTATCGACTCATAATTAAGGATCCCGGGTTCTATTCCCGGCCGGGAGTGAGATGGTTAGGGCACTTTTCCTTTCACCTGATGTGGCTGTTCACCTGGCAGTAAATAGGTGCCCGGGAGTTAGGCAACTGTTGTAGGGTTGTATCCTGCAGAGGGTCAGTAGTTCCACCTTATATGGTTCCACCTTGTAGGGAACGAACCCGGCTGTGCCTGGCTATGGACCACGGCCGCTTGCAGTCATTCGTGTATGCCAACCATCTCATTCGACAGTGGGAACTCATCTATTAGACGTTGTAATCACGCCAATGAGAAAAGTACAAATGCTTAAGTTAATCAACTGAATAAACACCATTTTCTAATAATTTTGTACCATTCAGACACAGAAAACGGACATATTGTTAAAATTATTGGCTAACCAATGTAAACCAACATTATTTCATGTTTTTTTTTTTTTTTTTGAGATATATACAAGAGTTGTTACATTCTTGTACAGCCACTAGTACGCGTAGCGTTTCGGGCAAGTCCTTAATCCTATGGTCCCTGGAATACGATCCCCTGCCGCGAAGAATCGTTTTTTCATCCAAGTACACATTTTACTGTTAATTTAAACAGAGGCTACAGTTAAGGAATTGCGCCCAGTAAATCCTCCCCGGCCAGGATACGAACCCATGACATAGCGCTCGCGGAACGCCAGGCGAGTGTCTTACCACTACACCACGGAGACTGTTTATTTCTTCTTGTATATCCCGAATATATTTTCAGTAAGTTAAAATATTTAGCTCATTAATAAACATAGCCTTTTGAAAAAAATGCCATGTTTAGGTCTACACAAGGTCAATTTTGTAATAATCTTGTTAAATTCACCATCATATTTTGTAACCAGTCTTGATCTGATTATCCGAATAAATCTAATAAATCACATTAATTAATTTTTGTACCGGTATATATATCTATTAACGCTGTTTTTTTTAACTGCAATTGTGCATATACAGCTGCTTAAAACGTTAATATATTTGTTAGTATAATCAGTAGGAAAATAACATGTCCTGTACAATAATTCTGAACAGCTGCTTTATTGTTGACATCAAAGTTGTAGAGTAAAGGGAAGCGATGCAACCCGGAAGAACAGGAGGAGGAGGATTAGGAGAAAGAAGAAGAGGAGAAGGATAAAGAGGGGAGCAGAAGGAGAAGGAAGACAGAATAGATCAGGTTGAGAGTGAAGAGAAAGGGGGGGAGAACAGTCCCCTGCTGACTCTTAACTACTTTCATTTCACTGTTCAAAATAATTAGTTGAACATAACTTTGATGTGGGGGAGTAAAGCATGTGAGCACTCGCTGGGAGGGGAGTTGACAGGTGTGTTGACAGGTGTTTTAATATGGTTATTGACATGAGTGTTGGCAGGTGTATGGACCAGTGTTTTGACACTTGTGTTTACAGGTGTGTGTGTGAATGACACGTGTGGGTTGACAGGAGCTATGGAGACTGTAAGGAGAGTTTGAGAAGCAGTCCTTCGCCAGCTACCAGATGCACCTCGTCCAAGAGCACCTCTGACCTGTAGGGAGGCATATGTGTGTTAAAAATTATGTCACATATATCTCTTCAGAAGAGCTGAAGGAACCTGACATCAAATACCTGACATCAAATGAACCTGACATTAAATGAACCTGACATCAAATGAACCTGACATTAAATGAATCTGACATCAAAGGAACCTGACATCAAATGGTACCTGACATCAAAAGGAACCTGACATCACTGGCGTCTGACGTCATAAGAAGCTGACACGAATATGCTGCCACTCACCCAGGCAGCGTGTCAGCGGACGTGTCAGACGAGGAACGGAGGACCACAGTGCCAGATTGAGGGAGTTGAACAGTGGAGTTGAGGCGCAGGTTGACGACAACATCATCCACCGACGTGTTGATGACCAGCATGTACGAGTCGGCACGTTCCACGTACCTGGGGGGTACGAACAGTCTGTCAGTCACTCTCAAGTCGAGTTAAAGGTTTCGGTTGGTGGTGGTAAGTTCGAGCCTCGTCACCCGCTGGAGGGTTTTTGTTTAGGGTGCCACACAATAGGGTGCCACACAATAGGGTGCCACACAATAGGGTGCCACACAATAGGGGTGCCACACAATAGGGGTGCCACACAATAGGGGTGCCACACAATAGGGGTGCCACACAATAGGGTGCCACACAATAGGGTGCCACACAATAGGGGTGCCACACAATAGGGGTGCCACACAATAGGGTGCCACACAATAGGGTGCCACACAATAGGGGTGCCACACAATAGGGGTGCCACACAATAGGGGTGCCACACAATAGGGGTGCCACACAATAGGGGTGCCACACAATAGCTAAAGATCCTAAATTAATTTGTGGTGGCCTAAATTAATTTTTTAAAATTAATTACAGTTTTTAAAGTATCAAGTCTTTATAATACTGCAGGAAGAAAAGCATTTTATGTCTCGTAAATTCAAATGAGAATTTAATTGGCACAAATATTTTAAAAACTAACCTGATGAACGTAAAAATGTTTTTAGTGACCACAGGAAATTGCAGATAACCATCCCTGAAGGCTTCCTGTCCCCGCAACACCGTCAGTTCCTTGAAGATCTTCAGGTGGCTCTGAGGGGCCTCTGATTGGCCCTTCACGTTGAGCGTCTTGTAATTGGGGTTGACGGGAAGCCACGTGCTGTTGCTTGTAGTGAAGCCTGGACGGGGGGGGGGGGAGGGGACGGTAGTTTAGACGGGTAACAACTATAAAGAGCCATGTTTCCTCCCTCTTCTCAGCCCCCGATCACTTGGGGGGTGGACGGTAGAGCGACGGTAGAGCCTCATGCAGGTTCGGTGTTTCAATTCCCCGACCGTCCATAAGTGATTGGGCGCCATTCCTTTCCCACCCCCGTCCCATACCAAATCTTTATTCTGACCCCTTCCAAGTGCCATAAAGTCTTAATGGCTTGGCGCTTTCCCCTGATAATTTACTCCTCTCTTCATAACTTCCCCCCCTTTCCCCTCTCCCCAACAGCTTCCAACTTCCCCTCTCTCACCTCTCCTCCCATTCTCTCCACATCCACCTACTTTCTTTTCCCCCCTCTCTAGCCTATTCCCTTTTTCAAATCTTTCTATCCCTTTTTTTCATAAAAGTATTTGTGTGTACGTCTGATAACATACTACTTGTGAAGGAGGAAGTGTATATGTTTACCTCTCAGAATGTTTGGCAATATGTTTATTTGTGATGTGTGTGTATGTATATATTAACACGTTGTACTGAATGGGGTGAGAATAGCTTGAGCTACCTCATCCCTTTGTGTGTATTTTACCTCATAAACTTATTTCAATTTCAATTTCTATCCCTTTTCTCAGAACATTTAACAATACGAAACACTGGAATTGCTAAATAACTCCATGGAAAGCACAACCTCTATTTCAGACTTTATGGGGGTTGCTATACATGCTGATATTTCTTAATATGTGACACTGGTGTTAGCCCCTACTAGCCTATGACATTCCCATACCCCCAGTGATTCATCTTGGAAAGTTAGGTGGGGCTACGCCTTATGGGGGTTTGGCCTCCATGCTCGGTCAGGCATACAAAACACTTATCTTTAATAGATATAGATATTAATTTATCTGTGAGAAAATACCAATTGTGAATAGAGAGGTTGTCTCTAGGGGTCGACCGTAGCTTGGCCGAGCATACCCAGAAGTTGGGTTTCTTTACAATTTCTTAACAACTTCTTTAAAACCACGTCACCCACCGGCCAGTTTAGTGTCATCCCACTGCATTGGAGTCCTGGCGGGGTCCCTGCTATGGTCCCGGTAGTGGTCGGGTCCCCAGCGGAGTCCCAGGGAGTCCCTCGTCTCATTCCAGGTGATCGCCGTGTCCTCCATACCTGCAGGTATTACCACAAGTCCTATGTACACAGGTTGCTACAACGACGTGAGGGGTAGATAACCAGGTCACTGTTACAGTCTGGATACATAACTAGATGGCCATCATAACATTCGTCACTATTACAATATGGTCCCTATATTAAACAGGAAAGTAGCTGTATGTTTTCCTGATTGACTATAGTGCTTGGGGTCTTCCAGTTCATTGTCCTTATATCCCAGCTCCTTGTTCTCATATCCCTGTTCCTCGTCCTCATATCCCAGCTCCTTGTCCTCATATCCCAGCTCCTTGTTCTCATATCCCAGCTCCTTGTTCTCATATCCCAGCTCCTTGTCCTCATATTCCAGCTCCTTGTCCTCATATCCCAGCTCCTTGTTCTCATATCCCAGCTCCTTGTTCTCATATCCCAGCTCCTTGTCCTCATATTCCAGCTCCTTGTCCTCATATTCTAGCTCCTTGTTTTCATATCCCAGCTCCTTGTTCTCATATCCCAGCTCCTTGTACTCATATCCCAGCTCCTTGTACTCATATCCCAGCTCCTTGTTCTCATATCCCAGCTCCTTGTTCTCATATCCCAGCTCTTTGTTCTCATATCCCAACTCCTTGTCCTCATATCCCTGTTCCTTGTCCTCATATCCCAGCCCCTTGTTCTCATATCCCAGCTCCTTGTCCTCATATCCCAGCTCCTTGTTCTCATATCCCTGTTCCTTATTCTCATATCCCAGCTCCTTGTTCTCATATCCCAGCTCCTTGTTCTCATATCCCAGCTCCTTGTTCTCATATCCCTGTTCCTTGTTCTCATATCCCTGTTCCTTATTCTCATATCCCAGCTCCTTGTTCTCATATCCCAGCTCCTTGTTCTCATATCCCTGTTCCTTGTTCTCATATCCCTGTTCCTTATTCTCATATCCCAGCTCTTTGTTCTCATATCCCAACTCCTTGTCCTCATATCCCTGTTCCTTGTCCTCATATCCCAGCCCCTTGTTCTCATATCCCAGCTCCTTGTCCTCATATCCCAGCTCCTTGTTCTCATATCCCTGTTCCTTATTCTCATATCCCAGCTCCTTGTCCTCATATCCCAGCTCCTTGTCCTCATATATCCCTTCCAAGGCCACATTTCTCCTCATAATTACCTCAGCTCGCTGCCTACAGGAGGGGCGCGAGCAGAGGGCATCACCTACCTATCTCCTCGCCGTAGTAGACAACTGGGGTACCGGGCAGTAGAAGGATCATCATGTTGAGGGCATCTACCAGGTCGGTGCCCACGCGCGTCGCCGTCCGTCTCTGGTCCGCGTTGCCTAACTGGGCAAATATGTTAGTTTATCATTGAATTTTTGTACCGTTTTCTGTGTTTTTTAATGGTAGACTATTTTTGTGGCGTCAGATGTGTATGGAGAGTGTATTCATACGTGGCGTTGAAGTGGCTGTATGTGGTACTGGTGAATGTATGATTGACAGGTTGACGAATGTGTGGGACAGGTGGATGAATGTTAGATCAACTCCCATAATTCAAAGCGAAAACTTTAACCTGTCAAATGTTTAATTGTCAAACATGTGAATACCGAGACCAACTCACCAACCAGTTGGCCCACTTTCCCTTGGGTAGCTTGTCAAGACCAAGGCCAATAATGGACCGTAGAGTTGGGCCAGTCACGTGACTGCGATCCGTTAGACTGTTGATCAGCAAGGAGTTGAGTGGGATGTCGGCCAAGGGGTGAGTAGAGTTACCGTAGTAACTCATTACTGACTCACTATTTTCCCCTGTTGGACTCACCATCAACACCCTGTGTGTGTGAAGTATATGTAATATGCTATATATATATATGTGATGGGATATATTATTTAGTAACAGTAAACAAATATATAAAATGGGGGGATTTTATATTTTAAAAATAATGAGCATAGTTTTATTATTTTTCATTATTCAAGACTTTAAAAAAAATTTGTATATACATGATGTGTTTAATTATGAAAATCAAATTGGTAAATTATTAGTTAGAAACAGCCCTCGTAGTGATAATTGTGTCATTTACAAAATACCTCGTAAAGATTGTAATACATTCTATACGGATCAGACATCTTAAGGATTTGACCTTTCAAATTTCTCAGGTTAAAAATTGGGCCTAAATATTAAAATATTTCTCAGCCTATTTTGTAAACGAAGATTCAATAATATTTCTTTCAGTAACTGATTTACAATCCACAGTTTTTCATGAATTAGTCCAGTCAATGGGATGATTACAATCCCTTAAATGAACAGATAATGGATTGGACTCTTGACCGGTTCTTATACTAGATATGTGTTCTTATATTCTCTGGTCAAGCTGTATAACTGTTTGTATTACAATCTTTACACTGAATGTTATACATACTTCCGTTGCAACTACCTGGGGGAATTTATTAATGATATCAAGATTTCTAAAATGCTACATTGATATTAAATTCTTTTAGTAATATAAAAACTTCATTGACAATGACAAAATTATTGTATTCTTAATATTGAATTCTTCTTTCTTTTTCAAACTAAAAAGAACTATTACGAGCAACTTGCCTGCCTTTATTAATAGATGACTTGGGGATATTTATATTTAATTAAAGAAAATGCATTCTACAAAAAAAATCAAAACTGCTGCATTTTTTTATGGAGTTGCAGAGAGTAAACATTGCATATATATATATATATATATATATATATATATATATATATATATATATATATATATATATATATATATATATATATATATATATATATATATGCGAACAAGCCTGAATGGTCCCCAGGACAATATGCAACTGAATTTGTTATATATATATATATATATATATATATATATATATATATATATATATATATATATATATATATATGAGAGAGAGAGAGAGAGAGAGAGAGAGAGAGAGAGAGAGAGAGAGAGAGAGAGAGAGAGAGAGAGAGAGAGAGAGAGAGAGAGATAGTACTTGGAACGGGTCAAGATAAGAACAAGCAACGTACTCACTTGTTTGGGTACTGATCGAGTACTAAACGCCACTCCCTCAGAACCACCAGCGTCTCAGGATGGTTGGTAGTTAAGGTGTGGTTGAGGTAGTTGTAGTCCCGCGGGTCGTGAGGGCCAGAGGCTGTGGGCTCATCTTGGCTCAGATCTGCCAATAGCCGTCCAAAGATCACAGCCAAGGTAAGGTAATTTACCTGGAGAAAGCGCTAAGCCAGTAGGGGCTATATAGCACTTAGAAGGAATATAAGGACAAGGGGCTGGGTTATGGGGACAAGGAGCTGGGATATGAGGACAAGGGGCTGGAATATGAGGACAAGGAGCTGGGATATGAGGACAAGGAGCTGGGATATGAGGACAAGGGGCTGGAATATGAGGACAAGGGGCTGGAATATGAGGACAAGGAGCTGGGTTATAAGGACAAGGAGCTGGGATATGAGGACAAGGGGCTGGAATATGAGGACAAGGAGCTGGGATATGAGGACAAGGGGCTGGAATATGAGGACAAGGAGCTGGGATATGAGGACAAGGAGCTGGGATATGAGGACAAGGGGCTGGGATATGAGGACAAGGAGCTGGGATATGAGGACAAGGAGCTGGGATATGAGGACAAGGGGCTGGAATATGAGGACAAGGAGCTGGGTTATGAGGACAAGGAGCTGAGATATCAGAACAAGGAGCTGGGATATGAGGACAAGGAGCTGGAATATGAGGACAAGGAGCCGGGATATGAGGACAAGGAGCTGGGTTATGAGGACAAGGAGCTGGGTTATGAGGACAAGGAGCTGGGATATGAGGACAAGGAGCTGGGATATGAGGACAAGGAGCTGGGTTATGAGGACAAGGAGCTGGGTTATGAGGACAAGGAGCCGGGATATGAGGACAAGGAGCTGGGATATGAGGACAAGGAGCTGGGATATGAGGACAAGGGGCTGGGATATGAGGACAAGGAGCTGGGATATGAGGACAAGGAGCTGGGATATGAGGACAAGGAGCTGGGATATGAGGACAAGGAGCTGGGATATGAGGACAAGGAACTAAGATGTGTATAAAGTTACCATAGAGAGAGTTTGCTGTTTAATTTTATTGTCAGTGGGCCCAGTGGAGTACTTTTTCAACCTGTGATATTTTACTGTTTTGTTTAAATAAGTAAACGAGACAAAAGTCCAGCTGTTTTGTTTAGAGAAACAGGAATAAGTAAGTTAGGAAAACGATAACAATCAACAATCATGGAAGCAGCAACAATCACAGAAACAATAACAATCAAGAAAGCATCAATCAGTAATAAAAATAACAGTCAACAATCCATGAAACAGCAACAATCAACAGACAATAAAGCAGGAAGAATCAACAATTAAGAAAGCAGCAACAATCAACAGACAATAAAGCAGGAACAATCAACAATCAGGACAGCAGCAACAATCAAGGAATCACCAACACTCAACAATACAGGAAGTAGCAACAATCATTTACCTTCCGTCTCGAGCAGGTGTGTGAGTGTCTGGACCATAAAGCCGTCCACACCCTTCTCCACCCAGAAGACCAACACTTTCTGGTCAGACAAGGGAGAGAAAGTGTCCAGGTGTTAAGACCAGGTCCAGCAAGATATATAGACGAGACCTCACTCCATTTTCCGACGGACCGAAACGCCGGCACTTGATATATAGTGGTCCAGGACGGACCGAAACGTCGGCACTTGATATATAGTGGTCCAGGACGGACCGAAACGCCGGCACTTGATATATAGTGGTCCAGGACGGACCGAAACGTCGGCACTTGATATATAGTGGTCCAGGACGGACCGAAACGTCGGCACTTGATATATAGTGGTCCAGGACGGACCGAAACGCCGACACTTGATATATAGTGGTCGAGGACGGACCGAAACGTCGGCACTTGATATAATGATCCAGGGCGGACCGAAACGTCGGCACTTGATATAATGATCCAGGACGGACCAAAACGTCGGCACTTGATATAATGATCCAGGACGGACCAAAACGTCGGCACTTGATATAATGATCCACGACGGACCGAAACGCTGGCACTTGATATAATGATCCATGACGGACCGAAACGCTGGCACTTGATATAATGATCCAGGGCGGACCGAAACGTCGGCACTTGATATAATGATCCAGGGCGGACCGAAACGCTGGCACTTGATATATAGTGGTCCAGGACGGACCGAAACGTCGGCTCTTTAGGGTTGGGGTGTCTCGATTTCAGGCCCGTTAATGTGACATGACGAAACTTATTAATGAGGTTTCCAAACATCAGGGGAAAAGGAATCCTCTTCCTCCTTGTTGCAAACATAGAAATTGATGGTTTGCAAGATGCAGGCCCCACAGCAGTTCTCTATCTCCCAGATGACTATAATTGCTGCTAAAGTGAACAGAGGTATCAGGCGTAAGGTCCTCTTAGGATATCTATTGACCTTCACCAGAATGTGCCCTACAACAGTTTCCTAAACCTCTGATACTTATTTACTACTAGGTGAACAGAATCATCAGGTGTAAGTCAAAGGTTTAATTGTAATAGAACAGTTCCAAAATGGCATTAAATGAGTTAACTAACTTGGACAAGTGCAGCTTCTTGAGAAGCCTAAAAAAGTAACTAATCAATCAAAAAACATTAAATCAACTTTCCTTTTTGTGCTCAGAAGGTCGTCTTAATTTAATTAATTTAATTAAATTAACATTACCGTTAATGCTAACCTTCTGTTATCTAACAGATACAAATGCCCTAATCCAACTTAGGATAGCCACCCCTAATACCTCTAATACATCTAAAACCTCTTAAAAATAAACTCTAATACCATGTACCTCCTAATACCATGTACCCACTAATACCTAAGAATCAAATATATATAAAATATATCAATATTTTTATATATCAAATATATCAAGGTATATATACCTTGACTTTTACAAAGTCAAGGTATATATATATAATGTTATTGTCCTTTACACACTCGGCTCATTTAAATATACTTAAAATGAGAGTACAGTTGTTAAATTCAAGAAGGCCTTCGTGAAGCCTTGTTGCAACCTTATCTGGGATTGTCTTGTAATTTTCGGTTGCAAAAGTCATGTCTGCTAAACATATTGGAGTTACACGAGAGAAAGACTAAGAGGTAATAAGATAAGGGAAGATTGGACTGGTTACATGATAATCTTTGTGAGAAAGCAGCCAAAATTCGTTACTTTTGCGGGTGCAAAATCTTCCGGACAGAAAACTGAGGAAAAGAGACTGGGGAATGAGGGCCGTACCCAACCGCTTCCACCGCTGAAGAACGAACACCTGCCCTGATAGATGCGACGCCAGCGTCCTATACCAACCACTCAAAGTGGATAGTTAGAATAATATGACCAGAAGCGATAGAGGATGGGGATAGAAATAACCTAAGCTACTCTATCCCTTTGAGATGTATTTCTTTCTTGCCCCCAATAAACATACTTGAAGCGACAGATGCCATTCTCACCTTCATTTCCTCCCTCAGGAGCGGGTTGCGGTAGTTAAGATCAGGTTCTTCGGCCAAAAACTGGTGGAGGTAGAACTGTCGACGCTTCTCGTTCCACTGCCATGCTGAGCCCTTGTACACGCTCATCTGCAAGACCACCATGCTGTTATTGTTACAAGGACACCATCTTGATATATTGCAAAGGGGGTGTGTTATCATCTTGCTACAGCCTCGTGACCAGCTCTCCACCGAGTCACCAAGCTGATCCCGTTACTTAAATATTTCAGTCCAATGTCACTTATGCAATTATGTGTAAATGATTATCTGTAATATGTGTATAATTAGGTGTATGCCCTATAATTATGCGTAAAACAGTTCAATTATAGTACAACCGTTAATGAATGCATTTTTTGAGGTTTGATTTAATTCCAAGTTACGGTAGAGGGGTGGTTACTGACCCAGTTGTTGGGGGGGACGGGGTTGCCATGGGCGTCGACGCCCTTGGGGTCCGCCCACGTGTAGTAGTCACCGTAGGGCGCCTCGCCCTCCACAGACCTCAAGAACCACTCGTGCTGGTCACTGCTGTGGTTGGGCACTATCTCCAGCACTACCTTCAAGCCTGTGGTTGATGGAGAGGTGGAATGAATAGAGGGAGTTGAAAGTGGAGAGTTGAATGATTAGAGGATTATATCTAGCGCTTAAGGAAAAGATTATATCTGCGGTACAGGTTTCTGTTCACCTGAATGGTTAGGTGAAGTGTAGGTGGATAGAGTGATTTGACTGAAGGATAGTGAGTGGCCAAAATATACAAACCCCTAGGTAACAAGATAGCAACATAGATAGCAATATAGATAGCAACGTATGTGCAACATAGGTGACATAAATAGTAACTGACCTCTCTGGTGGAATGCGGTAATGAGATCATCGAACTCCGCCATGTTACCGAAGACAGGATCGATGTCTGTGAAATTTGAGATATCGAACCCGCTGTCCTTCATGGGTGACTTGTAAATCGGACTGATACATACGATGCCAACACCCAGCTCCTTCAGGTAGTCCGCCTTGGAGGTGATTCCTGCCGGAGAGGGAGGAGATTGGAGTCCCATCACGCAGTGGGAATGTTCCTCTAACTTTGGACTCGAAAGCCAGTTCGTAACCACAAGGGTTACGGACAGACGAAAAATCCGAGCAGTTTCGTGGATTAACGCATTTTTAAGGAGACTTTTTTTTAGCGCTGCGATTTTGTGGTTTCTTGCGCGTAATTGATTCACGGATCCAAGACTAATCTCCGCGCGTAGTGACACGCGAAGACGAATCTCCATGAGTATAGGAGCCCCACGACACATCTATATGGGTGTCGACCTGGCCCCAGAGTTCGTCAGTTTTTACACTTAAGGACTTGTGATAAACAAGATTATAGAGCGCAGTTTGGTGTCGTGTGTGTTACTGATACAGGATTATCTGTGCCTGATTATCTGTGTAAAGAACCTCCATGACAGCTGAGTGCTGGCTGACCGAAGGTCGTCATTATCCCTCCGCCCAGCTAAGTAGTACCTTCCTATATTTAATAATTATGGATAACCGGTAGAATAAATAAAAAACGTTTTGTTAGTGAAAAGTGGATTATTTTATATTTGCTACAAGTAGAGTATTGTTAGATAGGAATATTCAGGGATTTTTGAAAGCGATCCGAGGCGTCGCCAGGCGTCGAGGGACATGGACTCAAAGATGGCAGTGGAAACAAAACATCAGTTTGGCCGCAGGATGCTGCTTCTGGAAACTTTCCTTTTAAGACTCTTCATAGCCCAGTCGATATAGCCACGCCTCACACACGTGGGGACCACGGTTCGAGACCCACACACAATCCAGGTGAATCGAATGGCAGTGGTCGTGCGTGTGGCAGCAGGTCCTTGAAGGAATCGACTTGAGAATGGTCCAGGACGGACCGAAACGTCGTCGTCCCTTCACCTTCTAGTGTGTGGTCTAGTCAACTCCTTGAAGGAACGTTTCTCACAGCCCAGAGTTTCCAGCTAAGCCACTAATTGTATTCTAAATGAAAGCAGATTAACTTTTAGAGTTCCGGTAGAACAGTCAGGGTCGTTCTTGATTGACAATCGCGAATCCCGGGCGGGACAGATATAGATGGGCGCGTTTCCTATCACCTGATGCCACTGTTCACCTAGTGGTAAACAGGTACCAAAGAGATAGTCAACTTGTTGTGGGGTTGTATCCTGGGGGGGGGCAGTAATTCGACGTGTATATATATATATATATATATATATATATATATATATATATATATATATATATATATATATATATATATATATATATATATATATATATAGATATATATACACGTCCTTTGCTGTATGTTTGGCATATTTTAAACCATTTGTTTTTTGTAAAGAAATAGTTCATTGTTTTACAAGTGGAGGAGACAACCCCCCCCCCCCCAAGCCCGTCCTCTCTCGTGACGTCACAGCCAGCAAAACATGTACTAAAACCTCCTCGACCCTAACCTAACCGTTTAACAAACACATAGAACACGTGGATATTCGTGAATAGCTATTGTCTATAGTACATCATATTTTGCCCGTTGGGGATTTTGACCTCAAAATGCGACAAGTTTTTGGATTTTCCACCGATAGTGTTACGTCCCGTTTTCTATACGCAATATTTATCTTAGTTTGTTTAATGTAAAGAGTTAATTTACCTTGATTTCAGTAAGGTCATATTATGCCATTTGTTTAAGTAATGGTATATTCTACCCTTTGTTTAAATACAAGAGGCTCCAGTCATCCAAACCTCCCTCATACGCTAATTACCACAACCTCATATATAATTAATTACGTCTGTGTAACCTAAAACTCATTTCTCATTACCATGTATTGAAGATATTTGCATATTGGAATTATTTATCCAGTGATTATACGCAAACTTTTCAAACGATAAGACGTAGATAATAGTTAGTTCCTATTTAGAATACAAGAGGTTGATAATAGTTAGTTCCTCCACTGAGGTAATAATGTTCTTCTCCTTCTGTTGGTGTCCGACCACTTGGGCTGGACGGTAGAGCGACGGTCTCGCTTCATGCAAGTCGGCGTTCAACCGTCCAACCGATTGTTTCAAGCGCGGGTTGGACATGTATATGAGTGGGATTGGGTGGTTATATATAGGAGCTGCATGGTATGGGCCAATAGGCCTTCTGCAGTTGCCTTTGTTCTTATGTTCTTATGTTCAAGTGTTTGGGCACCATTCCTTTCCCTCCGTCCCATCCCAAATCCTTATCCTGACCCCTTTCCAAATGCTACATAGTCGCAATGGCTTGGCGCTTTACCCCCTGATAGTTAACTTCCTCCTGTTGGTGAAAAATAATTCCACAGGTGCTAAAGTTATATTTATTTACAATATATACATAAAAGCTACATATGTATCACAGGTGCGTCTTCCCTTGATCTTGACTATGTATACACAGGTTCATCACTCAAGCACCTGTCAAGAAATACATCATACATTTTAAACAAACGAGCTACGAGTATTTCCGTTAAGTATTTGTTTAATATTAATACAATTTATAATCTGAGAAATTAATTCAAGATTATGCACATATATATATATATATATATATATATATATATATATATATATATATATATATATATATATATATATATATATATATATATATATATATATATATATATATATATATATATATATAGAGAGAGAGAGAGAGAGAGAGGCAGAGAGCAAGTCACAACAACCTGACTGAACTCTATGAACACAACTCATTCATAATAACTATGTTGTTCTGGACCTTATCACGTGATGACGTGATAAGAGTCAATTATAAACAGCCACCATAACAGCTTACTGACCAACCGGTAAGAATACTTTAGTCCTAAGCAGAGTTCAGGACTAAATTATTATCGCAAACAAGTTCCAACAGGAAATTGAGTCGTTCCAACAGGTAATTAAGTCGTTCCAACAGGTAATTAAGTCGTTCCAACAGGTAATTGAGTCGTTCCAACAGGTAATTAAGTCGTTCTAACAGGTAATTAAGTAGTTCCAACAGGTAATTAAGTCGTTCCAACAGGTAATTAAGTCGTTTCAACAGGTAATTAAGTCGTTCTAACAGGTAATTAAGTCGTTCCAACAGGTAATTAAGTCGTTCCAACAGGTAATTAAGTCGTTCCAACAGGTTATTAAGTAGCACCAACAGGTAATTAAGTCATTCCAACAGGTTATTAAGTAGTACCAACAGGTAATTAAGTCGTTCCAACAGGTAATTAAGTCGTTCCAACAGGTAATTAAGTCGTTCCAACAGGTTATTAAGTAGTACCAACAGGTAATTAAGTCGTTCCAACAGGTTATTAAGTAGTACCAACAGGTAATTAAGTCGCTCCAACAGGTAATTAAGTCGTTCCAACTCCTAATTCCCCCCCCCCGGTGTGGAAGACTCTTTCCACAACAGTTGAGAAGAACACTGCTCTTGGTGTTTTAGATTCAGCTACACGGAACAAAAAAAAGTTGCAAGTAGCACGGGCTATGGCGAGCCCGTAGTGGACTTACCTGGCACAGGAGCGGGGCAAGTAGCACAGGCTATGGTGAGCCCGTAGTGGACTTACCTGGCACAGGAGCGGGGCAAGTAGCACGGGCTATGGTGAGCCCGTAGTGGACTTCCCTGGCACAGGAGCGGGGCAAGTAGCAAGGGCTATGGCGAGCCCGTAGTGGACTTACCTGGCACAGGAGCGGGGCAAGTAGCACAGGCTATGGCGAGCCCGTAGTGGACTTACCTGGCACAGGAGCGGGGCAAGTAGCACGGGCTATGGTGAGCCCGTAGTGGACTTACCTGGCACAGGAGCGGGGCAAGTAGCACGGGCTATGGCGAGCCCGTAGTGGACTTACCTGGCACAGGAGCGGTAAACAACACTGCAATTCGAGTCAACTGAGTGATTGAGATTAGAGAATAAATCACAAAAGAACAACAGAATATTTAAGGGGAAATATTAGAAGCCGTTTTGTAGGTTTTTGAGTAATGCATTTAGTTGGAACTTCTTATATATTATGAGTACTTCTTGAGAATAGGAAGTACTGGGGTCCCTCTATTGTTTCAAGCGCGGGTTGGACAAGTGTATGAGTGGGATTGGGTGGTTATAGATAGGAGCTGCCTCGTATGGGGCAATAGGCCTTCTGCAGTTACCTTTGTTCTTATGTTCTTATAATTTATAAAAAATATAATTTCTCTCGTGCATCTATGTAAATAGGCCTTGTTAATTTCTCAGACTTTAGATTATATTATTTATAAACATATACATAAGTATTCATAGCTTATTTGAGCTTTATGTATAATGTATTTCCTAGCTGATAATTGAATGGCATGACATTAAGGTGTATACTCAAAGAGCTGAAATACCACACATACATACATAGACTTGTATATTTTGACTTTATAAATATATTTAAAATTAGAACACAGTAGAACACGAAACAATGAATATAAATTTAAGTTGAGATTCAGGAAAGCCCTGGGTAAATACTGGCTTGGAAATAGTGGTGTTGATTTATGAGAGAAATTACCGTGTAACATAATATAGGCGTGGGACTGATGTATTGTTTCAAGCGTAGGTAAGACACATATTTGAATGAGTTTGGTTGGATATAAATAGGAGCTGCCTCGTATAGTTTAATGGGAGCTGACTTTCAAGGGCCAATAGGAGCTTCCGTTTCATTTATTCTAATTTTTGTATACGTAACTAATAGAAGTGTGCTAGAAATTCCTTATTTTATAGACCAATTATACAGATCTTTGGAAGATTACTGATTTTTAGATGAGTCTTTATACGTAACCGAAACTAATTATTCACATATTTAACTGAGGTAAAAATCATTACGAAACCTGTACATCTTCCCTCACTCATGGCGGCTATAGCTTACATATATTAAATAGTTTACGAGGTGGGAAGCGCTTGGAAGTTTCTGTAACAATGATAAGTTTGGGTTGTGAAGGATCTCGCAGCGTCTCTAAGGATCTCTTCCTCCCGATTGAGGAAAGATGCAGAGGTTTCGTAAGTGCACATATTATTGCTTGATTAATGCTAGTCTTACCGGCAATGTCCCCTGTTCCATCAGGGTGGACATCGTAGAGGGAGCGAGCGTGGACCTGATGGACAACGCTGGTCTTCCACAGGGGCTCCTCCTCCTCCAAGGGGCGCAATCCGTACCTGTGGGCACACGACTCTCATTACCCAACCAGCCACTGGGAGTCAAGAGGATGTAACGTCGTGTCTAAGGCCTATCACCCGCGGGAAGACCATTAAGGCCTATCACCCGCGGGAAGACCATTAAGGCCTATCACCCGCGGGAAGGCCATTAAGGCCTATCACCCGCGGGAAGACCATTAAGGCCTATCACCCGCGGGAAGGCCATTAAGGCCTATCACCCGCGGGAAGACCTTTAAGGCCTATCACCCGCGGGAAGACCATTAAGGCCTATCACCCGCGGGAAGGCCATTAAGGCCTATCAGCAGAAGGTAAGCTTTGCTTACCATATAAACATTATTTCTTTCCATATTAAGATATCTTTATTTAAATGAACAAATCCACAAGGGCCGTATTTGATGCATCACGCTAGTGTGATCTCTGTGTATAATATTTTTATTTAGTTAACATAGTATTTAATTAAATTGTTAAGTGCATTCTGCATTTGATTTTGCCTTAGATTTTCAAGCAGCATTTGCCGCCTGAAAATCTCTCCCTCAAACATTCAACATTTCATTTCTAAAATGATGTAGTCACTGCCAGACGTAAGATGAAAATAAATAATTTAATTTACCTTACTATTTGTGTTACCCCATTCCAAAAACCATACGAATAAGGTTCAGATCAAACTAATATGATATGGAAATGTCTCTTAAAGGGGGGGCCACTGTGTTTCCAACTCCGATCAGCCTACGACAATCCCATCCCAGCCACGTGTCATCTTGAAAACCTAAATAGTGAAGCTAGCGCTTCAAGCGTCTGTCCGCCATTACTGGACAAACAGGCAGACAGCCACATTCTCTCTTAGACGAAGGAAGGAAGGAATTATCAAGGGAAACCGCCAAGCCATTAATCTCTTAGACGAAGATAAATGATGAAAATTAACATTACGTGGTCCTGAAGCAGACAATGATGATAGCGATGATAGCGGCCAGCAGCAGCAGGACCAAGATGAGCAGCGCCGTGTCCTTCCCCATGGCTTCCTTACTCCTCCTTCAGGGACCTGTGTAGCCTCGAAGGTGTCTTCCGCTCTCGCCTTCTCTGGTGGGGGGAGAATACTGCTTGCAAATCATGTTTCGTTGAGTAAAAACTCCTGACGTAGCCCACTATGCATTAGAGAGAAGATATCATCGTCGTCGCTACGTTAATATCAGCAGTCAGCCAATCAGGATAGACTCTGTTATCTACAGAGCCAATGAGACCTAAACAAGTGGGGATTTCAGCCAATGGGAGATGCCTGCCGTGCATCTGTGGATTAACATTGGTCAGTTTCAACCTGATATAAAGTATTTCTCAAATATATCGTGACAACCACTAAGACGGTTGAGCAAATTATGTTATGAAATGACTTGCAGCTTCGTCGGTACTTAAAGAATATAGTAAATATATTGTCATCCAATAGTAACTAAATAAACATTTTTAACACATGTTAAATCTTCTATTACTTAAGCTATATAAGATGTTAACAAATCAGCTCACTTTAATCAAATCAAAATCTATACATATATATATTAGGTTATTTTTACATTTATTTTCTCAAAAGTAATACCCAGTCAAGTACTCAAAAGTAATAGCCAGTCAAGTACTCAAAAGTAATAGCCAGTCAAGTACTCAAAAGTAATAGCCAGTCAAGTACTCAAAAGTAATACCCAGTCAAGTACTCAAAAGTAATACCCAGTCAAGTACTCAAAAGTAATACCCAGTCAAGTACTCAAAAGTAATAGCCAGTCAAGTACTCAAAAGTAATACCCAGTCAAGTACTCAAAAGTAATAGCCAGTCAAGTACTCAAAAGTAATAGCCAGTCAAGTACTCAAAAGTAATACCCAGTCAAGTACTCAAAAGTAATAGCCAGTCAAGTACTCAAAAGTAATAGCCAGTCAAGTACTCAAAAGTAATAGCCAGTCAAGTACTCAAAAAGTAATAGCCAGTCAAGTACTCAAAAGTAATAGCCAGTCAAGTACTCAAAAGTAATAGTCAGTCAAGTACTCAAAAGTAATACCCAGTCAAGTACTCAAAAGTAATAGCCAGTCAAGTACTCAAAAGTAATAGCCAGTCAAGTACTCAAAAGTAATACCCAGTCAAGTACTCAAAAGTAATAGCCAGTCAAGTACTCAAAAGTAATAGCCAGTCAAGTACTCAAAAGTAATACCCAGTCAAGTACTCAAATAGCAGTGGAAGTACTCAGAAGCAGCAATCAAGCGAGTACTGTTGATAGACAGTACAGGATGCAGAAACCGCTTGAGTTGTATCTTATACTTAAGCATTTCCCCCTCATCATCGTCCAGTTAGTTTTACCTTTAGTTTGACTCGTCACGTGTGTGTGTGTGTGTGTGTGTGTGTAATGCTTCCACCAACAGTCAGCGTGATCAATGACCCCAGATTGTGATGTAAATGCTTGGGTTAATGCATCTGCTGTGGATTTTTGTGTTTGAGGCGTTTTTGAACTCTTCTTGAGTGTTCAAGTCGCTTTTGAACTCTCTAGTCTAGTTTTCAAACACTTTTGAACTCTTAATCAGGTGTTTAAAATCTTGAACACTAAGAGTCCTGAGGCTTCAACTGAAGACTCAGGAACCCTCTAGAGGATTCAGTTAAATCCCAGGTTGCATTGCTGTTTACCATGTCATGGTTAAATGGTCTAAGGGGTGTGCTTGGGTGTACCCAGTGTGCAGGTTCGAATCCTCCACATGGATTCTAATTTTCTCATTGATACATCACGTTAATAGGATTTCTTTGTGAATACAATGTTGACGAATACAATGCAGGTGAATACAATATTGGTGTTCACCTCACACTTGGTCACTCACAGTCGCACCTGGTCACTCACAGTCGCACCTGGTCACTCACAGTCGCACCTGGTCACTCACAGCCACACGTGGTCACTCACAGTCACACCTGGTTACTCTCAGTCACACCTGGTCACTCACAGTCACACCTGGTCACTCACAGCCACACCTGGTCACTCACAGCCACACCTGGTCACTCACAGCCACACCTGGTCACTCTTCACACAGAGGAAGGTGTGGGTGTGGTAGATGAGTCACGCACCCAGCGCAGAATTCATCAAATATTTACGCAACCATTTACGAAACCCGTAGATCTGTTCTCAATGATAGCGGCTTTGTTTACATTTGCATTACCGCACAACGAACCACGAACAACATCGTAACTTAAGAGTCGAGTTACGAGACCTGAAGACAGAACCAGTTCTTAAAAAAACGATTTTCAGTGTTCCTCAGTTTGTAGTATGGAGCGCCAGTCGATTGCAACACCTCCTCCCCCCCTCCCCCCCCCCGCAGGGGTGACATCTTGACATCTTGAGATAATGAGGAGTGATTTGTATATATGATGACGTTGCGTGAACTGATTAGTGAAGCTAGTGAGCTGGGCAGCTATGGCCTTACAGGAACAGATCCACATGGGCCGTGACGAGGATTCGAACCTGCGTCCGGGAGCATCCCAGACACTGCCTTAATCGACTGAGCTACGACAGGGTTAAAAAAGGATTGAAACCGAGGTTCTACTGAACTTACTGGATCCCGTATTTGTTGTTCATTTGATGCATCACGTTAGTGTGATCTCTATGTATGGTCTTACAGGGGTTGATAATTCGCTTGTTCTGATGTTGCTCTCAGCATTAATCCCATCATCCCAGCTCCTCGTCCTCATATCCCAGCTCCTTGGCCTCATATCCCAGCTCCTCGTCCTCATATCCCAGCTCCTTGGCCTCATATCCCAGCTCCTCGTCCTCATATCCCAGCTCCTTGGCCTCATATCCCAGCTCCTCGTCCTCATATCCCAGCTCCTTGGCCTCATATCCCATAGCCTACTCATGACCTACTAGCCTTTGTGCAACTCTCAGTTCACTCTCAAGGGAAGCTGTGTTTCACTCTCAGTGTTGCAGAAACAAGCTTAGTCTTGCACACGCAACATGGTAATATTGCATTTGCAATTTATCTGTTTTTAATGGTGTGCTTTGAACGTCATGTATACCACTTAAAATAAACAGGAATTTATAGTCCGTTGTACTGCACGGAAATGAGACAAGGCATGTTGGTTGCTCTTGTAACATTGTGACATTCACTCCTCAATGTATGTACTTTCTCAACCCATTGGACCTTATTGTATATAAATAAAAATAAATTAAATAAAATCTTAAGATAATAGGGAACAACATCACCCGGTTCAGTGAACAGTGATCACATGCAACGAACAACAAACGGATTTAACAAACATTGAAAGAATTTAACGAACAGTGAATAGATTGCATGAACAGTGAATGGATTAGACTAACAGGAGAATGGATTTAACGAACAAAGAACGGTTCTAACGCACAGTGAATGGATTTAACGAACAAAGAACGGTTCTAACGCACAGTGAATGGATTTAACGAACAAAGAACGGTTCTAACGCACAGTGAATGGATTTAACGAACAATGGGGAAGGCGTAAATGTTTATTATACAAATAGATTATTAGACATAAGTTTCGTAAAAATAAAGTTAATATATATCAGAATAAAATACTATAACAATGGATACCAAATTTTGTTTCAGAAAATAATGGATACAAAATTTTGATTCAGAAAATACCAAGACAAATACTAATTTGGAAACTGGATTGTTGTTTTATAGAACATACTACACGGTGATATAACGGACTTGGAACTGCTGCGTTGTTTCGTGCGCAGGTTAGACAAATATATGAATTTGAGGATAAATAGGAGCTGCCTCGTATGGGCCAATAGGAGCTACCTCACACAGGTCAACAAAAGCTGTTTCGCGTTATCCTATAGGCCTATGCGGCATTGTTGATAAAATGTTGCTAGGCCTAGGCTTTGAATTATCATTGCAGAGGAGAAGCAGTCTATTCGGCCTATCGAAGTCCCTCTTGGGACTAGGCTGAAGACTTAACTTCCCCAGGACGCAACCCTCAACAATTGTCTAGTTCCCAGGAACCTATTTACTGCCAGGTTAACAGAGGCATTAGGTGAAAGAAAACGTGCCCAAACGTCTCCGTCTGGCCGGAAATCAAATCCGGGTCCAGTCGATTGTGAGCAGACTGCTTTAAACTCTCAGTTACGAGTAAACAAGTTCACATAATCAATCGTTTAAGTCCATACATATTTTTCCGCTATGAGGGCGGGGGGGGGGGGGGAAGTCCACTCCCACTCATAGGATGGGTATGGGGGTCCACTCCCACTCACAGGATGGGTATGGGGTCCACTCCCACTCACAGGATGGGTATGGGGTCCACTCCCACTCACAGGATGGGTATGGGGTCCACTCCCACTCACAGGATGGGTATGGGGTCCACTGCCACTCACAGGATGAGTATGGGGTCCACTGCCACTCACAGGATGGGTATGGGATCCACTATCACTCATAGGATGGATATGGGGGTCCACTGCCACTCACAGGATGGCTATAGTGTCCTCTACTACTCATAGGATGGACATTGGATTCATTATCACTCACAGGATGGGTATGGGATCCACTAGCAATCACAGGATGGGTATGGGGTCCACTATCACTCACAGGATGGGTATGGGGTCCACTACCACTCACACCAAACGAACCAATGTATCAGTATGAGCCAAAGGGTCACTCACCACATGGGGGGATATGAAGAATGCTGTAACGACGTGAGTTGGATAGCGAGAGATGAAGTGATAGCGATCCACAGACCTGTGAGGCTGGCGGAGAGTGAGTGTGGGATGAGAGGTACTGGCTGCCTCTAGAACTGCCTCGAGTGGGTGTTCTCTGGCTCCTCATTATACTTTTATATATGGAAATGATATTACATCTTTCAGTGCTGAGGGAGAGGGGGAAGAGGTGGCAGGGGATGGTGATGGGGGTGTAAGAGAGGGGAGAGAGGTGGGTGGTGGTTACGTGTTAGTGACTATAGAGCCAGTTCTAGTTATTTATGCCTCTCCTACTAGCCTTGTTATACCTGTGTTGTATTATAATGCAGTTGTTTTGACTGGCGAATTTTATGTCGAATCTGGTTTTAAAATTGAGAATGAAGGTGGCTTCCAAACCTTCTTCTTTCAGTGCATTACATTTTTTTCACTTTTCTGTATTATTTCCTTTGATTTTGGCAAATTTGCTTTTTCAGCTTCCACCAGTGTCCTCTTGGTTTACTTTCTCCATTTCAAAAAAGCAGTCCTTGTTCATCTTGACAATTCCCCCTTCAGTATCTCGTATGTTACGATCATATTCCCTCTGTTTCCAGGGCTGTGAGGTCCAGTTTCCTTAACCTGTCCTCATAGCTCAACTCTCTTAGCTCTGGCACTAACCTTGTTGCAAATGTTTTTATATTGGTTAAATTTTGGTGCTTCAAACCAAAGCCCCCATTTGTTGCACCAGGTGTGGATTACATGGTAGCGGGGTTTGGCCCGCCTCTCAACCCTTAGTCAACTGGTATATATAGGTTCCAGAACCAATGTGATTGTAGCAGTTGATGGAGTGTGATTGTAGTAGTTGATGGAGTGTGATTGTAGCAGTTGATGGAGTGTGATTTTAGCAGTTGATGGAGTGTGATTGTAGCAGTTGATAGAGTGTGATTGTAGCAGTTGATGGAGTGTGATTGTAGCAGTTGATGGAGTGTGATTGTAGCAGTTGATGGAGTGTGATTGTAGCAGTTGATGGAGTGTGATTGTAGCAGTTGATGGAGTGTGATTGTAGCAGTTGATAGAGTGTGATTGTAGCAGTTGATGGAGTGTGATTGTAGCAGTTGATAGAGTGTGATTGTAGCAGTTGATGGAGTGTGATTGTAGCAGTTGATGGAGTGTGATTGTAGCAGTTGATAGAGTGTGATTGTAGCAGTTGATGGAGTGTGATTGTAGCAGTTGATAGAGTGTGATTGTAGCAGTTGATAGAGTGTGATTGTAGCAGTTGATGGAGTGTGATTGTAGCAGTTGATGGAGTCACAATTTAAGAGACACTAACTTAGGGTTGAGGTGCATTGACAGACATTTTCACCGAGACAGTCTAACCGATATTCTGAGACTGTATCAAGTCAGATCCTCTATTCTGATAACAATATCGCTATTTTTTCCATATGTTAGAACTGTATCCATGTTTATATAAAAAAAATGGATTGAAGAATCGTCTGAAATTTGACCAGTGGGAGTGTGAGAGGGAGAGAGAGAGGAGACAAAGTGGGAGGGAAAGGGGAAAGTGAGGGGGTAAGAGGGAGAGTTGTAAAGCCCGAAAACGAAGCTAACATAAAAATAAATGAACTGTAAAAGCCCTGATGACAGGTAGACAATGCAAGCAGAAAAGGGAGGAGAAATGCGACAAGAAAATTAGGATACGAGAAACAAAAAGTGACATAAGAAGATGGGAAGAAAAGAGGTAGAAGGAGAGCTGAGAGAGAGTCACAAAGCTGAGACAGATCGCACTATTGACCATAGTAACATAGTCACATAAGGTCACACAAGGTCACACAAGGTCACATAAGGTCACACAAGGTCACACAAGGTCACATAAGGGGTCCAGGACAGACCCAACGTCGTCACTTGTTACAGGGCCTTGTTCTCTGCCTGTGACCATTCACTCAACTGCATCACAAGCATTAACCAATACCAAGTATAAGACATTATCATGGCAATGATTATTCAATCATGATGAATTACTCATCTCGAGCACATGACTGTGCAACCCTAATGTCCTGTTAACATTGCAAGAGTGCCGTCATTGCACTGAACACCACATTGCCCAACGCTAAAATCCGTGTCAGTCACTCAATTAACAATATCATTGGGACAAAAGTACGCCCAAATTAGTCGAACCGCTTGGATTGGTTGGTAGGGCCAGGGTTCTTGCAGGTCAGGGGGGGGGGGTTCGATCCCCGATGGTTCAAGCGGTTGGGCACTTATCGTTCTATCCCAGCTCCTTGTCAAATCAAATCAAACATTTATTCAGGCACAGTACATACATACAAGGTGAGATACAAAACATTGATGGATTTATAGATAGAGCTAGTACATACAATGCCTAAAGCCACTATTACGCAAAGCGTTTCGGACTTGTCTTCATATCCCAACTCCTCGTCCTCATATCCGAGGTCCTCGTCCTCATATCCCAGTTCCTTGGCCTCATATCTCAGTTCCTCGGCCTCATATCTCAGTTCCTTGGCCTCATATCCCAGTTCCTTGGCCTCATATCCCAACTCCTCGTCCTCATATCCCAGCTCCTCGTCCTCATATCCCAGCTCCTTGGCCTCATATCCCAGCTCCTCGTCCTCATATCCCAGCTCCTTGGCCTCATATCCCAGCTCCTCGTCCTCATATCCCAGCTCCTTGGCCTCATATCCCAGCTCCTCGTCCTCATATCCCAGCTCCTCGTCCTCATATCCCAGCTCCTTGGCCTCATATCCCAGCTCCTTGGCCTCATATCCCAGCTCCTCGTCCTCATATCCCAGTTCCTTGGCCTCATATCCCAACTCCTCGTCCTCATATCCCAGCTCCTCGTCCTCATATCCCAGCTCCTTGGCCTCATATCCCAGCTCCTCGTCCTCATATCCCAGCTCCTCGTCCTCATATCCCAACTCCTCGTCCTCATATCCCAGCTCCTCGTCCTCATATCCCAGCTCCTCGTCCTCATATCCCAGCTCCTTGGCCTCATATCCCAGCTCCTCGTCCTCATATCCCAGCTCCTTGGCCTCATATCCCAGCTCCTCGTCCTCATATCCCAGCTCCTCGTCCTCATATCCCAGCTCCTCGTCCTCATATCCCAGCTCCTTGGCCTCATATCCCAGCTCCTTGGCCTCATATCCCAGCTCCTTGGCCTCATATCCCAGCTCCTTGTCCTCATATCCCAGCTCCTCGTCCTCATATCCCAGCTCCTTGTCCTCATATCCCAGCTCCTCGTCCTCATATCCCAGCTCCTCGTCCTCATATCCCAGCTCCTTGTCCTCATATCCCAGCTCCTCGTCCTCATATCCCAGCTCCTTGGCCTCATATCCCAGCTCCTTGTCCTCATATCCCAGCTCCTTGGCCTCATATCCCAGCTCCTTGTCCTCATATCCCAGCTCCTTGGCCTCATATCCCAGCTCCTTGTCCTCATATCCCTTACAAATGCAATATAGTTGTACCACCTTAACGCTTTCTGTTGATGCTTTACCTTACCTTACCTTTCTCCTTGTAATTATCTTACCTTATCTTTCTCCTAATAGTTACCTTATAATTCTCCTAATACTTACCTCACCTTGCCTTATCTTTTTTTCCTGGCCTTATATCTCACCTCATTGTCATCATATCCCAGCCCTAGCTAGTGTTAATTACCGTATCTTTCTCTTAATAATTACCCCTTACCTTTTTCCTAATAATTATCCTACCTTTCTCTTAATAAATTACCTTACCTTTCTACTCGTAATCACCTTTGCATCCAAATTATAGAGTTCAAGAAAATACATTAATCTTCTTGGACCAAAGACTCCCAAATTCTATCATAGAGTCGTAAGCTTTGCTCTGTGAGTCTTGGAAGTCTTAAAACGTAAACACATATTTACAAAACTCTAAAAACAAACAAAAAATGTCTTTGTCAAGAATGGTGTCGTTAGAGGTGTTTGTAGAAGCAAACTGGTCGTTCAGGGCCTGATTATGGGGTGTATTTTTTGCTTGTTCGACTCGGTGATTTAAATACGCTATGGCCATTAAAGTTTATAAATAAATTTAATTATTAGTAAATTAGATTATAAATGATATAATTTTCAATGTATAATAAGGGTAATTAACTTAGGTGAAAGTTTTTTTCCCTGGGTAAAATAACTTGTGGTAATATTAACGTTGTAAGTTAACAAACAAGATTAAGGTACTGTAACTTGTTGAATTAAAATGACTTGAAGTTTAACATCGTGAGATTAACCTTGTATATTAAACTTGGTAAGGGTAAAAAGGGTAAATTTATTCATGGGTGACTTCCAGAAAGTCTAACAATGGGGACTTACATTGGTGGATGTGCTACCTTGGGTAAATTAACAATATAATACAGTAACATTCTATGAGGTTAACATTGTTTGGCCAAGTGGAAGGGTCCGGTCCGGCCAACGTCGGGCCACAGTAGAATCTATCTTAGACACCCTTTTAATTTAACGTTTTCTCTCACGTCCTTCAATTCCACTTTCTATAAATATTTTAGGACAAACTATACTCAATTTGCCAGAGGGCCGCCACCTCCAGTAGCCATCAACGGAAACAGGACAACGGCTTATCAAAGGTCCCCCTATTATTCCTGAGAATTTTGTTTGTAGCTAATTTTTTTAACTGAAGTACTTTAAATTTAAAATTAAATGAAGTACTGTTTTGGCTTTTTATGGCTTCGGTGGATAGACGATTGAATGAGTTTATCACGTACTGGGTGAAGAAACATCTCTCTCTCTCTCTCTCTCTCTCTCTCTCTCTCTCTCTCTCTCCTTTTCTGTCCTATATTATAATGTTGAAGCTGTTGTGGTTTATTGTTCTCATATCCCTTCTTGTCTTTGAATCCCAGCTCTTTGTCCTCATATTCCAGTCCTTAGTCATGTAGGGACTAGCCGGTCGGCCGAGCGGACAGCACACTGGACTTGTGATCCTGTGGTACTGGGTTCGGTCCCAGGCGCCGGCGAGAAACAATGGGCAGAGTTTCTTTCACCCTATGCCCCTGTTACCTAGTAGTAAAATAGGTACCTAGGTGTTAGTCAGCTGTCACGGGCTGCTTCCTGGGGGTGGAGGCCTGGTCGAGGACCGGGCCGCGGGAACACTAAAAAGACCCGAAATCATCTCAAGATAACCTCAAGATAACCTGTAGGCTGTTGTACTTTATGTGAGTTACACTGGATATCCTAAACAACTTGTCTGAATTTTTATATATATTTAAATATTTAAATATGTATAACTTTACATGTACTGTTAAAGCCGCTGTTGTTTATAAACGGCCTCTTGTTTAGTTATCAATTATTTTCAAAACTTTCAACAATTTAGTTATGTTCCCATATCGCCCTTAATTTGAAGTATTCCCTAATAACACCTGTCTACTTTATCCTTCTTCGTTTCATTTATACGTCCCATAAAAGCTCGTATATCATTTGCAAAATGTCTTGAATAGCTGTTATGTCCGCCAGCCTTCTTGTTAAGTGTTAAGTGTCTATCGCATCACACCTTTAGTTTAGTTCATTTATTATGCACCCCATACCCATCTTGTGGGCGGTAGTGGAAAGGGTTACAGAGGCACATTATGGGCTCAGGGACTGAACCCCACAATTCATTTAGCTAAGCAAGTTACAATCTTGATGAGCTAGTTACAAAATTCAATATACGTCGTCACATCAACAATGGGTTCGAGATCAACCCCAAGCACAGGTTCCAACTTTGATCAACCTTTCTCTTAAGTCATGCCTGAAACGGTGTGTATTAGGGGGCCTTGTGCAAGGGTGTGTCACTACCTGTATCTTTCTCTCTTCACGTGTCACACGTATGTACATTTGTGTATATAAATCAGAGGATAACAGAGTTCCTGCACTCTCACCTGGGAAATTTGTCGCATCTCTACTATAGACACGTTGTTCTCCGCGTCATGGCCTTAGTCCTGGATATTATTTGTATTTGGGTTTTGAATTCCATTGTTCAAAATCAAATGCTGAGCCTTAATATGCCCTATTAAGCCATGGATTCTTCTCTTGCTTCTCATTTGTTCTTTTGGGCCGGGATAAACCTGTTTACTGCCTCATGTATAGTGTGTATGTGGGGGGGGAGGGGATAAACAACATACTTTCTATTGTTATTCACATGAGGAAAAAAAAGAGACTAGAGAGCTAGCTAGGCATATGTGACATACCGCAGGATGGTTTATTATACATGGAGTTTGTACCACATTTTCGCATTAACAGAATACGGAAAACAACGAATGTGGCAACACCCAGGTCGCCTGACAGGAGACCCGGCGCCTGGCAGACGAGTCAGTAAGGTCGAGGCAACGGAAGGGTGAGGGTGTGTCGCTGGAGCCTCTATTATTGAGAGGTGGTACATTGTGTGGTTCATAAGTCGTCAGTCGCGTCCTGCTGAAGTAGTTGGAAAATGTATTCTCGCGGGACGAGGGCGTGTTTGGTGGTGTTGGCGGGGTTGTGTTCCTGGGTTCTGGCTTTTGAGAGGTGAGTGTTATTAGACATGAAAGAGTTTCATGTCCTTAATGTAACGTGGATTAGTTTTGGCTAATTGTTGTACATTGATTTTGTTTCCTCCAGGCAGACACTTACAAGGAAACGTTATACAAGGATGTCCTGTTTATCTTTGGTTGTACGTTGATGAGATTGTATAGCAAGGTTATCATTAACTATGGTCACGTATCTATGCCACTGGCGAGGGGTGTGGAGGGTGACCCCCACCCCACACGAGGGAGGTCACTAACCCCCCTGTAAGTGGGGGGAGTGTGACGGGTGAACCAGCATGACTAACAAGCAGCCCCTGCAAGGTACTAGTAAAGGACCATAAGGATAAGACTAGTTAAACACCTGGAGAGGCTCAGGTATGTAAACAAGGACCAACATGGGTCCAGGGAAGGGAAATCATGCCTAACGAACCTTCTGGAGTTGTATGACATAAACAAAATAGCACAAGACAGAGAAGGTTGGACAAACTGTGTATTTCTGGAGTGCCTAAAGGCTTTGACTCACTTCTCCTCAGCGGACTACTACGTAAACTTGAGAGGCAGGAGCTCGTTCCTGTAGGCACAGACACACACACATTCGGGGGGGGGGGCTGTTAGCTTGGTAGATAGCGCGCAGGACTCGTAATTCTGTGGCGCGGGTTCGATTCCCGCACCAAGGAGAAACATATGGGCAAAGTTTCTTTCACCCTGAATGCTCCTAGCAGTAAATAGGTACCTGGGAGTTAGTCAGCTGTCACGGGCTGCTTCCTGGGGTGTGTGTGGCGTGTGGTGAAAAAAAATAGTTAGTTGACAGTTGAGAGGCGGGGCGGAAGAGCAAAGCTCAACCCCCGCAAACACACACACACACCCACCATGCACTCATATATTCTGTTGACCATATGAGGGCGAGAGAGTAGCTAGTATGGACCAGCAAGCTGTAGAAAATTACTTTCACCGTTTCAAGCTGCTTTGGTGTACACTGGTGTAGCCAAGTTTTGGTGTAGCCAATTATGTCCTTTTATTAATGGGGCCTCTTACGTGGCCATTTACGAGATGTGTATCTCTTACGCGTCCACTTAAGAGATGCCAGGTGTACGTTTTACCTGATATTACAAGGTTTACGAATTCCTAGACGCTATACGAGGTCGTCCTCAACAATAATAGCCTTATGATGAGGACGACCTCGTAGCGCTTCTGAGCTCGTAACCTTATGAGGAGGACGACCTCGTAGCGCTTCTGAGCTCGTAACCTTATGATGAGGACGACCTCGTAGCGCTTCTGAGCTCGTAACCTTATGATGAGGACGACCTCGTAGCGCTTCTGAGCTCGTAACCTTATGATGAGGACGACCTCGTAGCGCTTCTGAGCTCGTAACCTTATGATGAGGACGACCTCGTAGCGCTTCTGAGCTCGTAACCTTATGATGAGGACGACCTCGTAGCGCTTCTGAGCTCGTAACCTTATGATGAGGACGACCTCGTAGCGCTTCTGAGCTCGTAACCTTATGATGAGGACGACCTCGTAGCGCTTCTGAGCTCGTAACCTGATGATAAGGACGACCTCGTAGCGCTTCTGAGCTCGTAACCTTATGATGAGGACAACCTCGTAGCGCTTCTGAGCTCGTAACCTTATGATAAGAATGACCTCGTAGCGCTTCTGAGCTCGTAACCTTATGATGAGAACGACCTCGTAGCGCTTCGGAGCTCGTAACCTTATGATAAGGACGACCTCGTAGCGCTTTGGAGCTCGCAAACTATTTATTAACATTCAAACTAATCACCCACAATCAAGGTTCAGATAAAAGGTAAGTGACTCCATCGATACTTGAAGAATCCCGGGGCGAACCTTCAGATTTTTAGCGTAGACCTTCGTCTCTGTTCCTTCCATATTTCTCGTGCAATACTCCATGCAATACTAACGCCAGGTGACCTTCGTCAGCGCGACGGACGGCGAGGCCCGGGCCCTGCTGGCGGAGTTCGAGGAGGCCGCCGCTAAGGTCTACAACACTGTCATTCTCAAGACCTGGGCCTTCAACACCAACATTACCGACCATAACAGGAAGATTAAAGTAAGATGCGACCCCTTAATATCTTTTTGTTCGTTTTAACACAATATGTTAAACCTCACTTTGTCTTTACAATACATCATCTTGTAAATTGTTGCTTAAATGTCACTTAACCTGGTTTCTAAAATGTAATTTTGGTTTAGATTGCTATATACTGATGTTTAGCAAATCTATAGGAAGAGTTTTTACCTTAAAAACAAAATATAACTTGGCATATACCACATATGTACTTATTAATCAGCCAAATAATGACTACAAGTAATAAGTAATATATGTACTGTTTTGAGCGGGTTGGTTTAGTGCAGTCAGTATTGCAAATCATTTGTTTAAGTTGTTTGGATTAAGTTCTTGACTCTGATAATGGCAATGTCTACGTTCCAGGCTGTTATTGTGACTCTTAAGTAGTTAATGTGGTATTTATACACACTTTATAATTAGGTTTCCGAATGATAAATGTACTGCCGTTTATAAATAAAGTTGTTGAATTGATTTGTTTTGTCTCGCTGTATCCGTTTTTTCTGTATCCTTTTCTTTGGATCCCATTTTCTTTCGGATCGTTTTCTCTTGGAGCAGTTATCTGTGTGTGATGAACAGACGTTCTCACTAGACGTTTCGACTTGAGAATGGTCCAGGACGGACCGAAACGTTGTCGTCCCTTCACCTTCTAGTGTGTGGTCTGGTCATCATACTTTAGCCTCGTTATTGTGACTCATCGCCTGCATATCTGTGAGTGTTTACTTTGGGTCCGATTTCTCTTTGGGTTCATTTCTCATTGGGTCAGTTTTCTCTTTGTCGATCCGTTTTCTGTGCCCGATTTCTCTCTCTGGGTCTTTTTTTTCCTCGTTGGATGTCTTTTGTGATAGTTTACCTGTCTTGGAGTGTTTGTCTTTCAAGGATGTTTGGGGTTTGCAAATCTCTCTTGGTGTAGTTCTCTCTATACTGTTTCGTGCATTCTTGTAAAGTCACTAACTAGCAAACATAGCGTCTCGGGCAGGTCCTTAATCCTAATTTTCCCCGGAATACGATCCGCCAAATCGTTTAACAACCTTGTTAAAGCTGGGTGAACAGAAGCTACAGTTAAGGATTGGCGTCCAATCAATTCTCCCTCGGCCAGGATTCGATGCCAGGTCAAATCGCTTAATTGCGAAGTGCCGGGCAAGTGTCTTATCACTGCGCCACGGAGACTTTGTCAATGGGTGTGACAAAGGACTCACACTCACTCTGTGAGTGTAAGTTTGCATTTAATGTTTTTGTTCCTTAATTATGTTTGCTTTTTACGTCTTTTACGTCTTTTTGCGACTTTTACGTCTAAACTATTCCACTTATTGACAGCACTAACCCTGAAAAAATGTGTGTGTAATTATTTAAGTGTAATTACAGGATGACAATTACCTAAGTGTAATTACAGGATGACAATTACCTAAGTGTAATTACAGGATGACAATTACCTAAGTGTAATTACAGGATGACAATTACCTAAGTGTAATTACAGGATGAGAGCTACGCTCGTGGTGTCCCGTCTTCCCAGTACTCTTTGTCGTATATAACACTTTGAAACTACAAACGGTTTTGGCCTCCACCACCTTCTCACTTAACTTGTTCCAACTTTCTACCACTCTGTAAAAGAAAACTTTCTAATATTTTTTCGGCACTGTTGTTTTCCTTAGCTTGAATCTGTGTCCTCTTGTTTTTCAAGTTGCTGGTTTTAGGAATTCCTCTTTGTCAATTTGCTCGATTCCTGTTATTATTTTGTAAGTCGTGGTCATATCACCCCGTGTGTGTGTGTGTGTGTGTGTTCCTTGCCTTCCTTTGGCTTTCCTGAACAGGGCAAGTATATATTTATTTTTACATAATCTGACCATACTTGACCTTACCTGACCTTTTACGACCTCATTTGACCTTACCTGACCTTTTACGACCTCATTTGACCTTACCTGACCTTGCAGGAGGAAGGGTCGTTGATCGTGAGGAAGTTCAAGGAGGAGTGGAACAACAAGGTCCAGGTCTCTCTGCGTAGTGACCTTAGCCCGGAGACCGCCAGAGCCATGCGTATGGTGAGTTATAGTGATGAGTTAATATAAGTTATGTGATGGTGAGTTATGGTGATGTTGAGTTACAGTGAATCACAATGAGAGTAATTTACCATCTCACCAGAAACGTTTGAAAACAACGAACTGGATGAGGTGCTCGAAACTACTTTAGTCACGCTTCAGTCACCACTACAAATGACAATACAGCCTGACAGGACCCATAGGTGCAGGTAGAGACAGTAGGCCTAGTGGTAACGACATATATACAACCCACCAGTAATTACCAGAAGACCCAGGCAGGAATATGACGATACTGACGGAACAGTAATATACGTCACTCGAGGGACAGCTACAGCTGCTCACGGAATAACGATAATCTTATAATCATAGGCGACTTAAATCACGCGGGAAGTAGATTGGGATGATAGAAACCCGTGTCAAAGCCTTACATAAGAGTAAGTACATAGTAAGTAAATACATGTCAAAGTACATAGTGTGGAACGTTCTGTTGTACAATGTGCAGCACAGATGATTCACAATCAGAAGGTACCAGGTTAGATTCCCACATGGGGAAGAAACGAGTCTGTTTCCTTACACCTGATGCCTTTATTGACATAGCAGCAAATAGGTACATGGGAGTTAGACAGCTGTTGTGGGTTGCCTCCTGGAGCGGGGACTTCGATAAATCTACCTGTCTTCCTGTCACCGATAATGGGGAAACAAGGAACCACACACACACACGGAAAACAAGGTTGCTAGATACCAATGGATTCGAACACAACATATACAAGAGGGAATGCAACAAAGAGGAGAAGATTGACCAACTAGATTAGACCGCGACTTCAGCCATGATGGAGGAGACATTGATGGTCAACAAAACACTCAACCTATTTTCATTGATGCTGTTGACGACACCATCGCAAGAAAGAAAAGCACAAGAGCCCGGAAGAAATGGAGGAAGAGCAGTATAGACGAGGACCGACCTAACTAGAACAGAGAAAAGGTTGAATATGTAATCTATAACCTGCTAGCCTCACCAGAAGGAAAATTTATGTAAATGACCAGGAAATCGTGAAATAAGGTAAATTTTGGAAAATAACAGAGAACTACAGTACTTGGATTGATATAGTGTCAGCGACATAACTAACATTACAGGATCCTCGATGTCAATGTTGACTGGCGATGCAAATTAAGGAGACGAAGCAGAACAGAAGCGTATCCAGCGCCACGTTTATTTTCCCCAAGAGCATGTTCTGATCTCTCCTGAGCGCACAGGGATTAGGTCACTGTCGCTGTTGTGCTAGATTCAGCTACTCGGAACAAAGGTTCCGAAGTAGCACGGGCTACGGTGAGCCCGTTGTGGACTTATCTGGCACAGGAGCAGCGGGGCTGTAACTGTGCCTGTCACTATCGCGGACTGTCAGGAATACGATAGTCCACCCTGCAAGTTTTCTCTGGATTTAGACGCCCACCATTGAAAATGGAAATTATCCCCCAAACCAGAACAACCCAAACTACCATACAGCGCGTTGCCCAGTGACGTCACGATTGACGACGTCGTCGGCCAATAGAAGTACTGGACGGGGGTGACGTCAGGAGGATGGTGGCTTAGGGGGGCAGTGGGTGACCACCTCCCTCAGGAGTAGGTCAGCCATAACCTGTTATTCAACCCGTTCTCGCCCGCGTCTCCAACGTCAAGGAACTGTTGCACTGAAGTGCTTTAACCTAACCTACCAGAGGACCCACAAACAGAAAACGGGACAGTATGTCAATTTCGCGAGCCGCTGTCATTTTCTAGTACGAGAGTTTTAGCCCTTGGGTAAAGTATGTTAAAATGCGACACGCTATTAGGAGGACAAGACTAGTACTAAGTTTATACTAGTATTAAGTTTATACTAAGTACTAGTATTAAGTTTTCATTTGACCCGCGGTCTTATAGTTTCCAAGTGTGATGTGAGTGAATTACTAAGATTTCTGACTAGTTCCTCATTCATATGTCGTATATCACTAAGAACTCTTTGACCCGGCCAGGATTCGAACCCATGCCGTCCAGGATCACCCCTAAACGTGCACAGTACCGTGACCACCGCACCAATGATGTATTGGGTATATGTCGTCCACTGTGCTTTTTGATAGTGTCCAGGTGAATTAACCAAAGGACTGAGACTTAAGTTACAAGGTAACATGACCTTGGAGTGGTTTTTGTGGATTAATGTCTCCACGGCCCGGTCTCTGATCCGGCCTCCTGGATTATGGTCAGATCAACCAGTCTGTTAGACGCCACTGCTCTTCGTCTGCCATATGAATTACTGCATCGGTAATAAGTGTAGAAACTGTGCCCAATCGTTCCATCTTCTGTGGGATTCGAGTCTGCAAGACTGGCCGGAGCAGCCGGGTTGCAGTAATGGGTGTGCGCGCTGCTACAAGTAAGAGCCTGATGAAACACGCTGTAACAAATAAGCCTCGCCCTAGGCTGGGGTATTAAACTAGGAAAACTCTAGAGGCCGCCTTCAGGTAAATCGCTACACCTCTAGATGGCTGTAACACCAGATCAAGGCCGTGGGGAGGGGGGGGGGAATATTGGAGTCTTTCACAAATAAACACAATAGATGGACAGACAGGATACCAAGAGCTGAAGCTCTACCTGGTAAATCATAGTTATCACCGGGTGATCCTCCATACTGTCTGTGGGCTGAACAAGGGTTTTGATGCCAATTATAAATTAAAAACATTTAATTATAATATCTGTTCTCGAGTTTATATTAAATCAAAATACCCGTTACTTGCAGTAATCTGTTGTAAAATTAAAACTATCTATTACGTGGTTTTTAAATACGATAAGTATCTTTTCAAAGAATAATGTAATAAAGGTTGGGGAATGGTATAATTTTTAATTTGATAGCTCACATGTTCAAATGAAAACTAAGTAATCATTACTACTTTCCAGGCATTTCCAGTCCAATTAGATCCAGCGGACTCCAAGAACCTGACAAGTATCTTGACCTCTCTCTCCACCATCTACTCCACGGCCACCGTCTGCCTCACACCGAAGGCAAGTTGCTTTACAAGATTATAAATATCATGCTATGTATCCTCACCAGCCCAATGTACCGTCTTGTATATAACTAAATAAATAAAAAGTGGCTTAACGTCAGGCGAGACGTATAGTGAAGTGTGTGTTGATGTACCACTGTGGAGAGGGGGGCAGGAGGGTTGTGGTGGATGGTCCAGGCTGACGACAATGTAGGAGACGATAAGACGTGTTTGTCGTGTGGGTACATGCCAAGAGAACCGGGGGAACAGCCGGGTAAACGGTGGGTGTAACCTGGTTGACGGTGTGTCACGCCCCTATTTGGGAAACGGTGAGAATAACGTGTTTTCAAACAAAAAACGGGGATGATATTGTTACCTCTTCTCCTGTTCAACCAACCTCCACGCTAAGATAAACAGTAGCAGGAGCCGGGATGCGTTTATGGCACACACCCTCTTTTTGCGTACCAGTTTAATAATTGCCTTTGGTTGTGTCATACGGTGGTACCATTTTGTTTAATCCAATATGTGTCTGCAACAATCATCACTCGACAGCACCACCACAAGAACGGGAGTGAGGGGCAATGGGCACTACACCACCACCACCACCTTTTTAATACTGAGGATTGAGAGGCACAGATGAAGGGAAAGTTTAAAAATGGGAAATAGCGAGTTATGAAAGCAGGTGGGCTGTCCGCCTCGTTTGGGGGGAGGGAGGAGGGAAGCACCCCCCACCTCCCTGCATGAGGAAGGGGGAGATGGGGACAGGGAGGGAACTTGGTAGTAGGAAAGGTTGTGTGTCGGCCAGTTTCACAATTAGGAAAATTCTGTGCAGCAGCGACAGTTATAAAATCCCCTCCCGGACGTGTGGGAGAACGCACGTTGAAGGGTAGTGCTAACGACACTGCCATAGGGACCATTTTCATAAGCTAGTTCGACAGGTGTACGCCGAGGCAACACAAGGGGAGGGGGAGGGAGGGAGAAGCCAAGGTGCGCGTCAAGCTGTAGTCAAAGACAGGAGAGCAACACGGCACCGCCTCCATCCCTATCTTTTGCACAATGACTACATTGCTCACATCAACAAACTACAACATTTAAGGACAATGCAAGAAGGGGAAGAGAGAGGAGAAAGTTTGTGAGCTTTGGGGCTGGGCATGGGAGGAGGGGTGTGGCTTGGAGGAGTTGGGGGGAGGGTTTTATCACCCGTGTCCTCGGGTATTATCGGCAGTTTAATAAAGTTTTTTTTCCATGGGTTTAACTACAAAAGTGTTATTCTTACAATACTTCGAGTTCTGTGTTTCTGTATTCATTCTGTGCTTTATGTCAGTGTTTTATACTGTGTCTGTCTTGTATATTTTGTCTACTACATGCTTTGGTTTTCTTCTACTTTGTAGAAGAAAAGTTCGCTTTTTGTGTTCGCTTTTGTGTGTGCATTTGTATAATTTTTTTTGTTTGTAACCAACATAAACATACAAGTTTATTGCATTTGACAACGCATATTATGCCAAATGTACCCATACTTTTGGCAGTTGTGAGGCGGGACCAAAGAGCCAAAGCTCAACCCCCGCTTTGTGTGTGTTTTACGTAATAAAAATGAACATATTGCATTTTCAAGCTCACCCCCCCCCCCTCCCTCTCCCCATCCGCATAAGTTATCAAGAGCCAAAGACTAACTCACAGTTGATAACCCAGTTTCATCCAGTTCCTTTCTAGTCAGTAATTGAGGTCACTAACCTTTTTTTTCCATTTTCAGAGCTGCGTCAGTTTGGATCCTGACCTGACCAGGAAGATGGCGGAGTCCAGGAACTATGACGAACTCAAATTTATCTGGGAGAGCTGGAGGACTAATGTGTCCAGGAAGGTATGAAATGCCTAATATGGAGGAGAGTATAATGGTGAAGCCAGTATTGTTCAGTATTATCTGTGTATTGTGTGTATGAGGGTGTATGTAGATACTCTGAAGGCGCTACATGACGTTCAGGGAGATGTGGAAGCAAAATGACTTTGATAATTGCAAGACTGAGAAAGAATTCAATGGTCGCATTGTGATGTTATGGTCATACAAATTAGAGGATTCAGATGTATGGCTATCCGTTTCACTCTTTTTACTATCGTGTCTCTGTCCTTCGCTATCCCTCCCCCCTTTCTCTATCTCCCCCAACCCTGCCCTGTTTGGTATGGTGCTGCCACCAATACGTACCGTCTTCACCAGATGCGGCCGCTCTACCTGCAGTACATGGAGCTTGAAAGCTTTGCTAAAGTCAAGGTACACATCACAATCCTTACCACTATCAACTGCCTCAACTATGCTGGAATAAAAAGATAGCAAATTTGTTAAACATGAACGGCCATTTGTAAAACCATGTTGCGACTCATTTATTAATTTTTTTTTTCAAGATGAAGACGAATTGTATTTGTAATTATCGATTCAAGTAACTTTCCCACAATAGACGTCAGGCTAATTAGCCGATAGTTTGACGCAAGTGATCTATCTCCTTTCTTAAAAATTGGTATCACATTAGCAACCTTCCATGACTCTGGCACTCTGCCTGACTCTATTGATTTATTAAATATGGTAGACAGTGGCTCGCAAAGCTCCTCTTTGCATTCTTTAAGCACCCTGGTAAACACTTCATCCAGCCCTGGGGATTTGTTTGGCTTTATTTTTACTATTTGTTTAATTACATCCTCCCTGGTAACTGGTAAACTAGTCAACCTGTCCTCGTCCCCACCCACATAGACTTCTTCGGCTGAAGGCATATTGTTAAGTTCCTCTTTAGTAAATACAGATATAAAATATTTATTAAAAATACTACTCATCTCGTCGTCGTCATCAGTTATTTGAGCTGTCTCAGTTTTTAATGGACCTATCCTTTCACTAGTCTTTGTACGATATAACTGGAAAAAACTTTAGGATTTGTCTTTGCTTGACCTTTATTTACTGCAGCCTTAGCAAGGGCGTCAACTTTATTACGTTCCTGCAGGCCAATTTGAGAAGGAATCCATAACAGTTTTATATTTACCCCCTTGTTAAGTATGCTTATATATTTATGTCTGGCTTCTGAGACAAGCACGTTATTGCTTGATTGCAAACTGTTTATTGCTCGTAGTGAGGAAAGGGAGTCGGAAATAATTAAGCTGTCTATTTCAGTGTTGTCAATAATTTAGAGTGCTACCAGTATTGCTACCAACTCGGCTTGCATTGTGGATGCCCAGTTACTAATTCGTACATTCCTTTGAATTGTGCTGCTTTGGTTTTCTTCTACTTTGTAGAAGAAAAGTTCGCTTTTTGTGTTCGCTTTTGTGTGTGCATTTGTATAATTTTTTTTATGTTTGTAACCAACATAAACATACAAGTTTATTGCATTTGACAACGCATATTATGCCAAATGTACCCATACTTTTGGCAGTTGTGAGGCGGGACCAAAGAGCCAAAGCTCAACCCCCGCTTTGTGTGTGTTTTACGTAATAAAAATGAACATATTGCATTTTCAAGCTCACCCCCCCCCCCTCCCTCTCCCCATCCGCATAAGTTATCAAGAGCCAAAGACTAACTCACAGTTGATAACCCAGTTTCATCCAGTTCCTTTCTAGTCAGTAATTGAGGTCACTAACCTTTTTTTTCCATTTTCAGAGCTGCGTCAGTTTGGATCCTGACCTGACCAGGAAGATGGCGGAGTCCAGGAACTATGACGAACTCAAATTTATCTGGGAGAGCTGGAGGACTAATGTGTCCAGGAAGGTATGAAATGCCTAATATGGAGGAGAGTATAATGGTGAAGCCAGTATTGTTCAGTATTATCTGTGTATTGTGTGTATGAGGGTGTATGTAGATACTCTGAAGGCGCTACATGACGTTCAGGGAGATGTGGAAGCAAAATGACTTTGATAATTGCAAGACTGAGAAAGAATTCAATGGTCGCATTGTGATGTTATGGTCATACAAATTAGAGGATTCAGATGTATGGCTATCCGTTTCACTCTTTTTACTATCGTGTCTCTGTCCTTCGCTATCCCTCCCCCCTTTCTCTATCTCCCCCAACCCTGCCCTGTTTGGTATGGTGCTGCCACCAATACGTACCGTCTTCACCAGATGCGGCCGCTCTACCTGCAGTACATGGAGCTTGCCAACAAGAAGGCTGTACTCAATGATTACACCGATTATGGCGACCAACTTCGTATGCATGTAAGGTGGGGTCATATAGGGGAGGGGAGAAATACCTTATTAACGTAAAGAGACAATGCTTTGATAGTCGGATCACACAGACGGGTCATGCTCCAACCATTTCAGTACGAGACGAAAACGTTCGAGGAGGACATGCTGAACCTCTACAAAGAGTTGGATCCTCTCTACCGTCTCATCCACGCCTTTGTCAGGAAGAGACTTCGCCTCGTCTACCCTCAGGTAAGTCCTCCAGTGTGATGTGGATCTGTTATCGTGAGGGTTGGGTGCATGTCGGTACGCGTAAGATCTGTTATGTTTTGCAGTCAGATGGAATAAATGTTTGTTATTCTTTGACTATAAAGCTAATGGTTGACCCCTTGACCTCTTGCAGATAAAGGCTCGAGGTCACCTGCCAGCCTGCGTACTGGGGGACATGTGGGGAAGGTCAGTGTCTAGCTAAAATTTAATGATAGTGAAATGCCTCCACATTGACTTGGCGCACACCTCCTGACTTGACCAATGTGAGCGACCAGCTGAAACTTAATATTCAGCTGATTTCAATTAATAATAGACAATGGAAACTTCAGTTATGCTTAAGAATATGACTGGCTGTAATTTGCTTCGAGAAGTGGTTCTAAAGTAGTTGAATATAGCGTTTATAGCTGTGTTTACATGTGTACAAATGTGTTGATGGACGTTGAGGGGGGACTAGTCCAACACGAGTCCCCCTTCAACTTGAACCGACAAGTCCAGCAAAACGGTTAAATAAACTCCTAGATAAGCACGTGAACACACTCGTGCATGAACAACTTCTTTAAAGTCTAACACCCTGATAAAAGGAATGATATAGCAGCCTCTAGAAAACCCCCAAATACAACTTGTTAAAAGACTGGCGGAAGAAAATCAGGTCTTGAAATATATAACACAAATTGTGGAGTCATGACGCTCGGGGTATAACTGCCACCCAGGCCATGACTCCCATTGTTATGGGGGAGCTGTACTTCATGTTTGGATCTTGACATTAATGGTCATATAACCTTATGAGGAGTTTTTGCATTTCTGCTCCTTCATTTGGTGTGGTCAAGGAAATATCCATCCCTAGACAGGCCTTGAGGGATGGATATTTCCCATCAGGTCCTATTAGATTACTTTCTCCTACACAGGACTCCCCAGAAATATTGCCCTGATATAATTTAGGTAGTCCACCTGTAGGTTAATCCCTAGCTGCCTCTGCCCCCCCTGACAGGGTTAAGGTGTTGTAGGGTTTGTGTACCTGACCAGCTACACATGACTCCTAACAGTGCAAAGGTGCCTCCCTTCCCCAACAGGTTCTGGACCAGCATATTCCCTCTGGTGACGCCGTATTCTGAGGCGGCGGACATGGACGTAACCAGCGCCATGCTTAAACAGAACTACACTGTGAAGCGAATGTTTACCATGGGAGAGGAGTTCTTTACGTCCATGGGGCTCGAGGTAAGGAGTGACTGGGTGATTTGTAGAGCTTTTCAATTTGGTATATATGATATGCAATTTATTTTCCCTGCTTAATTTTCTTGTTTGGAAGACCTAAACGGTGAAAGTATTTAGGTATCTTTCTATAGTGACAATAACACCCCTATCAAATGAATTTTACGTGCAATGTTTCATCATGGAATTGATGCAAACAGTCATATTACGTCCCAACCGGCCTGGCACAAGCATTGCCATAGTTCCTCCTGAAGGTGCTGCTGATCGCTTAGATGCTGTCCCGTACATTGCCGACGTCACAGTCTTCGGAGATGTGAATTTGAATGCCATCGTCAGCACTGGCCATCCTTCTGTCATCCTCCTTGCCATCCACTTTCAGATTAAGATCAATTTCGATGAGTCTTCTCCCGCCCTCGGTAATTCTTGCTGGTGCAAAGTGTGATGTGAAGAATACGGACGGTGCCACATTCTCAGATTGGTATCTATAATTCTCTTCAATTCACCAAATATACTTGCTAAGACCTGACTCTTTCACAGTTTTCTCATCCACCAGAGGTACTCCTTCCTCGGCTTCCACCAGAGGCACTTACCCCACCCAGAGCCTGACATCTCCTTACTCTCTCTCTCTACAGCCTCTTCCAGCCACCTTCTGGGAGAGATCCATGCTGGAACGGCCCCAGGATGGCCGCAATGTCTCCTGCCACCCCACGGCTTGGGATTTCATTGACGGCAAGGATTTTAGGTACATTCCTTCACGTTCCGTTAATATACTAGTTACTCTAAACGTTCTCGACCTGTGTCGCTAATCCCAGTTCTCGCCACTTGCGTGACCAGACACGTATGAACCCCGTGCATTGCACTTGACCTGTCGAGGCTGATGATCAGAAAACGTAAATATTATGCGGCTTTATTTTTTTACTAATAAGTTTCATTTTTTGTAGATTCCGTAGGAATCACGATGAATTAGATGGACTTTTTTTTTCCTTTTGGGGGGAAAGTCTTCCGTTTTTCTTTATAATGAAAACTATGAGTGTTAATATTGGAACATTTGGGGGGGGGGTAGGGTACAGCCATCAACGCCCATGTCCCTCACTCGCCCATCTTTCTCACTGGACCCATACACCCCCCACACCCATTATGTATGTGTCACTCACAGGTGATGTCTCCAGAGAGTATCTGTTTTCATGAATCTCGTGTACCCAGCAATTGTTATACCAGCGTATTGTAGTGTCTAGTGCAGACTTTAACAAGCATTGATATACTTTTAACAACTCTACATCCTCCTCCTCCTCCACTACAGCATGTCGCTCCTCTGCCTTCTATGGCCACGTATATCAATTTCGTTCAGTTCCATGTCCATTAAAGTATCATAATGGTAATGTAAAGCCAAGATCCTCGCTGAATGTTACTGCGGCTGGTAAAATTACAATGTTTATCTTGCTGCAATTTTTTGTCATTAATGATTTGAGTACCGTATCAAGTGCATGCAATTTTATGAAGCCAGTAATCATATGCAGCCTTTCTGGGATGGTTAATTCAAATTGTAGTTGACCTGCCGAGTGATTACCATAGTAGTTAGACCCTTTACCAGCGCTCTGGCGGTCACCCCCCATCTCTTATCTTGGTGCCATCTTTCTTGACTACACTGTAGTTTAGTCCCTTGTTGCGACCTAATCCTTTGCTTGAAAATCGGTACCGCATTTGCAACACAAAGATCAAAGCCCCCTTGGCTGTATTAATTAAACAGCCCCCGTCTTGCATAACAAAGTTCATCTTTACATTCCTTAACGACCCCTGGCAAATACTTTTTCTTGGCAACTTTGTATTTATTAAACGGGTTAGGAGCTTTTAAAATACTTAATCTTTATAGTGATTAAAATGCGTTCTAAATTTAATCAATGGAAACAAAGCCACAATGAGTGAGATCTACAGGTCTCTTAAGTAGATCCCAAATGCTTGATAAGACGGTGACTGACGACTCGCTCTCTCTCTCAGGATCAAGATGTGCACCGAGGTCAATTTTGACCACCTGGCCACTATCCACCACGAGTTGGGACACATTCAGTACTTTATACAGTACGCTCACCAGCCTCTCACTTACAGGTAGTTACTCACTCACCTCTCGTCAGTTGGTAAGGAAAACGCGGTAAGTCATCTATATCAATAAGAGAGTGTGTGTTCAGGTTGGAGGCCAGATGCTCAGGGCTAGCCTCGCCAATCTTCCTCACATGAAGTGTATATGGGGGTAGGGGTTGTGTCAGACGAGTCGGGTTGAGCACAAGTGAAATGCTTTAAGAAATATTGCCATTCATAGAGATTTCCCCCATGCAATTTTCATAGTCAAATCGGGTATATTGGTTGTTCCCCTAGTTGTTTCAGAGCTTAATGTGGACAGAACTGGTAATCTCTCGCTGCCTGTGACAGCTATCATTGTTCACCCCGTTCTCCTTCCTCCCTCTCCTTCAGTCTCCTATTCCTTCCCTCACCCACTCCTTTACTCATCCCTTATTCTGCCCCCCCCCCTTTCCCCTCTCCTCTCCTCTCTCCTCCCCCCTCTCTCTCTCTCTCTCTCTCTCTCTCTCTCTCTCTCTCTCTCTCTCACCATCCAGTCAGTTCTCTTAATTCTCCTCCATGTCCAACTTCATCTTCGCATCTCCTACAGGGGCGGCGCTAACGATGGCTTCCACGAAGCCATCGGGGAGCTGATGTCCATGTCTATGTCCACACGCAAGCACTTGGCCAAGGTCGGTCTTCTGGAGGATGTTCCCGAGAACACGGGTAAGGATTGCTAAACGTAAAACCGCTCTGAATGCTGCCCTAACCAGTTTAGTTCATTTATTATGTACCCCATACCCATCCTGTGGGCGGTAGTGGGAAGTACACAATGAACTCGGACTGAACCCCAAAATTAATTTGGCTAAGCAAGTTATGGTCTTGATGAGTTAGTTACAAAATTCAATGCACATAGTCACATCAACACTGGCCTCGAGACCAACCACAAGTACAGTTCGAGTCTTTGCTAGGCGTTCCGTGTGGGATGGGTGTTGTTGCGGCGGCGCCATTGAAGGGGGGGGGACCCCCTTCACCCCTATTCCCCGCTCTGAGATCGTGGGTCTGGAATTTTGTGGACTTGCGTCTTGCCTTGCCCTTGAGATGTTCTGATAGATATGCTATGTGTTGGTGTTGTTGATGTGTACGGGCTCCAACTGCTTACCACCCATGGGAAAGTTTAACTCTACTGCTGTCTATAAGGACTTCTTGGCCTGTTACGATGGGCGCTCCTTTCCTCTCCCTGGGGACGGTGGTACTGTCACTATCTCTGACCGGTGCTGCTCCGTCACGTATGTGGCACTACATGGTGTGCCGTTTGAGTTCACGGAGGCCTTGCTTCGACGGTGCTTTGGCCGGTTTGGGACTGTAGTTTCCATCCGGATGAACTGTCTCTTCCGGCAGGTGGCGTGGAGTCTCGTGTGGGACCCGGACTCTCGGCCTGCGGCTCAAGTCTCCTGTTCCCTCCAAAAAAACTTGACGGGCTGCACTATGCGAGCGTTCTACGCAGGGCAGCCTCGTCAATGTTTTCGTTGTAGCCTTGAGGGGCACAAGTGGCCGCTTGTTAATGGGGTGGCGACTGCTCCTGTTAATTTATTTAGAGAACATTATTTCCCTCCGTTGGTGGTGCAGGATCTGTAATCTAGTGATGGTGAGGGTGGGGAGGTTTCCCCGCCGCCTGCTGGGTCGGTGGATAAGAGTGGTGGTGTGTACGGCCCCGCCCCTACGGTCATCATCTACGCTTCCGAAGGGTTCTTCACCCATACGGGCCTCTTCTATTCCGGCCGTATCATCGTCGTCGCGAGCTCCCTCGCCTGTGCGGGTCCCTCCTCTACCACCTGCCGCGCCTGTTCTCCTGTTCCGGTGTCCTAGGTGGGTGGCGGCCTCATCCCCAGCGTCGATGAGGCTGACGTTCTGTGTGGTCGTGCTCCCTCGGCTTTGGGGCGGCCGGCCGAAGGCTCTTCTCGGGCGTCACCTGCAGGGGGGTGACGGCTCCGACGATCAGCGGCCTGTCCCTAAGCGCTCTCGTCAGGATAGGGATGAGTCGACTCCCCGTGCGTGGGCTGATGAATGCGAAAGATGTGGATGACGATTCTGTGGGTGGCCCCTGTGCTGCCTCCTGTGTTGGATCCGGCGCCTCCTGCTGGTGGCTCCCTGCCGTGGGCGGTTGCCCCTGGTGACCGCGACCTCGTGTTGGTGTTAACAAAGGATGTGCACCAAGGGGCCTCTGCTCCTGTTCCTGGTGGCGAGGGACAGTTCCCCCCTGCGTGAGGCTCTGTGCGGCGCCCGATGTGGGACCTGGTGTGCAAGCTGATGTGCGGCCTTGTGCGCTGCCCGGTGTGCCTCCCCGTGCGCAGCCGTGTGACCGGCTCCCTCGAAGGAAGCCCTTCCCTGTCATTTTCCCGCCCGGGGAAGTGTATGATGGGACTCGTCCTATGAGGTGTGGCTTTGAAGACCTGGTGTGTCCTTTCCCGTGGAACTCTTCGTCTATTTGGGTTCCGCAGGTGTGGGGTTTTGTCACTGGGGTCCCAAATTTAATGCTTCGGCCTTGTGCCGCTCCTGGCCGTCCAGTCTCTGATGACGAGCAGTTTGTTTGGGAGGCTTACTGCTTAAGTTTCCCGGAGCAGGAATATCCGGTTAAGTATGAGTAGTCCGTGTGGTTGGGTGTTTGTCTTTGTTTACTTGTTTTTGTTTTTTTTTTTTTTTCTCCGGTGCCTGTGTGCGCAGGTGCGTGTTTTTGTGCGCGCGTATGTGGTGTGGGTGTTTGTTTCTGGCTCCTGTTCCAATGTATTTTGGTTTCCAATGTATATGTATTTTTTTGTTTAGTTTTTTACCTTTGGTTTAATTGTTTCTTTGTACGCTTTTGTCGTTACTGACACTTCTGGCGCGCCCATCTGGGTTGTGCAGCTTTTTTTTTTTGTTGTTGTATGTTCCACTAACTTTTTATTGTTCCTTGTTTCACTATGTTAAATTGTTCTGTGTGCCTTGTTATCTGTATTATTGTCATTCTGTGTTCCTGGTTATTTTATGCATTCCTGTGAGATGTTACAAAGATATTCTTAGAATATGCTGTCAAATATAGATACTGTTCTTAAAAGATTTTCGCCATTTTTTGCACCCGGAAGATAACATAAGATTTTAAGGGTTGACAAATGTTAATCTTCTTGTTTGAAGAGCTGTTCACTTGAGACAGTTAAGCAAGTCCCAGCTGTGTCTGGGTACAAGTGACAGGATGAACAACCCAGTGGGTTTAATTCCTATTGGGGGGGGGGGGTTGTACATGCTGCAATGGCAGTATGTCCACTCGCAGGACGAGTGGCGCTGCCCAATTATATGTTAAATTAAAGATCTACCCGAAACGCTGCGCTTACTAGTGGCTTAACATTCTTGTAAAGTGGAGTCGCACGAGGATACGTTGGAGACTGATATGAAGTTTGTTTTAATCTTCAAATTCAGGTTGAAGTCTTATCAAGTACAGGAAGATTATTAAGGACTATTAATCATAGGAGGGCTAAGGCCACTCTAATTGAGACAGATATCTTCACACGTGTTTTAAAATAAGGTAAATTTGTTTACGTGTCTTATAGCAGTAGAATACCCGAAAATTATGTTTGCAGAGACAAGTATAAACTTCCTGTTGCGGACGGCGCTGCTATCTGTGACGACCTTGCCATTCCACCTTGTGAATGACTTGTGGCGCTGGAGGGCCTTCAGGGGCGAGTATGACTTACGCGACTACAACACTAACTACTGGAAGCTCAAGTACGTGTTCTTCTGCTTAAGGTTAAGGTGTCTGCTTAAGTAACTAGTTGGGGTTCGGTGGTGGAAAGGGTTACAGAGGCATATAATGGGGTTCATGAACTGAACTTCATGGTTTGTTTAGCTAAGCAAGGGACAATCTTGTGAAGCTTGTTAGAATTTTTAATATAGTTGCCAAAGTTTAATTTAGTTGCGTCTTGGCAACTTTACTTTAAAAAACGATAACAAGCCCACATCCTGGGTCGTGTGCACAGCTATAATGGAGGCAATACCAGGCGTTCCAGAGGAATAATTACTCTGACCTCCACTATCATATGGCAGAGTTAATGGTCAAAAACATAGTTATAATATATTCTCCAAGTTGCGTTTATAAGCTCTAGAAATAGCCAGATAATACAATGACTTTAATTACATCAGTTTCTAGTAGAACTTCCGTTTGAAGTTGTTTATTGAAATTGTTTCGACGATTTCCTCTTGTGGCTCGTTCCATTTGCTGTCGGCTCTTATTCTGAAGTTTTTCCTGACGTCGCTGCGGCTCGTCTGCATCTCCAGCTTTCACCCGTCTCCTCTGAACTTATCGTTTCTCGTTTTGAACATTACCTGTGTGTCCCGCCTACCTGTTCCTCTTAATGCTACGCATGTTATTATATCCTCCCTTGGTTCACCTTGCCTCCACCCTGGTGAGCTTCATCTCTAAAGTTTAAGTACGTTTATTGAGACAATAAAATACATCTCAAAGGGATAGAGTAGCTTAGGCTATTTCTACTCTCTGAGGTAGAAACCTTGGGCTCTTTCGACCTTCTCGGTCCCTCAGCTTTAGAAAAAGTCTAGTCACGAATCTTTTTTTCAGATATTTGTTATTTCATTTGCATTCCATGCTAGTGCTGCATACTAAAGTGATATATAGGACTCTAAAGGCCTGTGTTTAGTTTTCTGAAAATTAGTCATATTCTGCAGAGGTTTTGTTAATGAATTCTTCGTGCGTCAGGTTTTTGTTACATATTCTCTCGGATCCTTCTTTTATTAAGCGTTGCTAAGAAGGCGAGTGGCCCGGCACTTTTAGTGACTTCAGGTCGGGACTATTATAACACTGAAAGCTTCTCCTCGCACACAGGGAGCAGTACCTGGGGGTGGAGGCACCTGTGAACCGGACGGACGAGGACCTAGATCCTCCTGCCATATTTCACATCTCTAGCGACTATGATATGATCCGCTACTTCACCAGGACCATCCTGCAGTTCCAGGTAGGTCACAATGTTACTTCATACCACGTTTCAGATAGTAATTTGTTCTGACATGTAAACAACTGCATGAAATCATACTGCACTGACCATATTTCTATTTCACGTATTGCGTGACCTCCGTCTGTGACGTGGGCTGTGACCTTTGACCTGAGGGCGCGTCCACAGTTCCTTGAGAAGCTGTGCGAGGCGGCGGGGCATGAAGGGCCGCTCCACACCTGTGACTTCTATGGGTCAAAGGAAGCGGGGAACCTTTTAGCGTAAGACCCACCTCCTGTGTATCCACTGTATTGCATATATTAAATGTTAATTTGTTAGTTAAATGCCATTTTTTTTTTAATTTTTAAAATCGAACTGGAAAGATCAAGGTAAATGTGGGAGGGGGGGGGGTTCCTATCCTTCCTGTCTACTGTTACAAGTAACTTCGCTTCTTGGGACTTTCAGCTGCACACACTAGCACTAGTTCCACGTAGGTGGTGTATTGGGTTTTTGTCGTCTAGCCCTGGTTCATGAGAGCACACGCATCATCACGTATCATATGCTGATATCACGCTGTTGTAATTCCCAATCAGGTTCGTCCATATATCAACACAAGTATATTATTTTTGTTTCCAGAAAGATGCTGTCGATGGGATCCTCTAAGCCCTGGCAGGATGTACTGGAGGTTATGACGGGAGAGCGACACATGAACCCTCGGCCGCTCCTGCGGTACTTCCAGCCTCTCCAGCAGTGGCTGTTGGAGGACAACATTAAAGACGGAGATGGAGTTGGATGGGGTGACTCCTGGGCCCTCCTCGATAGTAAGATCCTCCACAATCTTCAATAGTAAGATTGTCATAATGAGTCTTAGGACTGAGTGCCATGAATTTAATTAATTTCTTACGCACCCGACACTCGTCTTGTGGCGATAATGGAAAAGGTTTAGAGGCGCAATGAGATCGGAACTGAACCTTTTAAAATTTATTTAGCTAAGCAAGTTCGTCTCGCTAGGCTACTTATACGGTCTACTGTATATCGGTAATGGGTTAGAGAACGACCGTAAGTACAGGATTTAATCTCTGCAACTTATATTTTTGGTCTGTAACTTTCATAATTTTATTTGCTTATGTTCATCACTCCATCCAGAGGGCGGTGTGGCAAGGTTACAAATCACCTATGGTTAGCAAACGCGATATTTCTTAGATTTGTCAAGATTTCTTAGATCTTTTACATTAAATATTTACACATTTCTTTATGCGTTTCTGTTCTCGTATTGGCATCCTTGGTGATATTTAGCGCCCTCTGATTATTTTGCGCATTTGATGGTGCTACATAGCCTTCCCGGTTTGGTGCCTTCTTTTAATAATTACTTACTTGCCTAATTTGGCCGAATGGGCAAGAGAGAGACGTCAGGCTATGGTGGTGACTGGAGCAGAATGATGACTTGAAACACGCCGGCGATCCCGCGTCTCCTCGAAAGAACCAATGAGAGGGAGGCACATAACGGCCTACCCCTCTCAACCAATCAAAGACGGTGTAGCATGGCCCTGGGGCAACTTTAGGATGGCTGACTCCCCAGATGTTTGCTAATATGGCGGCTGTTGCAATGACAACAGTGCTGGAGCTAGCGGGAGGCCCACGCTCGCCCAGCATGCGGCCTCACTGTTCCCGCACGAACTTGTCTCCCTCCAAGTTTACAATGAGATGATGCTATTGGCTATAACTCTGTTCACATACGTGCTACCCCGACCAGGGTAACATGCCTGGAATGCTGATGACTGGGGCTCTCACATGAGCCCAAACAAAAGATGTTTCGGGTACTGGTTACCAAACTTAGGTCCGTGCACTTAACAAGTGCACTTAGCAAGTGTACTGACTTTCCACAGCCAGAAGAGCACCATTGTAAGTGAGCTGGTGAACCATCCCCTCACAACGGACGCCGCCTTGATCACTATCTACGTGAATGTGAACACCTGAGAGACATTAGAAATATGTGTAGTCTAAAGTGTAGTATATAATATGTGAAATATAAACCCCACATTGTTTGAGTTAGGAAAACACTATTTGTCAAATATTGATACTGTTCTTAAAAGATTCCCCCATTTTGCACCCGCCAGATAACGTAAGCTTTTAAGGGTTGATAGATGTTAATCTTCTTGTTTGAGGAGCTGTTCACTTGAGACAGTTAAGCAAGTCCCAGCTGTGTCTGGGTACAAGTGACAGGATGAACAACCCAGCGGGTTTTCTTTATTTTGGGGAGTGTTGTACATGTTGCTTTGGTGGTATGTCCACTCACAAGATGAGTGGCGCTGCCCAATAAACTTGCCCCTCGGGGCAAAATTTTAAACAAATTTACTAAATTTTTTTGCTTCCCTCAGACAACCATTGAACATTGGAATAGTCACCTTATGCCAGTGTCTCCTGCAGCACTATGACGGTTTTGATTTTCTGGCATATAGTGTCACTGATCCTCTTGCAGATTCCATTGCAATTCCATAAATCGACAACATTTAGTTATAATTATAGAACGCGTCGTATCTTTCATAAAATAATGTTAAGAATTTCTGCAGTTTACCAGACTTTATGCATTTTTGGTAACTGCTTATTTATGGCATTTATTTTCTAAACACTGCATTATTTCAGGTTCAGCTGGTACATGGATGCTCCAGGGACAGTGCACACCATTACTGCTCCTGCTGTCACTACTACAAGTACTGTATTACATGTTGGTAAGTTACTAACATAAATCAACCTGTCCTCCTAAGGTTTCCCAACGTCAGGAAACTGTTGAACAAAAGTGTCCTTATCCTAACCTACCAGAGGACCCAAAACAAAATGGGACAATGTCAATTTTGTGAGCCACTTCCATTTTCTAGCAAGACGCTTTTTGGCCTTGGGTGAAGTATGAGTCAAAATGCGAAGTTGTACAGTATTAGGACTTGTTACAAATACTACTAATACTGTACTGTTACATGTTAATAAAGGCCTTTCAGCCAAACAGTTGAGAATATATGCTTAAAATGGTTTTTCTGTGTACTATCCATTAATACAACTAGTACCACTACCATTCCTACTTTTTATTTTCACTACCACCATTAAATAAATATTAAAGACAAGCTCCAAGCCTGTTAGACTGTGTAGTGCCATCTATGGCACAAAACAGTTAGTCTTGGATATCATTCGAGATGGAAATGTGAAACCTAATGCACATAAGACGAGCGAAATCTAAACATATCAGATCCACTGAGGATTTTTATCGAGGAAGGAACAAGAGAGAAATAGACTATTAAAAGAACATTATCACAGTAAACACTAGAACTGAGAGTTGCAGGATTTTCAGAGCAATAAATATCACCGAGGATGCCAATACAAGAACAAAAGGACAAGAGGCGATCAATGTCAAATGTATCTGATGCACCCAGGATACTACTGAGGAACAAATGACCCTAAGAGACATTAGGAAAGCAAGACCAGCAATTTCTTATGTTTGCAAGGCTGGCAAACATAAGAACTGCCTTTAGAAACTTATGTAATGAATCATTCGGATTCTTGTATACCTCGTATATCAGACCAATATTGGACTATGCAGCTCCAGTGTGGAGTCCATATCTAGTCAAACACACAGCAAAGTTAGAAGAAAAGGTTAAAAAGTTAGTACCCCAAGCTTTTTTTTACACAAATAATAAAAAAAACTTAGACTGAGTACAGTACTGTACATAGGCATGCAATGTAACATGCACACACATTACATGCAAAGCTGTTCCTGGCACAACTTGAAGGCTGGGTCCTGCAACCCCCTTTGCTGCTATTCTGTCTGGTAATGTTAATATATACAGTACAGCACTTTCAAACAATCTGGAAAAACAACAAGTTGTGATTTGATGATTATCACCTTGCTGGTAGTACAAGATGATCTCTTCTAACTTAGGTATTTAAAAATGATGACGACCAAACCATACACCAGAAGATGAAGAGACATCTTCATCATATCTTCATCTTCTGATGTGTGGATTGGTCATCATATCTTCAGTCACGTTATTGCGACTCATCGTCTGCAGTTAACAATTATACCAGATTTTTTTCCATGGGTCTAGGTTATCTCCGTTATATCCACTCAGATGTATTATAAACAAACATGTAATTTGAATACTGGGTGATAAATAAAAACTACATCTGATAACACATTACCCCAGGGATCAACACATGATGATAACCACCTTTTAAGGGTTAATTCGAGAGAGGCTAATCACACATGAATTACTTCTTGCATAGACATTAAAAAACAATTGTTAAATCGTCATGATCTTTAAAGAAATTTGTCATTATTAAATAGATGCAACACATATCATCATAAGATCTAAAAAGCAAGAACCTGTGAGCTGTGGATGTAATACTGAAGCCTAGGAAAATTGTGGCATTATTTTATATGGTAAATGCAGCTTAATTAATAAAATATCGATGCCTAGCAAAATTGATGCATTCTTTTATAAAGTAATTGAACGTCCAAGCTCATCATATCAAGGTCTTCAAAAGTATCAATTCTTTTAGCACAAAAACCTGTTTAGTCTCATTGCCTGAGATTTTTATGAAACTTTTTTTTTCTGCATCTTCCACATTTTCAATTGCCTACCTGTAATTGTAGATGTTTTTCATAAAAACTGAATTTTTATGAATCAATATTTACACATTTCAAAAAATATAATCACAAAATGTAGTTAAAACATTTCTTCCATTTCATGTAAAATCATCTAGTAACCAACTTCAGAAATGACTAAGTAATACACAATTAATTTTAGCCACTATAGGCGGTAACCATTTCTTACCCTTTATTCCTACAAATAAACAACAGCATTATTATACAATAAAAGAGTCGCCCCATTAAATATTATGTCAATACAGGTATCCATTTCTGAAAAAAATAAAAGTTCAGAAAGATTAAATTAATTTCTTTTAAGCTGACACATCAGTAGAAGATTTACAACCACTGAAACTGATATTTTATAGTTCCATTAACATGTACACTATTTTTTTCTACAGTAAGACGATTGTTTTTATCAGAAGTAATTTGAGCTGCAATAACAAATGTTACATTAACAATATTACTGCAGTTATTAAGAAACAAATATAAAAAACAAATCCTGAACTTTTTACCACAGCGCCTCAGAGTTCGTACCCTACGAACATGCGTCATTCATAGGCTAATTTAAGATCATCCCGAACAGTGGGTAGTGTTGTTGTTGTGTTAATTTAGGAGCGTCGACGATCGTGGGATAGGATGCGCCCCAGTGGGTAGTGTGTGTGTGTCTCTGGGGACTCTGGGGAGTCCAGGGGATGCGAATGCTATCCCATCATAATATTGCAGTTTCATTGAACAAGCTAAAATACCTAAAGATGAGGTATGTAAATAAACATGAGGCCATGTAAGTATATGCAACGACCCCACCCATCAACAAGCTCTCAAGCCTCCTTCAAGAAGCAAGCAAGCAGCTTCATTCCCAATTGTACATGATTACAGTACTTCCACACTTCAGCAGCCTACTGCTTGGGTAGGAAATACTTAACTATAGCCACCAGTGCAACCATCAACTAAACTCTGCAAATTACTACAGTTTTGGTACTACTTCCCTTTGTGGACAGGACAGCCGCAGGATGATTCATGGAGTTTGTGGTACATTTTCAAATTAACAGAGTACAGAAAACTACGACTGCGGCAACACCCGGGTCGCCTCGCATGAGACTGGCGCTTAGCAGAGTAGCAGACGAGTCAGTTAGGTCGAGACAGCGGAAGGGTGAGGGTGTGTTGCTGGGGCCTTTCTTATCGAGAATCGAGACATTATATACGTAATAAGTAATCAGTCGTGTCCTGCTGAAGTAGTTGGAAAATATATTCTCGCGGGACGATGACGAGAGTGTGTTTGGTGGTGTTAGTGTGGTTGTGTTCCTGGGTTCTGGCTTTTGAGAGGTGAGTGTTATTAGACATGAAAGAGTTTCATATCTTAATGTAACGTGGATTAGTTTTGGCTAATTGTTGTATATTGATTTTGTTTCTTCCAGGCAGTCTTACAAGGAAACGTTATACAAGGATGTCCTGTTTACCTTTGGCTGTACGTTGATGAGATTGTATAGCAAGGTTATCATTAACTATAGTCACGTATCTATTCCACTGTCGAGGGGTGTGGAGGGTGACCCCCACCCCACACGAGGGGGTTCACTAACACCCTGTAAGTAGGGGTGAAACCCCATCGCCCACAGCCCACCTGTTTGCCTGTCTTTAATAAAGAGTGGGCATCTACAGGGACGTCATCTAGCATAACTAACGCGTATCTGGTAGGTTTACCACCCTTGATATGTTCTTTAGCTAGTTTGTCTAGCCCACCATTTAGTAAAGCCAGACTATCCATAAACCGAAGTTTACCAATATCCACTTTCATGAACCTAAATTATCTGTGGAGGCAATATCAATCTCGCGTTTAGGGAGGTTAGACAATTTATTTAAAATTACCCCGAGGTCATAAGCAGCATTGAGAGAATGTGTACAAATATTTATAAGAATTTCGGCACATGTTGCACATACGGCAATAGGCTGCTAGATAATTATTAAATTCAATACTGGGTAAATTAATAGTGCAGGAGGGAAATTGGGATGAATGACATCGAACAAGGATTCCAATTGTCGGATAAAATAATCACGATATATAGTTAAATAATGGGCAGGCTCTCCTTGGGCATAATCTGGGATGCTATAGGAATGGCGTATGTACCCCCCTTGAAATTATTGATCACTTCTAGTACTTCTGGTTGAGGAGGAAGTACAAAATCTACCTGCTGCTGCTGAGGTGGTGAGGGAGAATTACCGATAGGCTAGCTGGCTTCCACATCGGAATCAGCTTCCCAAACCAAATCCAGGGAGTCCTCATCATTATCCTGTAGAGGGCTACCTAGAATCAAAAGAACTGAGATTTTAATAATATAAATTAAATATAGGAATATGTATAAAATAATGAAACGTTATTGAATTAAAATAATTATTGAGGATGATACATACAATTTGGACTGTTCCTGCTGTTGTTGCTATCTTCTAATGGCGGTGTATGAGCTCGACTACTGCTAGGCTCTCCAGCACCTCCTCCTCCTCCGTCAGGATATTCCTCCACTATCTGCCCATCCTTAAAATATAAAATTATATTAAAACCCATACAAATAGGAAATTGATTGTCAATATTGCAACTGTCAAATAATGGGGAAATAGCGGCAGAAAATAAGACTTCTAAATTGTGCAAGTCGTTGGGGTGGAGAAGCTTGTAGATCCTCAGAACCCGAGCTGGTTGAAGACCTGGGTAAATACTAGTTCAGTCGATGTTCTGGTTAACATTGATTGGAAGTAAATAGGAGATTTAAAATAGGCTAGGGATGACGTTTATTATACATTAGATTTCAGGTTCACTGGAGTAACGCAAAACACACGCCCCATATCGCTGCATTTTAATATCCTTGAGCGAAATTTTCATGGACTATAAGGCGAGCAATCCCTCGCTGGGGTAACGAAATTTTAGTGCGACGGAAGCCTGCTGTTTAATCCCCTTGAACGAAATAGTAGGGAACTGTTTTAATTAACCTTTTTGGAAAACTATATATGATGGACGGGAGCGGATGATAAGTGAATGAAAATATTAAGATACTACGAGGTACTGACGAAAAAAAGAATTAAAAACGTACCCTGGGCTAGATGCAGCCGTCGGAAAGATTGAAAACAACCCCCCCCCCCCCGTGCCAAATCGCTGCAGGCAGAAAAACATGGCAAAACCCGTGCGCCGAATCGCTGCAGTCGGAAAAATCAAAACTGCAGCGATTTGGGGCCATTTCATCTACTCACTTGCAAGATCTATACCTCTTATGTGGCCACTTACGAGATCTGTAGCTCTTACATGGCCACTTACGAGATCTGTACCTCTTACGTGTCCACTCACAAGATCTGTACCTCTTACGTGGCCACTTACAAGATACCAAGTGTACTTTTTTCCTGATATTAAACAGTTTACGAGTTCCTAGACGCTATACGAGGTCGTCCTCAACAATAAAAGTTCTATGTTGACCAGACCACACACTAGAAGGCGAAGGGACGACGACGTTTCGGTCCGTCCTGGACCATTCTCAAGTCGATTGTGTCAATAAAAGCTCTATGATAAGGACGACCTCGTAGCGCTTCGGAGCTCGCAAACTATTTATTAACATTCAGACTATCACCCACAATCAAGGTTCAGATATGGTAAGTAACTCCATCGATACTTGAAGAATCTCGGGGCGAACTTTTTTTTTCAGATTTTTAGCGTAGACCTTCGTCCCTGTTCCTTCCATATTTCTCGTGCAATACTCCATGCAATACCAACACCAGGTATCATGCAACACTAACGCCAGGTGACCTTCGTCAGCACGACGGACGGCGAGGCCCGGGCCCTGCTGGCGGAGTTCGAGGAGGCCGCCGCCAAGGCCTACAACACTGTCAATCTCAAGACCTGGGCCTTCCTCACCAACATTACCGACCATAACAGGGAGATTGCGGTAAGATGCGACCCCTTAATATCTTTTTGTTGTTTACATGTGTCCGTCAACACCTCATTTTGTCTTTACAATATATCATCTTGCAAATTGTTGCCTAAATGTCACTTAACCTGGTTTCTAAAATGTAATTTTGGTTTAGATTGCTATATACTGGTGCTTAGTGCAGTCAGTATTGCAAGAGATTTGTTTAGGTTGTTTGAATTAAGTTTTTGACAATGGCAATGTCTACGTTCCAGGCTGTTATTGTGACTCTTAAGTAGTTAATGTGCTTTTTATGCACATTTTTTAATTAGGTTTCCGAATGATAAATGTACTATCGTTTATAAAGTAAGTTTTTGATTTGATCTGTTTTGTCCCGCTGTATCCGTTTTCTCTGAGACCGTTTTCTCTGGGTTCTTTTCTTTGGGTCCTATTTTCTTTTGGTTCTCTTGGAGCAGTTATCTGTGTTTTCTTTCGGTTCGTTTTCTCTTTGGGTTTGTTTCTCATTGGGTCAGTTTTCTCTTTATCGATCCGTTTTCTGTGCCTGTTTTCTCTCTCTGGGTCTTTTTTTTTTCGTTGGGTGTCTTTTGTGATAGTTTGCCTGTCTTGGAGTGTTTGTGTCTCAAGGATGTTTGGTGTTTATCTTTCTTAGTGTGGTTGTCTCTATACTGTTTAGTACATTCTTGTACAGCCACCAGCACGCATAGCGTTTCGGGCAGGCCCTTAATCCTAATATTCCCCGGAATACGACTCTCGAGTTGTTTATCAACCAGGTACCTAATCACTGCTAGGTGAACAGAGGCTACAATTAAGGATTGGCGCCCAGTCAATCCTCCTGGCCACGATTCGAACCCACGCCAAATCGCTTGTGAAGCGTCGGACGAGTGTCTTACCACTGCGCCACGGAGACTTTATCTCTGGGAGAGCTCTGTCTGTGAGTGTGTGTTTGCATTTAATGTTTTTGTTCCTTAATTATGTTTGCTTTTTTGTTTGTGTGTGCACTCACCTAGATGTTCTCTAGTTCTAAGATTAATGTAATGACTCATTTCTCATGTTTATATCATATTTACATTTAAACCTTTGAATCGAATTAACTTCACCGACTTTTACGTCTAACCTTTTCCACTTATTGACAGCACTAACACTGAAAAAATGTGTGTGAATGTGTAATTACCTAAGTGTAATTACAGGATGACAATTACCCAAGTGTAATTACAGGATGACAATTACCCAAGTGTAATTACAGGATGACAATTATCCAAGTGTAATTACAGGATGACAATTACCTAAGTGTAATTACATGATGAGAGCTACGCTCGTGATGTTATCTTGAGGTTATCTTGATGTCCCGTCTTCCCAGTACTCTTTGTCGTATAACACTTTGAAACTACAGACGGTTTTGGCGTCCACCACCTTCTCACTTGGCTTGTTCCAACCTTCTACCACTCTGTAAAAGAAAACTTTTATAATATTTTTTTTCGGTACCTTTGTTAGCTTGAATCTGTGTCCTCTTGTTTTTCAAGTTGCTTGTTTCAGGAATTCCTCTTTGTCAATTTGGTCGATTCCTGTTATTATTCTGTAAGTCGTGGTCATATCACCTCTTGTGTGTGTGTTTCTTGCCCTCCTTTGGTTTTACTGAACAGAGCAAATATATATATATATTATATATATATATATATATATATATATATATATATATATATATATATATATATATATATATATATAATATAAATATGTATATGTAATTTGTTTTTACATAATCTGACCATACTTGACCTTACCTGACCTCTTATGTCCTCATTTGACCTTAACTGAGCATTATGATACTCGACCTAGCTTGACCTTACCTGACCTTGCTTCATACAGGTGGAAGAGATGTTTGTCATGAGTAAGTTCCAGGAGGAGTGGAACAACAAGGTCCCGTTCTCTCTGCATCGTGACGTTAGCCCAGAGATCACCAGAGCCATGAGTATGGTGAGTTATAGTGATGAGTTAATATATGTTATGTGATGGTGAGTTATAGTGATGTTGAGTTACAGTGAATCACAATGAGTAATTTACCATCTCGCCAGAAACGATTGAAAACAACGAACTGCATGAGGTGCTCGAAACGAAGTTTGTCACGCTCCAGTCAACACTACACAACACGACAGTAGCCAGGGCTGTCCAGGAATTGAACCTGCTAGTCTCACCAGAAGGAAAATTTATGTAAATAACCAGGAAATAGTGAAATAAGGACAATTTTGGAAAACAACTAGAGTACTACAGGATCCAGCACTTGAATTAACATAGCGTCAGCGACAAAATTAACATTACAGGATCCTCGATGTCGATGTTGACTGGCGATGCAAATTGAGACGAAGTAAATGCGTATCCAGCGCCACGTTAATTTTCCCCAAGAGCATGTTCTGATCTCTCCTGAGTGCATAGATTAGGTCACTATAGCGGACTGTCAGGAATACGATAGTTCACCCTGCAAGTTTTCTCTGCATTTAGATGCCCACCATTGAAAATGGGAATTATCCCTCAAACCAGAACAACCCAAACTACCATACAGCGCGTTGCCCAGTGACGTCACGATTGACGACGTCGTCGGCCAATAGAAGGACTGGACGGGGGTGACGTCAGGAGGATGGTGGCTTAGGGGGCCAGTGGGTGACCACCTCATGTAAAGTTTTGAGGCTAGGTAATGATGATAGTTACAAGATAAGAGCTAGATGGTGTTGAGATTGCGAAGTCGAATTGCGAAAGGGAGCTGGGAGTTATGATAAGGAAGAATTTAAAACAAAAGGATCAATGCATGAATGCTCGTAATAAGGCAAATAAGACACTGGGATTTATTAATCGAAGCGTTAGTAACAAGACACCTGGTGTGGTTCTTCAGCTATATCTTGCTCTGGTTAGGCCCCATTTAGATTATGCAGTTCAGTTTTGGTCGCCGTACTATAGAATGGATATAAATTCACTTGAACGTGTCCAGCGTAGGATGACAAAGTTAATTCCCTAAATTAGAAATCTTTCAAAGAAGAAAGAAAGATTAACAAAGCTTAAATTGCATTCACTGGAAAGGCGAAGAGTTAGGGGTGACATGATAGAGGTTTACAAGTGGATGAATGGACATAATAAAGGAGATATTAATAGGGTATTAAAAGTATCAACACAAGATAGAACACGAAACAATGGGTATAAATTGGATAAGTTTAGATTTAGGAAAGACTTGGGTAAATACTGGTTCGGTAACAGGGTTGTTGATTTGTGGAACCAATTACCGCGTAACGTGGTGGAGGTGGGGTCCCTCGATTGTTTCAAGCGCGGGTTGGACAAGTATATGAGTGGGATTGGGTGGTTATAGATAGGAGCTGCCTCGTATGGACCAATAGGCCTTCTGCAGTTACCTTTGTTCTTATGTTCTCCCTCAGGAGTAGGTCAGCCATAACCTGTTATTCAACCCGTTCTCGCGAGCGTCTCCAACGTCAAGAAACTGTCTCACTAAAGTGCCTTAACCCAACCTACCAGAGGACCCACAAACAGACACGGGACAGTATGTCAATTTCGCGAGCCGCTGTCACTTCCTAGTATGAGAGTTTTTGAAGTATGTTAAAATGCAACATGATATTAGTAGGAATAAAATTAGCAGGGTAGGACTAGTACTAAAGGGGTCAGGGATTAAGTTGTCACTTGACCCGCGATCTTATAGTTTCCAAGTGTGATGCGAGTGAACTACTAAGATTTCTTAGATCTATTACGTAGTTTTTATATACGAAAAGTATCCTTTCAAAGAATAATGTAATAAAGGTTGGGGGAATGATACCATTTGTTTTAATTTGATAGCTCACATGTTCAAATAAAAACTAAGTAATTATTACTCCCTTCCAGGCATTTCCAGCCCAATTAGATCCAGCGGACTTCAAGAACCTTAATAGTATGATGGCCTCCCTCCACGCCATGTACTCTACGACCACCGTCTGCCTTACACCGAAGGCAAGTTGCTTGACGTCAGGCGAGACGTATAGTGAAGTGTGTTGTGTGATGTACCAAGGGAGGCAGGAGGGTCATTATCATCTTCATCTTGAAAAACATAAATTAATAAACGAGTCGCAACATGGTTTTACAAATAGCCGTTCATGTTTAACAAATTTGCTAACTTTTTATTCCAGCATAGTTGAGGCAGTTGATAGTGGTAAGGATTGTGATGTTGTGTTCCTTGACTTTAGCAAAGCTTTTGATACAGTGCCACATGAAGGACTAATTAAAAAAATAGAAGCTCATGGTATTGGGGGTGCTATATTAAGTTGGATTAGGGCATGGCTATTCCAAAGGAAAGAGAGAGTTAGTATAAATGGGGTTAAGTCAGAGTGGGGATAATGTTGTTAGTGGAGTACCTCAGGGCTTTGTCCTGGGACCTCTGTTGTTTATAATATATATAAATGATTTAGATTCAGATTTGAGTAGCAACATTTGCAAATTTGCCGATGATACGAAAATCGGTAAGGAAATTAATTCGGAGGAGGACTCACTATCAATTCAAGTTGATCTAGATAGGGTTTTGAAATGGTCAAAGGATTGGCAAATGCAGTTTAATGCTGATAAATGTAAAGTTCTGAGGCTAGGTAATGATGATAAGAGTTACAAGATACGAGCTAGATGGTGTTGAGGTTGCGAAGTCGGATTTCGAAAGGGATCTGGGAGTTATGATTAGTAAGAATTTAAAACAAAAGGATCAATGCATGAATGTTCGTAATAAGGCAAATAGGACACTGGGATTTATTAATCGAAGCGTTAGTAACAAGACACCTGGTGTGGTTCTTAAGCTATATCTTGCTCTGGTTAGGCCCCATTTAGATTATGCAGTTCAGTTTTGGTCGCCGTATTATAGAATGGATATAAATTCACTTGAACGTGTCCAACGTAGGATGACTAAATTAATTCCCCAAATTAGATATCTTTCATATGAAGAAAGATTAACAAAGCTTAAATTGCATTCATTGGAAAGGCGAAGAGTTAGGGGTGACATGATAGAGGTTTACAAGTGGATGAATGGATATAACAAAGGGAATATTAATAGGGTATTAAAATTATCAACACAAGATAGAACACGAAACAATGGGTATAAATTGGATAAGTTTAGATTTAGGAAAGACTTGGGTAAATACTGGTTCAGTAACAGGGTTGTTGATTTGTGGAACCAATTGCCGCGTAACGTGCTGGAGGTGGGGTCCCTAGATTGTTTCAAGCGCGGGTTGGACAAGTATATGAGTGGAATTGGGTGGTTATAGATAGGAGCTGCCTCGTATGGGCCTTCTGCAGTTACCTTTGTTCTTATGTTGTGGGGGATTGCCCAGGCTGACGACTGATGTGGGAGACGATAAGACGTGTGCCTGTCGTGTATTCGCCTAGTTGTGCTTGAGGGGGTTGAGCTCTGCTCTATCGGCCTCAAGCGACCTTTTCTCAACTGTCAATCAACCGTTTCTTCTACTATTTTTTTCCCCCACACCCCACACACACCAGGAAGCAGCTCGTGACAGCTGACTAACTCCCACGTAACAGGGGCATAGGGTGAACAGGGGCATGGGGGGTGGGTGGGGTGGTGTAGCTTGGAGGAGTGAGGGGAGGGTTTTATCACCCGTGTCCTCAGGTATTATCGACAGTTAATCTCTTTTTTTTTTTTTTCTTTAACTACATCAGTGTTGCTCTTACAATACTTAGAGTTCTGTGTTTCTGTGTTCATTCTGTGCTTTATGTCCGTGTTTTATACTGTGTCTGTCTTGTATATTTTGTCTACTACATGCTTTGGTTTTCTTCTACTTTGTAGAAAAAAAGTTCACTTTTTGTGTTCGCTTTTGTGTGCGCATTTTTTTGTTGCATGTTTATGTTGGTTACAAACAAGTTTATTGCATTTGACACTGCATATTATGTCAATATAACTATAAATATTTAAATATGCCTAAACATACAAGCTTACACGCGCCTTAGCATGTCTAAAACGCGCACACGCGCGCGTGGGTGGAAACTGAAGAGCCAAATGATCCACAAGGACGTTAGAAAAAACTTTTTTTCAGTGTCAGAGTAGTTAATAGGTGGAATGCATTAGGCAGTGATGTGGTGGAGGCTGACTCCATACAGTTTCAAATGCAGATATGATAGAGCCCAATAGGCTCAGGAATCTGTACACCAGTTGATTGACGGTTGAGAGGCGGGACCATTTTCGCCCAGTTCCATTCTAGTCAGTAACTGACGTCACTAACCTTTTCTTCCATTTTCAGAGCTGCGTTGGTTTACGTCCTGACCTGACCAGGAAGATGGCGGAGTCCAGGAACTATGACGAACTCAAATTTATCTGGAAGAGCTGGAGGACTAATGTGTCCAGGAAGGTATGAAATGCCTAATATGGAGGAGAGTATTATGGTGGAGTCAGTATTGTTCAGTATTATCTATGTGTTGTGTGTATGAGGGTGTATATAGATACTCTGAAGGCGCTACATGACATCCAGGGAGATGTGGAAGCAAAATAACTTTGAGAATTGCAAAACGCAAGACTGAGAGAGAATTCAATGGTCGTATTGTGATGTAAAGGTCATACAGATTAGAGGACTCAAATGTATGGCTATCCATCTCTCACTGTTTTGATTGATAAAGATTAAGCCACCCAAGATGTGGCATGGGCATGAATAGCCCGTAACTTGCTCTTTTATCATCATGTCTCTTATATACTCTTGCTATCCTCTCTTCCTCTATCCCCTCCAACCTTGCCCTGTTTGGTATGGTGCAACCACCAATACGTACTATCTTCACCAGATGCGGCCGCTCTACCTGCAGTTCATGGATTTTGTCGACAACTTTATATCACAGGTAACTGCAGAAGGCCTATTGGCCCATACGGGCAGCTCCTATTTATAACCACCCACTCACACTCGTATACATGTCCAACCCATGCTTGAAACAATCGAGGGACCCCACCACCACAACGTTACGCGGTAATTGGTTCCACAAATCAACAACCCTGTTACCGAACCAGTATTTACCCAAGTCTTTCCTAAATCTAAACTTATCCATTGTTTCGTATTCTGTCTTGTGTTGATACTTTTAATACCCTATTAATATCCCCTTTGTTATGTCCAGTAATCCACTTGTAAACCCCCTATCATGTCACCCCTAACTCTTCGCCTTTCCAATGAATGCAATTTAAGCTTTGTTAATCTTTCTTCATATGAAAGATTTCTAATTTGGGGAATTAACTTTGTCATCCTACGCTGGACACGTTCAAGTGAATTTATATCCATTCTACAGTACGGCGACCAAAACTGAACTGCATAATTACTGAACAACACAGGTGTCTTGTTACTAACGCTTCGATTAATAAATCCGTGTCCTATTTGCCTTATTGCGAACATTCATGCATTGATCCTTTGGTTTTAAATTCTTACTAATCATAACGCCTAGATCCCTTTTGCAATTCGACTTCGCAATTTTGACACCATCCAGCTTGTATCTTGTAACTCTATCATCATTACCTAGCCTCAAAACTTTACATTTAACAGCATTAAACTACATCTGCCAATCTTTTGACCATTTCAAAACCTTATTTAGATCAGCTTGAAGTGATAGTGAGTCTTCTTCCTTGTTAATTTGCCTACCGCTTTTTGTATCATCGGCAAATTTGCAAATGTTGCTACTCAAACCTGAATCTAAATAATTTATATATATTATAAACAACAGAGGTCCCAGGACAGAGCCCTGAGGCACTCCACTTACAACATTATTCCACCCTGACTTAACCTCATTTATATTAACTCTCACACAAAGATCACACTAACGTGATGCATCAAATGAACAAATCCACAAGGGCAGTGACGAGGATTCGAACCTGCGTCTGGGAGCATCCCAGACAGCTCAGTCGATTAAGGCAGTGTCTGGGATGCTCCCAGACGCAGGTTCGAATCCTCGTCACTGCCCTTGTGGATTTGTTTATACTAACTCTGTTTCCTTTGGTATAGCCATGCCCTAAGCCATCTTAATATAGCACCCCCAATACCATGAGCCTCAATTTTTTTTAATCAGTCTTTCATGTGGCACTGTATCAAAAGCTTTGCTAAAGTCAAGGTACACATCACAATCCTTACCACTATCAACTGCCTCAACTATGCTGGAATAAAAAGATAGCAAATTTGTTAAACATGAACGGCCATTTGTAAAACCATGTTGCGACTCATTTATTAATTTTTTTTTTCAAGATGAAGACGAATTGTATTTGTAATTATCGATTCAAGTAACTTTCCCACAATAGACGTCAGGCTAATTAGCCGATAGTTTGACGCAAGTGATCTATCTCCTTTCTTAAAAATTGGTATCACATTAGCAACCTTCCATGACTCTGGCACTCTGCCTGACTCTATTGATTTATTAAATATGGTAGACAGTGGCTCGCAAAGCTCCTCTTTGCATTCTTTAAGCACCCTGGTAAACACTTCATCCAGCCCTGGGGATTTGTTTGGCTTTATTTTTACTATTTGTTTAATTACATCCTCCCTGGTAACTGGTAAACTAGTCAACCTGTCCTCGTCCCCACCCACATAGACTTCTTCGGCTGAAGGCATATTGTTAAGTTCCTCTTTAGTAAATACAGATATAAAATATTTATTAAAAATACTACTCATCTCGTCGTCGTCATCAGTTATTTGAGCTGTCTCAGTTTTTAATGGACCTATCCTTTCACTAGTCTTTGTACGATATAACTGGAAAAAACTTTAGGATTTGTCTTTGCTTGACCTTTATTTACTGCAGCCTTAGCAAGGGCGTCAACTTTATTACGTTCCTGCAGGCCAATTTGAGAAGGAATCCATAACAGTTTTATATTTACCCCCTTGTTAAGTATGCTTATATATTTATGTCTGGCTTCTGAGACAAGCACGTTATTGCTTGATTGCAAACTGTTTATTGCTCGTAGTGAGGAAAGGGAGTCGGAAATAATTAAGCTGTCTATTTCAGTGTTGTCAATAATTTAGAGTGCTACCAGTATTGCTACCAACTCGGCTTGCATTGTGGATGCCCAGTTACTAATTCGTACATTCCTTTGAATTGTGCTGCCATCGGGCTGATGAGCAATAACAGCACTTCCTGCCCTCCCTGTAGCTGTGTTGAGTGATCCGTCAGTGTATATGGCCTGTGCTATGTTTTCAGTTTGTATATTGCGAATGTGTTCTGTGGTGCTTAATTTAGCAGCAAGTTGAGCATGAGGGTTGTTTGTGATTAGTTTCTTGATGGGATATGCAGGAGGTCGAGGAGGACATACTGAACCTCTACAAAGAGTTGGATCCTCTCTACCGTCTCGTCCACGCCTTTGTCAGGAAGAGACTTCGCCTCGTCTACCCTCAGGTAAGTCCTCCAGTGTGATGTGGATCTGTTATCGTGAGGGTTGGGTGCGTGTCAGTACGCGTAAGATCTGTTATGTTTTGCAGTCAGATGGAATAAATGTTTGTTATTCTTTGACTATAAAGCTAATGGTTGACCCCCTTGACCTCTTGCAGATAAAGGCTCGAGGTCACCTGCCAGCCTGCGTACTAGGGAGCATGTCGGGAAGGTCAGTGTCTAGCTAACATTTAATGATAATGAAATGCCTCCACGTGGACTTGGCGCGCACCTCCTGACTTGACCAATGTGAGCGACCAGCTGAAACTTGATATTCAGCTGATTAAATTTAATAGTAGACAATGGTAGCTTAAGTTATGTTTAAGAATATGGCAATGGCTATAATTTGCTTCGAGAAGTGGTTCTAAAGTAGTTGAATATAACGTTTATAGCTGGGTTTACGTGTGTAAAAATGTGTTGATGGACGTTGAGGGGGGACTAGTCCAACACGAGTCCCCCTTCAACTTGAACAGACAAGTCCAGCAAAACAGTTAAATAAACACTATTTAAGCACGTAAACACACTCGTACATGACTTGTATGAACAACTTCTTTCAAGTCTAACACCCTGATAAAAGGAATGATATAGCAGCCTCTGGAAAACACCCAAATACAACTTGTTACAAGACTGGCGGAAGAAAAGCAGGTCTTTACATGTATAACAAATCATGGAGTCATGACGCTCGTGGTATAACTGCCACCCAGGCCATGACTCCCATTGTTATGGGGGAGCTGTACTTCATGGTTCGGATCTTGACATTGATGGTCGTATTACCTTATGAGGAGTTGTTGCGTTTCAAGTCCTTCATTTGGTGTGGTCAAGGAAATATCCATCCCTTGACAAGCCTTGAGGGATGGACATTTCCCATAAGGTCCTATTAGATTACTTTCTCCTGCCCAGGACTCCCCAGAAATATTGCCCCCTTGATAGAATTTAGGTAGTCCACCTGTAGGTTAGTCCCTAGCTGCCTCTGCCCCCTGACAGGGTTAAGGTGTTGTAGGGTGTGTGTACCTGACCAGCTGCACATGACTCCTAACAGTGCAAAGGTGCCTCCCTCCTCCCCACAGTGCCTGGACCAACATATTCCCTCTGGTGGAGCCGTATTCTGAGGCGGCGGACATGGACGTAACCAGCGCCATGCTTAAACAGAACTACACTGTGAAGCGAATGTTTACCATGGGAGAGGAGTTCTTTACGTCCATGGGGCTCAAGGTAAGGAGCGACTGGGTGATTTGTAGAAATTTTTCAATTTGGTATGTATGATATGCAATTTATTTTCCCCGCCTCAGTCTTGTTTGGTACACCTTCATGGTGGAAAGTATTGTGGTCTCTAATATAGTGACAATAACACCCCCTCACAAATGATTATCAGGTGCAATGTTCCATCATGAAATTAATGGTTAGCCAGGCTAGCCCAACCGGCCTGGCACAAGCATTGCCATAGTTCCTCCTGAAGGTGCTGCTGATCGCTTAGATGCTGTCCCGTACATTGCCGACGTCACAGTCTTCGGAGATGTGAATTTGAATGCCATCGTCAGCACTTGCCATCCTTCTGTCATCCTCCTTGCCATCCACTTTCAAATTAAGATCAATTTCGATGACAGTCTTCTCCCGCCCTCGGTAATTCTTGCTGGTGCAAAGTGTGATGTGAAGAATACGGATGGTGCCACATTCTCAGATTGGTGTCTTGGTGAATTGAAGAAAATTATCAAAAATGTACTTGCTAAGACCTGACTCTTTCACAGTTTTCTCATCCACCAGAGGTACGCCTTCCTCGGCTTCCACCAGAGGCACTTACCCCACCCAGAGCCTGACATCTCCTTACCCTCTCTCTCTACAGCCTCTTCCGGCCACCTTCTGGGAGAGATCCATGCTGGAACGGCCCCAGGATGGCCGCAATGTCTCCTGCCACCCCATGGCTTTGGATTTCCGTGACGGCAAGGATTTTAGGTACATTCCTTCACGTTCTGTTAATATACTAGTTACTCTAAACGTTCGCGACCCGTGTCGCTAATCCCAGTTCTCGCCACTTGCGTGACCAGAATCTTATGAACCCGTGTATTGCACTTGACCTGTCGAGGCTGATGGTCAGACAATGTTAAATTGCGCGGCTTTAATTTTTACTAATAAGTCTCATTTTTTGTCGATTCCGTAGGAATCATGATGAATTGGATGAAAGTATTTTTTTTTTGGGGGGGGGGGGGGGGGAGAGGGGTAGTCTCCCGTTTGTTTCTTTATAATGAAAACTATGAGCATGTGTTAATATTGGAACATTGGGGGGGGTTACGGCCATCAACGCCCATGACCCCTCACTCGCCCATATTTCTCACTGGACCCATACACCAGCATATTGTAGTGTTTAGAGCAGGCTTTAACAATAATTTTTTTGTTAATTTACACGCAAAGCATGCTAACATATACAATGAAACGAGGTCATAAGAATGAAACATACAACCACGGCCTGAAGGGCGCACAGTATCTACAACACATAGCACAACATACCATAGGCGAAACACAAGACACAAAAACACCACAACCATACAGAAATGCACAGCAAACAAACAACAAAAAAACAAGAACAAATACATTCAGGGATAACTAAACAGCCTGAAGGGCATACAATAAAACACAAAATATAAGCATAAACAGAACATCATTTCACATACTTGTCCGGAAACCGGTCCTTAGGAAACCGGACAGCGTACGCCTCCCAGCGCGCCCACATCGCAATCTCATCATCTTCACAGGGAGAAACCATAGTGTCGAAACCCTCGACATAAAGGCACGTCAGCTCAGGACCCAAACTGCACCCTAACCCATGGGAACCATCGCCACACGCACCCACTAGACAGGGACCAGGCCACTAGCAATACGAGAAATCATCAGCCGGCGGCAACCGAGTAATCGCACGCCACTTCCTCTGCGGCATCACCGAAGCGCGCAACGCAGTCGAAGGGAACAGAGGAGGACACAGGATGTGGGGGGAGGGGGTGCCACGGGAGACATCGGCGCAGGGGGCATGACCACAGGGACCCCTGCTGAAACATCCCCTTGAGCAGGTACTGGCTGGGACATCCCACGGCGATCATCCTTCTTCAGAACCCCCCCCCCCCCTCCCCATCCAGCCCGTTGGCGCCATGAGGGGGCTTGGTGGTCGGCTGCCAGAGTGTGATGCTCCATGGGACAGTCCTCTGTCCTTTTGTGGCCTTGTGCTCCTGCTGCTGTCTTCTCCAATTATGCTGGATCGCTTTTCCTTTTCCTTATGTTTCGTTTTTCTTCCCCCTCTTCTCCTATCTACTTTTCGTTTCCTGTCGACCTTTTGCTTGGTTTGGTTATTCTTTTAGACTTCTTCTATTTTGACGCCCGGGTGCTTGGGAGGCATACTCTTGCACCCGTAGAACTGTAGTACCCAACGTAGAGTGCGAGGGGATCCTTTTATTGTCAATCCTCCTTTCGTCGCTGAACCCAATCTCGACGGACTGATGGTTCTTAAGGTGGCGTTTGTGGGGCGTATACTCACAATGCACCCTTAGGTGGCCCCGGCATGATCGGCGATAGCTTCTTGTTGGGTGTCCTGCCTCTAATTATGGCTCCATGGTGGGTATGGGGGCACTTTCGTGGATAACTGTTTTTCCTCTCGTTTCATGTCGAATTCTGTTGTTCTTATCCCTTTTTAGGCTCGTGGGGTGGGCGACTAAGCCCCCCTAGTCGGACCGTGTTGGAAGACCGAGCTCTGTAGCCCCCGCTGCGTTGGCCAGCAAGGCCCCGACCTTGCTCCTCCTCCTGACCCTCCTGACGGCTCCCCTCCCTCCTCTGTTGTTGGGTCGAGCCCCAAGCCCCCAGTGGTGATCACCTCTTCCCCTGGCACGGCTCGGTCTCTAGTAGTGACTACTGTGCCTTTTAACCCCTCTGAGGGTTCTCGATGCCATCCTCGACACGGTCGCGCTCCCTGGATTTTGGTGCTCGTCCTGGTCGCTTTCGTGGCTATACCTTTCTCTTTAACCCCCCCCCCCCTCCCCTCCCCAGCTGTAAGTCTGCAGATGGTGTGGGGCTACTCTATTGTTTTTCCTGACCACACTTATATGTATCGCCTCCCTTCGGAGACTAGCATCTTTACAGCGGAACTTTATGCTATTCCCCATGCTCTCCGTCTCCTGCTTTCTCGTTGTCAATCCTCTTTTGTGATTGTAGTTGACTCTCGTAGTGCCCTCATTGCTCTTGGGTCCTTTAATTCTGTCCATCCGGTAGTCGTCGAGATTCAACATTGGCTGTTTCTTATCTCTAGTAAATTTAAATCCGTGCAGTTTTGCCGAGTTCCCAGCCATGTTGCTGTTTCTTTAAATGAGCGTGCGGATGCTACCACTAGAGGTTATCCACTCTTGTCCCTTTTCCCGTAAAGGTATTCATTTTTCTGACTTTTATCCGGTTATTCATTCCTCCATCCTTGCCCATTGGCAGGGTTGTTGGTAACAAACTGTATACTCTTAAGCATTGTGTGTTCCCGTGGCCTTCCTCCTGCCATAACCGGTGGTGGGAAACGACTCTAACACGGTTGCGTCTTGGCCATACTCGCTTAACTCACGGTCACTTATGGAGCGCCGCCCAGCTCCTTGTTGTCCAAATTGCATTGTCCCTCTTACCGTCATGCATATCCTTGTTGAATGTCCTGACTTCCAGGACGAGCGTGTGTCTTGCTTTCCGACCGCCCCTCGCGGTCACTTGTCCCTCGATAGAATTCTTGGTGAATCGGATACTTTTGATATCATTTGCCTTATGTGTTTTTGTACTTGTATTGGCATCCTTGATGATATTTAGTGCCATCTGATTACTCCGCACATTTGATGGTGCTACATAGCCTTCCCGGTTTGGTGCCTTCTTTTGATAATTACTTACTTCTTCAGAACCAATACCAGCCCACGGCCCGCACCAGCATTTTCACCATCCACAGCAGGAGGGGCAACCACCCCCCACCGCAGAGAACCCTCTGGAGAAGAAAGAACATGTGATGAGTCAAATGCACAATCATCGGCAGCAGCGGGCACATGGACCTCAGCCACCACCGTCGTCGCAGAGTACGACTCGCCCATAATCACCCCATCGCTGCCCAAAGACCTACCATCGTCGAAGTCTCCCACATCAGCCCAGGCAGTAGACGAACGCTGGGAATGCTTGGGCTCTGGCCGCACATCATCGGAGCCGGAGGCGGACCCAGAACCACAGACAAAGCAGGCAGAGTGAACCAACGCCCTTCGCAGAACGGCAGCAGCCTCGACCACAGGGAGAACCGGGCCGCACACAGCAGGAGGTGCCACAGCCGCCCCATCACCCAGCACATCCATGACACAAGACAAAGACGCAGTAGTTGGAGACGAGGAAGAGGGCGCCGACGACGCACAGAGAACGCCCGGAAGACCCTCGGGAGCAGCTGGGACAGCGACCGAAGCAAGAAGAACCGCCGACGGCGCCTCGGCAGCGAACGGGACGCCCACCTCCTCACCCTCAGAGTCCTCCCTCACAGGGAGCGGCGGGATATCCTCTTCCCGGAACATGTTCACGGGAGCAACCACATCCGCAGTGCACCTGGCAGCCTGATGCCCCAACATGCCCCAACGAAAACATATTCGCGGGTGCTTGGCATAGTACACCCAAACCTAATACCCTAAAAGCCGGACTGAAGATGGAATGTCCGACCGCAGGCGCATTCCTAAGGTACGAATGTTGGTCCACATACCCGTAAACTTGCCTGAAGACAGCGTGTGCATCCGCACACTGACGACAGCGCCAAACCGCTGGAAGTAACGCCGGAGGAGGGCCTTGGGAAAACTCCATACGCACCCCATAGACACTCGCATATGTCATGGCACCACTATGGTCCGTAATGGTCACAGAGCCGGCACCATCTGGCAGCTGCAAGGAACGGCCCACGTACCGCGGAAAAAGTCACGGTAGACTGCCTCCTCCTCTAACTTGATAATGACAAGGTAAGCAGTTACCAGCTCAACACCATATATGTCATCGACTAGGATACGGAGCATGTCACACATGACAAGCTCCACTACAGGGTACTCAGCATGGCCAGTAAACTCCAGTCCGGTGGAGTTTAACCGCACGACAGCGGAAATAGGGCCGCCCATCGCAAAACACGCCACGTCCCCACCACCAGGAACAGCAGGGAGGGTAGACACCACCACACCCCCTGCTGGCGAAAACAGCAACTACCCCAAACTGCCGGAGCGGTCAAGTGACACGTCCTCACTCAACGGCAGCGCAGGTGGAACTCCTAGTCATAGTAGTTAGACCCTTTACCAGCGCTCTGGCGGTCACCCCCATCTCTTATCTTGGTACCATCTCTCTTGACTACACTGTAGTTTAGTCCCCTTGTTGCGATCTAATCTTTAGCTTGAAAATCGGTACCGCATCTGCAACACAAAGATCAAAGCCCCATGGTTGTAATGATTAAATAAGCAGGACCGAAAATAACAAAGTTCATCTTTACATTCCTTAACAACACCTAGTAAATACTTTGTCCTGGCAACTTTGTATTTATTAAACGGGTTAGCTTTAAAACACTTAATCTTTAGTGATTAAGTTTAGTTTAGAAAACACTTTAATCAATGAAAACAAAGCCACCATGAGTGAGAAAATCTAAAGGTCTTTTAAGTAGACCCTCAAATGCTTGATGAGACAGTGACTGACAACTCTCTCTCTCTCTCTCAGGATCAAGATGTGCACCGAGGTCAATTTTGAAAACCTGGCCACTATCCACCACGAGTTGGGACACATTCAGTACTTTATGCAGTACGCTCACCAGCCTTTCATGTACAGGTAGCTACTCGCTCGCCTCTCGTCTATTAGGAAGGAAAACGCAGTAAGTCATCTATATCAATAAGAGAATGTGTGTTCAGGTTGGAGGCCAGATGCTCAGGGCTAGCCTCGCCAATCTTCCTCGCATAAAGTATATGGGGGTAGGGAAGTGTCACAGACAAGTAGAGTTGAGCACAAGTGAAATGCTTTAAGAAATATTGTCATACATAAAGAATTCCCCCCCCCCCCCATGAGATTTTCATAGTCAAATCGGGTATATTGGTTGTTTTCCCTAGTTGTTTCAGAGCTTAATGTGGAAAGAACTGGTAATCTCTCGCTGCCTGTGACAGCTATCATTGTTCACCCCGTTCTCCTTCCTCCCTCTCCTTCAGTCTCCTATTCCTTCCCTCACCCACTCCTTTACTCGTCCCTTATTCTGCCCCCCCCCCCCCCCCCCTTCCCCTCTCCTCTCCTCTCTCTCACACCATCCAGTCAGTTCTCTTCATTTCGCCTCCATGTCCAACTTCATCTTCGTATCTCCTACAGGAACGGCGCTAACGATGGCTTCCACGAAGCCATCGGGGAGCTGATGATCTTGTCTATGTCCACACCCAAGCACTTGGCCAAGGTCGGTCTTCTGGAGGAAGTTCCCGAGAACACGGGTAAGGATTGCTAAACGTGAACCCGCTCTGAATGCTGTTCTAACCAGTTTAGTTCATTTATGTACCCCATACCCATTCTGTGGGCGGTAGTGGGAAGTACACAATGGACTCGGGGACTGAACCCCAAAATTAATTTAGCTAAGCAAGTTATGGTCTTGATGAGGTAGTTAGAAAATTCAATGCACATAGTCACATCAACAATGGGCTCGAGACCGACCACAAGTACAGTTTTTAAATTAAGCAACTGACAAAGTGGAGAGCTAGTGTCACAATTGATATGTTTATCTTGCAGTACAAATACATTTTGGAATTTTTTGTTGGCGGATTTGGATTATTTTTATTGGCGGATGTAGTTACTTTTGTTGGTGAATTTGGATTTTTTGTTGGCAGATTTGATTTTTTTAACGGATTTGGATTTTTGTTGAGAGATTTGGGATTTTTTCAAATTGTCAAGCCCTCCAAAGCTTTGTCAGGCATCAAAGCAAACAGAGGTGCAGCATTATTCACTAAAAATCTGATGTCTGCAAGGTACATCATTGACATTGGCACTATAGCCCGAGTGATGACCTGCAACAGCTTTGAGAGCTGAGCCTCTATACTGACGAAAGAGTAACAACTACATTCTTAGAATATGCTGTCAAATATAGATACTGTTCTTAAAAGCTTCGCCCCCCCCCCATTTTGCACCTACAACATAACGTAAGATTTAAGGGTTGACAAATGTTAATCATCATGTTTGAGAAGCTGTTCACTTGAGACAGTTGAGCAACTCCCAGCTGTGTCTGGGTACAAGTGACAGAATCAACAACCCAGCGGGTTTAGTTCCTATTGGAGACTGCTGTACATGCTGCTATGGCGGTATATCCACTAACAGGGTGAGTGGCGCTGCCCAATAATCTCGTCTTTCGGACCAAATTAAAGCATGTACTAGAAGTCACATCCCCTCCCCCTCCGGAGAAAAACAGTGAACATTAAATGGCAACATATCTAGAAATTAAGACTAAGGGGATACTCGAGCATTTATCCTCTAGAGTTTCCAGAGATTTTACATTGTTTCTGCAGTGCAGTGGCCAAAATTGCACTGCGTGGTCAAGTAAGAGTCGCACGAGGGTACGTGGGAGACTGATATGAAGTTTGCTTTAATCTTCAAATTCAGGTTGAAGTCTTATCAAGGGCAGGAGGGTTATTAAGGACTATTAACCATAGAAGGGCTAAGGCCACTATATAATTGAGACAAATATCTTCACACGTGTTTTTAAAATAAGGTACATTTGTTTACACGTGTCTAAAAACAGTAGAATACCCGAAAATTATGTTTACAGAGACAAATATCAACTTCCTGTTGCGGACGGCGCTGCGGTCTGTGCCGATCCTGCCATTCAGTCTTGCGATTGACTTGTGGCGCTCGAAGGTCTTGAGTGGCGACTATGACTCGCGCGAGTACAACACTCGCTACTGGAAGCTCACGTATGTGTGTGTTCTTCTGCTTATGGTTAAGGTGTCTACTTAAATAACTGGTGAGGGTTCAGTTCGGTGGTGGAAAGGGTTAGAGGAATATAAAGGGTTCACAAACTGAACTTCATAGTTTGTTTAGCTAAGCAAGTGACAATCTTGTGAAGCGTGTTATAATTTTGAATACAGACACGCATACACGCGCGCGCGCGCACACACACACACACACACACACACACACACAGACAGACAGACAGACAGACAGACAGACAGACAGACAGACAGACAGACAGACAGACAGACAGACAGACAGACAGACAGACAGACAGACAGACACACACACACACATACATACACATACACACATACACACACACTATTTTATAGAGGGAAATTTAGATATCCAGAACATCCCCCCTAAAATTAAATGTCTTGTATGTTGTTGATAGTACAAATATTTCGTGATAGACCAATAGAAATTAGACTTTTGTCACTGAATTTAGAAAAACTGGAAAAGTTACTTTTGTTTTTTCTAATTAAACCTAATCTTCCTAAGCCTTGTGCACGCAATCTGAGAAATATAGTACATATTTACTATACTAGGAATATTTTGGAAGATCACACGTCTTCGCAACTTTACTCCAAAAGACTATGTCCAGCCCACATCCTGGGTCGTGTGCACAGCTATAATGGAGGCAATACCAGGCGTTCCAGAGGAATAATTACTCTGACCTCCACTATCATATGGCAGAGTTAATGGTCAAGAATATCGGGTCATAATATATTCTCCTAGTTGCGTTTATAAGCTCTAGAAATAGCCAGATAATACAATGACTTTATTTACATCAGTTTCTCGTAGAACTTCCTTTTAAAGTTGCTTATTGAAATTGTTTCGACGATTTCCTCTTGTGGCTCGTTCCATTTGCTGTCGGCTCTTATTCTGAAGTTTTTCCTGACGTCGCTGCGGCTCGTCTGCATCTCCAGCTTTCACCCGTCTCCTCTGAACTTATCGTTTCTCGTTTTGAATATTACCTGTGTGTCCCGCCTACCTGTTCCTCTTAATGCTACGCATGTTATTATATCCTCCCTTGGTTCACCTTGCCTCCACCCTGGTGAGCTTCATCTCTAAAGTTTAAATTTATTGACACGACAAAATGCATCTCAAAGGGATAGAGTAGCTTAGGCTATTTCTACTCTGTGGTAGAAACCTTGGGCTCCCTCGACTTTCTCTCGGTTCCTCAGCTTTAGAAAGTCTAGTCCCGTCTCTCTCATTTTTCAGATATTTATTATTTCTGACTTGCATTCCATGCTAGTGTTGCATACTAAAGAACTGGTCTTATATAAGTTATAAGTCTCCGTGGTGTAGTGGTAAGACACTCGCCTGGTGTTCCGCGAGCGCTTTATCATGGGTTCGTATCCTGGCCGGGAAGGATTTACTGCGCGTTAATCCTTAACTGTACCCTCTGTTTAACCCAACAGTAAAATGGGTACTTGGAACGATTCTTCGTGGGGTCGTATTCCAGGGACTTACCCGAAACTCTACGCCTACTAGTGGCTGTACAAGAATGTAACAACTCTTGTATATATCTAAAAAAAAATATATGTATGTATAGGATTTTAAAGGCCTCCATTTAGTTTTCTGAAAATTAGGCATATTCTGCAGATGTTAATGAATTCCTCGTGCGTCAGGTTTTGTTACATGTACGCTCAGATCCTTCTCTCGTAGTGTTGCTAAGGAGAGTGTCCCGGCATTGTTAGTGACTTCAGGTCGGTTCTATTATGGCACTGAAAACTTCTCGCACACAGGGAGCAGTACCTGGGAGTGGAGGCACCTGTGAGCCGGACGGACGAGGACCTAGATCCTCTTGCCATATTTCACATCGCTATCGGCGATAATATGATCCGTTACTTCAAGATGACCATCCTGCAGTTCCAGGTAGGTCGCACTGTTGCTTCGTATCAAATTTCAGATAGCAATTTGTTCCGACATGTAAACTGCATGAAATCATACTGCACTGACCATATTTCTATTTCATATATTGCGTGACCTCCGTCTGTGACGTGGGCTGTGATCTTTGACCTGAGGGCGCGTCCACAGTTCTTTGAGAAGCTGTGCGAGGCGGCGGGGCATGAAGGGCCGCTCCACACCTGTGACTTCTATGGGTCAAAGGAAGCGGGGAACCTTTTAGCGTAAGACCCACCTCCTGTGTACACTATGTATTGCATATATTAAATGTAATTTTTTGAGTTAAATGCTAAAACTGTTAATTTTTAAAAATCCAGCTGGAAAGATCAAGGCAAATGGGGAAGGGGTACTTTTCTTCCTGTCTACTGTTAAAGACACTTCGCTTCTTGGTCTTTCAGACATCGCGGTCTAGGCATTACCACTTTTGCACTTGCGGCATTCTGAAAAAAAAAACATACCTGTTGTGCTTTTGGCGTTTCGCGCGCCTAAGCGGTAAGACCGAAAAGTGTATACTCTTTTGACTGTCCTGACACTAATTGTAGGCGTACGTATTTAAATTTAGTATCACTGTGTTCGCAATAGAATTGTCTATATGAACATACCTATAAAATGCCGCTAAAGCATAAGGCATATCAACACCAAATAAAAAACTATTCAGATCACTCGCCAAGAGCGCCAAACAGCAACAAAATGTTTCCACTCTCTTAATGGTTGTGAAGCCCACAGTTGTGCTACAGCGTTAATTTTGGTATCACTGAAATCGCAATAAAATTCTCTACACGGACATATGCATATAAATATAGATTCAATGTCGTAGCCCACCCAAAACTGTGGGAAGTGGCCGAAGTGTTACCCGCGGCGGCATATCGGCGAAACTCGCTTTGAAAAGTGTATATTCAATTCACTGTCCTGACATTATTTTTCGATGTATGTATTTCATTTTTGTTCCAATGTGTTCGCAATAGAATGTTCTATAAGAACATAAGTATTAAAGGTCACATAAGGATGCGTTCGACCGGCAACATATATAAAAACTACGTCGATTATACTCGTCGTGTCAATAATACAATTGTTTTACCATGATGATTCACTGTCACGCCGTTCTCTTTAATAAGCTGTTTGGCTATTAGAGAAAACGTAACTTTCATGGCAAACATTTATAAACTATCCCCAAGTTGATCGAAATGGATTTTATACAAATATTTCTTCTCGTGACTCGCGAGCGCGGCACGCCAGCGTAGTCAGTAGGAACATTGGTGACGACTATGTTGTCACCAAAGCGCGAAAGTGTTTATTATCATCAGGATTGGTGTTGATATATCACACACTTTAATTCAAGGGCCTTGGGTGCTTATTTCATAAATTGTTCTATAAAATGCAATCAATTTCTGAGAAAATTGGTAGTAGCCACAAGTAGGATTCGAACGCGCACATTGTGTACTCCAAAGCTGGTTCAAATCCCCCCACATGAAGTCCTGATTTTTTTTATTGATGCATCACTTTAATGTGATGCATCAAATTTCTCTCTCCAGATATTAAGATATTCACACCCATCAGCACTTGCTCCTACTAACCTGTGACTGGACATTATCTGGCTCTTCTACTTAACATTACAACCCATCCTCCTGTTTACATGGTACTTTTTGTAACTGTGCTACTATAGTACCATTATAGGTAGTACTTATAGTACCATTGACGTACTAAGCAATTAGATATAATGTGAATTGCACCAAATTCTAGGTTCGAAAAAATACAGCTAAACAAAATATTCCTAGGCCTAGTATAGCTATATATATATAATTACTCCTCAGATAGTGTATTAGGCCTTGGAAGGTTAGGTTAATTTAGATTGTCTTTGTCACGTAAATACAAACTTTTGCGGTTTGTCCAAATTCATTAGTAACGATTTCTACTTTTCTAATTGTCCTTTACGTCATATATGTACTATGGTCCTCATCGTTACTATAAGTTCCAACTAAACGGAAGGACCAGCTGTCAGACTCCTCGCCTTTATATGCGAAAATAAACATATGAGCGGAAATGGACTCAGGATGGCAAAGATGGGGAGGTGTGTTAATGGTTGTATGAAAATGTGTGGTTTAGTCAAGAGTGAGATTGTGAGTCGAAGTATGTTTGAGAGTTAGTCCCAATTAAGATAGGTTAGGGTAGATTATGGTAGTGTAAGTTAGAGTACATTAAGTAACATGTGGTTAATAAACACTTTAACGCTCGCGGCGATATGGACTGGACATAGCCCCTCATGCGCCCGGCGTTTGCGGGTGACCGAGCGGCAACACTGAAAAGTGTGTACTCTTTTTCGCTGTCCTGACCTTAATTTTTGATGTACCGATTTCATTTTTGTACCAAAGTGTTTGCAATAGAATGATCTATAAGAGCATATAAGAACATATGTATATGTCACCAAAGCACGAGTTAAATTACACAAAAAGCTAAAGAACTACATCGATCACTAGCCGTGAGCACCAAACAGCGACGAAATGTTCTATTCTTTTTCAGGGTTGTCAACTCCACACTTGTCCTACAGCGTTAAATTTGGTATCACTGTGATCGCAATTAAATTCCCTACATGGACATATGCATATAAATGTAGAATCATGATCGCGGCCCACACAAAAAGTGTGTGAAGTGGGCGATTACCCTCGCCATGTCAACAATACAATAGTCTTTCCACTGTTACGATATAATGCCGTTTTCTCAAATAGGCCATGTGCCTATTAGAGAAAACGGAAATTTAATGGCAAACATTTTCATTCTAACCCCAAGTCGATCGGATAAGAATTGGATTTTATACAAATATTTTTTAATCGCACGTAAATTTACGACGCTCTGGCAACTACTGGTCAAAATACTGCTATTTACGCGTCGTTTATTTACGACCCAGGCGCGCTAAAGTGTTGTGCAATGAGGTTAGGTTGGTTGAAGATCCTGTCTGCATCCGTTTTAAGGCATTTTTAGTTTGGGGATCCATGCTGGAGCTGTACACTGTAGCATTAGTTCCACGTAGGTTGTGTATTAGGTCTTAGCCTGGTTCATAAGAGCACACTGATCATCATCATTACATAACATACGCTGATGTCACGCTGTTGAGCTCTAGCGGGAGAATTGATGTTCAACTCTCACAGAGATCACACTAACGTGATGCATCAAATGAACCAATCCACAAGGATTTGTGGATTTTTCATTTGATGCATCACGTTAGTGTGATCTCTGTGTGTGATGATGTAAGGGCGAAGAGGGAGAACGGCCTATTGACATAGCTCGGCTGCAGGGGGGGGGGGTTGTGTAAAAGCCTGGTTTGTGCCTCGGAGAGGCTACGGGGAACTTCGGTTTCAACCCCTTTTTAACCCTGCTGTAGCTCAGTCGATTAAGGCAGTGTCTGGGATGCTCCCAGACGCAGGTTCGAATCCTCGTCACGGCCCTTGTGGATTTGTTCAATTGATGTTCAACTTATTCCCAGATATTTAATTTGTCTCGGGGATATTTCTCATTTGTTACATAATTCCAAATCAGGTTTGTCCATATATCGACACAAGTATCGTATTTTTTTCCAGAAAGGTACTGTCGATGGGATCCTCTAAGCCCTGGGAGGATGCACTGGAGGTTATGACGGGAGAGCGACACATGAACCCTCGGCCGCTCCTGCGCTATTTCCAGCCTCTCCAGCAGTGGCTGTTGGAGGACAACATTAAAGACGGAGATGGAGTTGGATGGGGTGACTCCTGGGCCCTCCTCAATAGTAAGATTTTGTTATGAGTCTTAGGACTAAGTGCTATACGAGTTTAGTTCATTCATTGCGCACCCCACAGTCATCCTGTGGCGATAGTGGACAAAGTTAGAGGCACAATGAGCTCGGAACTGAACCTTTAAAATTAATTTAGCTAAGCAACTTAGTCTCGATAGGCTACAGCGAAAGGGGTGAGACGGCGAACTTGGCGTCTCGCTTCAGGAAAAGACAGACGATCCCGGTGTTTCAAGTTGAGGACGGCTTCCTCAAGTTTGTAGTGTCTACACGAGCAGGTAGGGTGGGCCTCGCCGCAATTGAGGCAGCGATCCTGGGGAGAAGTGCACTCGGACTTAGTGATCATCGGCCTCACACATGGGGCATAGATACACAGTACTTGAGCATTTGAGGACACCATGTCCGAGCTTTTAGCACTTATTGCAAAGTCTAAGAGAGCGAATGTACTCCGGAATGGAGCATCTGGCACCAGCAAGAATTATAGAGGGCGGACGGGTCCTACTATCAAAGGTGATTTTCACAACTCGAAGGGGCTGACGGCGACGACCATGAGGAGGTAAACGTGTCAACCTGGGGCTTCGAGGATATGTTTAATATCCTCATGGCAGTCTTTTAGGTCCCTAACACAAGTCGCAACATGTGGTAGGAGAACAGTGCCAACACTGGCATTTAAGAGTTTGTGGAGACCCGAACAGGGGTCTCCCCAATGCAGGATAATACGGCTAAGCGGGTAGCTGCATCCGGTGAAGGAGCAGCGACGACACGTGTACCTAAACAGGTGGGGTTAAAAGTAACAGAGGCATCCACTGAATCAACGAGGTGTTTATGGAGTGAAAAATCGTCAGGTGTAGAATCCAGAGGGAGGAGATCAAAGTATTTAGCCCACGAAGCAGGATCAAACAAGGCTTGGTATGTATTAGTATGTGAAGGGATCATGTGAGTGCGGCCGTGGCAGGGACGGCGTTGAGAACACCCCAGAGAGAGAGAGAGAGAGGGGGGGGGGGGTTAAAAGGTGCAGTAGTCACAATGAAAGACTGAGCCGCGACAAAGGACGAGGTGTCACCGCTGGGATCGTATGGATCGACCCAACCACAGAGGGAGGGAAGCCGAGGGAAGTAGTCAGGAGGGTCAAAGGATCATCTAGGTCTGGGCCCAATGTAGCGGGGCTACAGAGTCCGGTCTTCCAACACAGTCCGACTCGGGGGCTTGGTCGCCCACCCCACGAGCCTGAGAAGTCACAATAGGAACAGTATTCATCGACATGGAAGCAAGAGGTAATACTTTGTCATGAATGTGCCCCCGCACCCACCACGGAGGCACAATTGGAGGCAGGACAGCCAACAAGAGACATGTTGCCGATCTTGCCGGAGCTTCCCCCCCCCCCCCAGAGGTGCATCGTGAGTATACGCCCCACAAACGCCACCTTAAGAACCGTCAGTCCGTCGAGAACGGGTTCAGGGACGAGAGGAAGATTGACAATAAAAGGGTCCCCTTGCTCGAGACGTTGGGTACTAGTTCTATGGGTGAGAGAGTATTCCTCCTCAAACATCCGGGCATCAAAACAGAAATAGTCTGAAAGAATAATCAAGACTGGCAAAAGGTCGGTAGGAAATGACAATGAGAAAGGAGAAGATGGGGAGGGGGGGAGAAACACAAGGAAAAGGAAATGACTTCTGGCACAATTGGTAAAGACAGCAGCAGAAGTATAAGCTTCAAAAAGGACATAGGACTGACCCATGGAGCATCACACTTGGTGGATGAGGCAGCCATCCACCCAGCCCCCTCACGACGACATAGCCAGAAGGGTGGGGGTCAAGACACTAAATCTTTTTGCTTCCCACAGACAACCACTGAACCTTGGAATAAAGTCACCTCATGCCAGTGTCTCCTGCAGCACTATGATGGATTTGATTTTCTCGCATATAGTGTCACTGATCCTCTTGCAGATTCCATTGCAATTCCATAAAACATCATTTAGTTTTAATTATAGAATGCATCATATCTACTTTTTATAAAATAATGTTAAGAATTTCTGCAGTTTACCAGACTTTATGCATTTTTGGTAACTGCTTATTTATGGCATTTATTTTCTAAACACTGCATTATTTCAGGTTCAGCTGGTACATGGATGCTCCAGGGACAGTGCACACCATTACTGCTCCTGCTGTCACTACTACAAGTACTGTATTACATGTTGGTAAGTTACTAACATAAATCAACCCGTCCTCCTAAGGTTTCCCAACGTCAGGAAACTGTTGAACAAAAGTGTCCTTATCCTAACCTACCAGAGGACCCAAAACAAAATGGGACAGAATGTCAATTTTGTGAGCCACTACCATTTTCTAACAAGACAATTTTTGGCCTTGGGTGAAGTATGTCAAAATGCGAAGTTATACAGTATTAGGACTTGTTACAAATACTACTAATATTGTTACATATTAATAAAGGCCTTTCAGCCAAACAGTTGAGAATATATGCTTAAAATGGTTTTTCTGTGTACTATCCATTAATACAACTAGTACCACTACCATTCCTACTTTTTATTTTCACTACCACCATTAAATAAATATTAAAGACAAGCTCCAAGCCTGTTAGACTGTGTAGTGCCATCTGTGGCACAGAACAGTTAGTCTTGGATATCATTCAAGATGGAAATGCAAAACCCAATGCACATAAAACGAGCGAAATCTAAACATATCAGATCCACTGAGGATTTTTATCGAGGAAGGGACAAGAGAGAAATAGTATTAAAAGGAGGAATCACAGTAAACATTAGCACTGAGAGTTGCAGGATTTTCAAAGCAATAAATATCACAGAGGATGCCAATACAAGAACAAAAAGACAAGAGGCGATCAATGTCAAATGTATCTGATGCACCCAGGATACTACTGAGGAACAAATGACCCTAAGAGACATTAGGAAAGCAAGACGAGGAATTTCTTATGTTTGCAAAGCTGGCAAACATAAGAACTGCCTTTAGAAACTTGTCATTCAGATTCTTGTATACCTCATATGTCAGACCAATATTGGAGTATGCAGCTCCAGTGTGGAGTCCATATCTAGTCAAACACACAGTAAAGTTAGAAGAAATGGTTAAAAAGTTAGTCCCCCAAGCTGAGGGGTTATGAGCTACGATGAAAGATTACTGGACCTAATTCTCACAACACTGGAAGTGTTAAGGGAGTCATGATCACCACCAATAAAATCATCAGGAATTGACAGGCAAGGTAAACTATTTAGCACAGGTGGTATACGGACAAGGAAACACAGGTGGAAACTTAATACCCAAACAACCAGGACTGTTGGGTATTAACCAGGACCAGGGGACTTTCTAACAACCACAGGGATGTTAGAAAGAACTTTTTCAGTGTCAAAATAGTTAACAAAATACATTAGGACATGATGATGTGAGGGCAAACGCATACAGTTTAAAATGTAGATATGATATAGCCAATAGGCTCAGGAATCTGTATACCAGTTGAAAGTGGGGCCCAAAGAGCCGAAACTTAACTCCTGCAAGCACAGCCGAATACATACGACCACAAAAATCATGGTGTTCTGTAAGGTGGTGCACAACTAAGTGGGACAATGCAGCTCAGACAAAAAGGAGCAAGATGACATACCATTAAATGCCCAGGAGTTAAGCTTGTATGGCTAATATGTAATCTAGCAAAAGCAGTTTCCCATTGTCTATTATGGTGGTAGGAGGAAGGCCAGGGAGATATTACTTTTGAGTGTAGTGTGTCACCTGTAACCTCAGACCAGTGACTCTGCCAGCGGTCATGGATAGAGGAATAACTGGGTAGATGTCTGAATAAGGCCATTTTTGGAAATGGGACAAGTGTAGACAGCCTTCTTAGCAGCCGTATTCACACATTTATTTAATGTAATACCAATATGTTGCTATAAGTGTTTCACTAATCACAAGCCAAATATGTTACAGTATACTGAATATATCGGCAATATAAACATGCTTAAATATTTTACAATGAATACCTTGTACATCCTCAGGGATAATGAGGAAACCTTTGACATTCCACCAGCTGTGCCTGCTTCGGCCACTAGAGATAATGGGCCTCGGTAAATTTACTCGTATGGATGATTGTAAAAAAAATTTAGCATATACCTTTATTGGCATATACATAAAATAATAACAAAAGTAGTTCACACACAACAATATTCATGGTAGGAAAAGTAATGTCACCAGCCTCCGTACAATTCCGCCTTTCCCAACACAGCTGGAGGGGAACTACAGGCTTGGACATTATACAATATATACATTATCCAGTGCATCTCATTTGTCTTTCCCATAACAGTGAAACAATCTCTCTACAAGAATACACTTTGACAACAATGCTTTGAATATCTCACTCAATAAAGCACATTGTAATTATGGCTGATCATGGAAAATATAAGCAAACTTTAAGTAACGATAACTAAAGTGGCCGATTTAGTTTATGGTTAATCGAGCAGTTAATGATGCAAGACGAGAAAATGACAGAACAAAAACTTGCGCGTGCAACAGTTGTAAAATACCTTTAATGCCAGAGCATGCTTGGAGTATAGATACCGTACTATTCAAATTCACTCTGTTCCCGAGCACAGAACTGACATGACCTACACTTCATTTTTTCAAATTAATAAATGCTTCTATAAATTTAAATATCCAGAATCAAAACACTATCTTTGAAATTAATCCCAAACACTTCTCTTGGTAAAATGCCCGATTCCAAGTGCCAGGAAAGTAAAAGTACCATATCGCACAGAAGCCACCCAGATCACAATCGGCCAGCCCTCACGTGGGATTCACATGCATGGCAGAATTTACATATTACTACAATCCTCTATTTGCACATCTGTAATATATAATTTGAATGCTTTCTTTTTTCCAATTTATATCAAGATAAATCCAAAAACTTACTTATTGTAGTACTGGAATAGGAATAAGTAATTAGCAAAAGAATTGGTACTACAACAGTCCTGGTAATTTCCAAAGAATGAAAGAAGATATTTAATACGTGATATAATTCAATAAATTGACATGCCAAATTTTTATATATACATTTCAGTTAACAAAGAATGAAGGTTTGCAAAAATTGTGTTCAAGATACAAAGCACAATTACAAAAATTTAAGAGCTTCATCTCTAATTGTAATCAGTAAATTGATTAAGCTTACAAATTCAGCTTAAAAACCTTCAAATTTCACATAATAAATCTCATGACACCAACAGCATAACTTGCTTAAATTTTCTTCATTCTAAATTAACCATACTCCTTACTAACATGCTGATGCTTTTATTATGTATTCTATGAATGCTATACAGCTATTAACATAAAGTTAATTAAAAAACACGTCACTCGGGACATAAAGGTGACAAAGGCGTAATGCAAAGCCTGAGGTACCGCTCACTGTGTTGGTCATGTAGAGGTGCTGCTGCTGCTTGGCAAAAATTAACTGTGATTGGAATGGCCTATATGTATTTACAAACATTACCTATGCCAAAAAAAAAAAGTCATGAAAACATTGAATGCATATACACACACACACGCACGCACGCACAAATGAATGCAGTCACACTAGCAGCTGCATTTATACGTATCTGGATTTCTATTTATTACAAAATCCTTACTTGCATTAGGAACCCTTTTTTCTGAGGAAGCCACTAGAAAACAATTCATTAACACTGACAAAAAACAACTCTGATATTCCCAATTAAACCACCAGCTAACTTAAATCAAACAGAAGACATAATGCATTAAATAAGGCCATAACTAAGGGCATGCAATGTAACATGCACACACATTACATGCAAAGCTGTTCCTGGCACAACTTCAAGGCTGGGTCCTGCAACCCCCTTTGCTGCTATTCTGTCTGGTAATGTTAATATATACAGTACAGCACTTTCAAACAATCTGGAAAAACAACAAGTTGTGATTTGATGATTATCACCTTGCTGGTAGTACAAGATGATCTCTTCTAACTTAGGTATTTAAAAATGATGACCAAACCATACACCAGAAGATGAAGAGACATCTTCATCATATCTTCATCTTCTGATGTGTGGATTGGTCATCATATCTTCAGTCACGTTATTGCGACTCATTGTCTGCAGTTAAAAATTATACCAGATTTTTTTCCATGGGTCTAGGTTATCTCCGTTATATCCACTCAGATGTATTATAAACAAACATGTAATTTGAATATCGGGTGATAAATAAAAACTACATCTGATAACACATTACCCCAGGGATCAACACATGATGATAACCACCTTTTAAGGGTTAATTCGAGAGAGGCTAATCACACATGAATTACTTCTTGCATAGACATTAAAAAACAATTAAGTTAAGTCGTCATGATCTTTAAGAAATTTGTAACTATTAAATAATAGATGCAACACATATCATAAGATCTAAAAAGCAAGAACCCGTAAGCTGTGGATGTAATACTGAAGCCTAGGAAAATTGTCGCATTATTTTATATCGTAAATGCAGCTTAATTTATAAAATATTGATGCCTAGCAAAATTGATGCATTCTTTTATAAAGTAATTGAACGTCCAAGCTCATCATATCAAGGTCTTCAAAGGTATCTATTCTTTTAGCACAAAAACCTGTTAAATCTCATTGCCTGAGATTTTTTGAAACTCGTTTTTTTCTGCATCATCCACATTTTCAATTGTCTACCTGTAAATGTAGATGTTTTTCATTAAAACTGAATTTAATGAAACAAAATATACACATTTCAAAAAAATATTATCGCAAAATGTAGTTAAAACATTTCTTCCATTTCATGTGAAATCATCTAGTAACTAACTTCAGAAGTAAGTAATACACAATTAATTTTAGCCACTACAGGCAGTAACCATTTCTTACCCTTTATTCCTACAAATAAACAACAGCATTATTATACAATATAAAAAGTCGCTCCTTTAAATATTATGTCAATACAGGTATCCATTTCTGAAAAAATAACATGTTCAGAAAGTTTAAATTATTTTTCTTTTAAGCTGACACATCAATAGAAGATTTACAACCATTGAAAATTATATTTTATAATTCCATTAACATGTACACTATTTTTTTCTACAGTAAGACAACTATTTTTATCGGTCGTAATTTGAGCTGCAATAACAAATTTTACGTTCACAATATTACTGCAATTATTGAGACACAAATTTAATAAATAAAATCCTGAACCCATTACCTCCAACATTCATCAGCACTTCATCGTTCATACCATATGAACATGCGTCATTCATAGTCCAATTTGAATTTAAATTTATCTTATACTTGGACATCAATGTACACCAACCGAATACATAACTTCACAATTAATATAGTCATTACAATTGTACTTTCTAGTGTAATTACACAACACAATCCATGTTTAATATATTATTACACAATTTGTTATGCATTCGCCAGACACCCAAACACGTTAGTAACAATCATGCAATATTTTTAACGTTTCTGGTTCATCCCATTGGAGTTTCTCATTACTATATTCTTTTCAAAAAGTCTGTGACTCTTAATCATCCCAGTACTTTGCGGAATTTGTCCTGCTCCAATCTTGTTAACCCCTTACTCTGCTCCAATTTTATTAACCCTTACTCTGCTCCAATCTTATTAACCCTTATACTGTTCCAATCACAATCTGTGATTTCTTCCTGCACACCAATTTCAATATGTGACTGATCCTTATAGGTGTTCAACGCCTTTTATTCCATACACACCTGTTTGTAGGACTCTTCAAAAGTTTAGCAGTTTTAAAGAGTTAAATCAAAATTAAAATTCATTCAAAATATGCACCTGTTTTTTCTCTCATTCATAATTACTAATATGTATGGACTGATTGCAAGTCTTGCCCTTTTGTATGATGAAACTTAACTAAATGAATACAAATACACTCACACATTATATATATTATATTATATATTGGCACCAATAAACCTAATGAGGTCTGAAAAGTCCATCCCTTATCTGGGTGAAAATTTCATTATGATCATCTTTCAGCATCTCCAGTCTTTTAACATCATAATACTGGATACAGTCTTAAGCACTTATTATCTGTAGCTAGTTTGGCTTCCCACTGTTAGGTTTATCGAGCCCCTCCCCCTTCCTCCAAAGCCAACGACTCGCCTTTCCCCAGGATTTGATCCTTGACAGTTACCTGATGCCCGGGTACCTGTTTACTGCCTGGCGAACAGGGGGAATCAGCTATAAGGAAACATGGGACAAATGTCTCATTCTGCCCAGAAATTGACCCAAGTCCACCTGACTGTGAGACAACTGTGCTGACCGTTGCACTGCTAAAGTCAGCCTAATAGATAACATCTGCCATAGTCAACACATAATGTAAAAATGCACTTTAAAACGTCTTTAATAAAGTAGTTATTATTACACTACACACAGAAATCACAATTGCGTGATGCATCAAATAAAATGATGCATCACGGCCCTTGTGGATTTGTTCATTTAGTTGTTATTAATGAAATTCTTGTTAATGGAGCAAATATAACAAAAGACTATTCACAAAAAGAACTAAACCAGATTATATAATGTCTTACATTAACAAGCCTGCAGTTGAACCCACAATTTTACTGATTTAACAGACACCTTGCATTGTATATTTTTATAACAGTATATTCATGAACAATATACAGTTACCTAAAAATATAAATATGTAAAGAAGCATTTTATATTTCTTGCATACAAACACACACACATTGTATACATAAACTACGTCATTCACATATTAACCACAACACATAAAAAATATTATATATAGAGCCAAATCATTTTGCATATACAAAACTGCATACATTTTACTTCTCTTATTTTTTTTTGCATTAGTATTTCAAATTTTCATAGTATTCATTAGTTCTCAAGTTTTTCTGCAGCTTTTTACACTATCATGACTTATCTATATTAAATTGAACTTAAAAAAAGCACAGTAACAAATATAGAATTGTTCGTAACAGTCATCCTTTCTTAAGAAAACTCCTTGACCACGCCACTTGCAAGATAACTTATCAGTATATAAAACAGCTCGGGTGTCAAGACAGGCAGGGAGCGATACCATGACTTACACGTGGTCTTAGTAAATAATGATATGATTAATGCTCACAGGAGAGGACGAAGAAGAAACACCATTAAAGGAAAGGGAGTGGTTAAAGATAGGATTTGTAGGATTATTTAACATTTATCGCCCTGCTGTATAAAATATTCGTGACATTCTTTTAGTCAGCAGGTATGGGGCATGAGCATACAAAACTATGGCCTAATGACTATTAAAATTCCCAGTTAATTAATGATATGCAAGCTTTAGCAACACGACAAAATACATTATTATTATTAATAATGAAGATACACTAATAGGTATTCCTTTACCCAAGTAGATAAACATGAAAAGTACAGTACAGTAACTGAAAAGTCAATTCAATTTCCAAAACAAATGTACCTACAGAATATTTTACAATCTATGGGCTACTTCAGATTTATGAAAATATAATGTATGATTTTATAGAAAACTACAGTACACCATTTTGTCATTAATTTATATTTCAAAATTAAGGGAACAGCAAGTAGACTCTAGTATTGCTATGCATTAAAAAAAAATGACAATAAACAATGTATACAAGACATTTACAAACATTATTCATTCACAAAAAGGCACAACCGTTTGATGCAAGGGAAACGGGACCCCATGTCCCCTCCCCCCATGGTACAGCCAAAACATTTTCCATTGCAATTAAGTTGCATCAAGCATTATATACAACTTGACAAATTATAATGATACTTTCTGGAGGCAAACAATCAGCCACTTTGAGCAATAAAGCTCCTTATACATAAAGTTGCAGACATTTCTATTGAAAGGTAGGTGCTGCTTTTCATATTGTAATTACAGTAATTAAAAAAAAAACAGGCAATATATACATAGGAATTCCATGAATACCTTTGCAAAAAAAGGAAAATGTTAATATTATTCAACTGGTAAGAAAATAAATAAGAGTACATACACGAAAGATAGGATTATGTAATCCGCTCAAAGTGACTGTCAATTCTTCGAGACTTGGGGCACACGCCAGTTAAGGTAACTCCCAAAAAGATACACTATAGTATATATTAAACTGTTAAGCTAAGTGATGCTTGACACCTTAGTCTAATTAAATATGAATAACAGCACTATGTGAAGGACGAACATTGCTAGCCATTGTGTCTTTGCAAGACATATCACAATCTATCTGCCTATTGATTACATAGGTCATATCCCATGAGTATCATGAAATGCTAAATACTCCAAGGTGTCACTATGTATACACATACACATTATCTCACATATACAAGTAAATTATATATATACGGTATAGTAAATGCCCGTTAAGCAGAAGTCAGAATATCAGACGAGATGATGATTCGGAGAACTTTCTGATTATCTGAAGACCATTCACAAACTGTAGTCCCGTAATTTATGGCCTCTCGACTTACATACAGTGAAGTTTTACGACCACTTTTTAATTTCCAAACTTAAATCTTGTACACTATCTTTTAATAAAATAAAGTTTGAAATTTAAAGGGAAAAACTAAATTGTTTTCATTATGATAGGACTCCTGAGGCACAGAGAACCATACTCATGCTTCCTCAGCATTCATGTTGCCATTGTGGATATACAGTACTCGCTCATTTAATGAGTGATAATGAATTAATTTTACGTATAAAGCTGTAGAAATCTAGTAACCCTCGGCAAACACAAGCGGAAAAATGTCCATCAAGTGTTAGTGGCACCTCAAAACCAAAGAACGAGGAAACCATCAGTTTAGAGGTGAAAATGCAAGTGTTATATTGGTCTGATACATCAGTGTGTGAATCAAAGATTGCCTCTGCTCTTGGCCTGACACCTACAACTGTGCAGATAATTATTTAGAACACTGGTAAGTGCTAAATGTGTGACCCCCACCAATAAGGGCTTTAAAGAGTAATTATAAAAGGTAGACATTTGGTTTTGAAAAAAATTGGAAATTGTTGAAGCATTTCGATTCAAGATCATGTAGGCAAGAATATGCTCATAAGCTTCTTGATGATGATAACAAAGCACTGTCATTATTTCATTAAAGAAAGAAGATGTGAGTGTACAACTCTAATACACCTCACAGCAAGCAATGGGTGGTTTGAGCATCTTAAGCATCGTTGCAACCTGCATAATATAAAATCACTGGTGCAACAGTAAATGTAGACTAGGAAGCTGTGACACGATACCCTCGGATATTACAAGATATCATTGAAAGTAGTAACTGCAATGATGAAAAACTTAAATTAGAAACAAAGGTTATACAGAATGAACATTGTGGGAAACAAACTCAAAGTTTCAAAGTTGCTAAATACTGCCTAAAGCTAATGCTCAGTGGCAATGCTGTGGAAAATTTAAAGCTTGAGCTCTTACTGGTTTACTAGTCAAGTGTGTCCAAAAGCTTTGAATGGCTATTCAAAGCAAAATTTCTGTTACACACAGATTTGATAATTTCCGTTATTTGGCAAGTAAATGGCAAGATGTGGGAGACAGGGGATTTGTTCCTAGACTGGTTCATTTCGTATTTTTCCAAGTTCGTGAACGATTACTCTGCCAATAATCAACCAGGACAACAAAACTTGACTAAGCATGGAAAATACACCTGCCCCTCCCCCACCTGCCCCCCAGATGATCATAATGATAATGTAAGAGATGCATTTTTCCCACCAAATACACCGCCATTATTTCCACACAGACCAAGGAGTCATTAAAGCATTCAATGGTTACTACATTTGTAGGATACTGAATCAGCTCAACAGTGTAATATAGTCCACACACAGGGCAATAGTCAGGGAGTTTTGGAGTAATTATGTCTATTGTTCAAGTTGCTCAAAATGTTGGATTTGAAGAACTAAATGGAGACTTGCTTGACTGTTATACATAGTCCTAGCAAGCAAAAATTGCAATTCCTGGAACAACAATGATAAGATGAGGAAGAAAATAATACCAAAATGGAAGTTTGAACAATTCTCAACTCCAAAACTGAAAAAATGCAGATAAAAATCATATTTTTAATGATGGAATGAAGTTAAAAAGAAAACAACAAAATCTCTTTGTCACTTGTACGGAGTTTTACCATCAGAAAGAGAGGAGAGCTATCCAAATATGTCTACATAAAGAGAAGTAAATACCATAAAACTCTCCCTCCAATAAAAATGCAGTCCTGCCTATATGAATAACTTGGCCAAGTCACCCCCCCCCTCACAAAGCTTCAAAATGCACATGCATGCACGTGCACACACAAACTCCAAATTATATTATAATTTTAAATCTTATGGGAAAAATAGCCTTGATTCACAAAATTTTTCACATCCTGATATTTAGGAACACATCACAGATGTAAACATGCAGAGGATTTATAGATTTTAAAGACCATGTAGTTTTCTGTATCTAGATACTGTAATGTGTCAAACAAACTAAAAATTATTAAAACTATAGCAAATTTAAAACAAACAACTTGTTCAAATAATATTATATTTAGAAATGTATTATTTACATAAAGTGATGCAAATTTGTTAACACTTAAATTAAGAACACAGTTTACACACATTAAAAGCCGAGGGATCGAGGATAATAAAAACCTACGAGAGGGTTAATTACACACTCAAAATGGATCATTTTTGTTTAAGATTATAAAGCAAATCTTCCATGTTATTTTGGGGAAAAATATGTAATGTTTTTCTACCATCTGCCCTCTTAAAAAAAGTATGATTCTACTAATTAGTAGCATCCAGTTTCATTTAACACTATAGGTTATGTCTGGGTTATCAGTCATGGGAACCAATAAAAGGCATAAACCAATTAAAAATTAGTTTCATGGCATTCAGGGCAATTATTTTGTATTCGTTTTAACTCCAATAGGCATCATTCCAAGCATAACTCTGAAATTATTCAGTATAACTGTTAACATTAAATTTGTATAACATTCCAATTTAGTAACAACCGTTTTCTGAAGATGGCAAGCATTTTTTTTTTATTTGTCATCATATATAGTACCATCAAAGACAATGCAACACAAGTGGAAAATGCGTTATATAACTCGCGTAACTATCAAAAGAAGGTGCCAAGTCGGAAAGACTATGCAGCGTTATAGAAATAAATTTTTAGTTTCATTTACAATAGGGAGTGTTTAATTATGCATTTACATTTGGAAGCTCATTATTATATTCCCATTTTATTATTTAGTGAGCATTGTTTATAAATTTCAGTTCTTGAATATCTCATGTTATGAAATAATTATCAAGAGAATGTCATAATAATTTTATACCAAACTGTGATTTTACTTAATCCTTTTATCGTTTTTGTGACCCCCTACAATCATTTGCTCAAAATGCCAGAACGTTCCGATGATGACCTTAATCATTTTCAACCGTCATGTCGGCTAATTCTAACGTTCCTTTTCCTTTTATTACATTTTTTAAAATACCATCATAAAGTACAACTCGTTAGCTTAAAAACTATAACAAATTTAACACATTACTATGCATAGTAACATTGCAGTATGCGTTGGAAGTAAAATATCGCTATAAAGAGCATGTTGTGCACTTTATGCACTGTTAAACTTGGACTTATGAGCAAAGATTGTCATATCCTAGAATTTTTTTTAATTTTAGCAGTCTCGGAATGGAATTAAAAAAAAAATTGATATCGACATGTTTGAATGATTATTCGCATTACTAATGACGATAGAATTCTACTTACGTTATTCAGTACAGTACAGTATTGCGGATTGATCAGCCAATTGACGTTAGGTGAGGTTGCCAAGTTCGTTTTGGTGAAATTTATACAAAATGCATATCTTTAAAGAATTTGGCTACTGCCTAAAAACCACAATGTATTGGTATGGCTGTGTGGGGCACAGGAGAGTGGCATGGGCAAGTAAGTGGCACTGGCAAAAAAGGCCCAGAGTCAACTTCAGAACAATGTTTTCAGTCACAAACATAAACCAGTTAGTTATTTAAAAATTAAGGTTTAAAACAAAAGAAAAAAATCAAATAAATAATAAACAATATATTTTAAAGACTTTTTATTTTTTAAACCCGTTTCAGATATACAAATATTACTGCAGAGTCATTCTAATAGTATCACTGGAAAGACCACACACAGTTCTATAGTTGTAATTGGGGTTATTTCTAATTTTTGTTTCCTAATAATAAAAAAAATCATGAATGTAAAAACTTTTGAAGTTTTTACCTATAAAATCTATATATATATATAAAAAAATCAAATATATAGCCTGCTGGGTTGTGTATTGTATGAAAATTTCACCTAAATTTGATGAAAATCAAGTGATATGAAAAACCTAAAAAATGGCGGTTTTGAGATTTGAATTTCCCGCTCAAAATGCAGTGCCAAAAATCCTCAATATCTGTTTAATTGTGTTACTAAATATTATTCAATGACTTGCATTTAATTACTTTGATTATGTTATGTTTTCTTAGAAAAAAATTACAAAACAATATACTAGTTGGCAACATGCCATTATTGCAAGATTTTCTCAAAATTAAAGAGAGAGAGAGAGAGAGAGAAAGACTTAACAGTTGACCGATTTCTTTCCCATATAGTTTAAAATGTAGCTAAAAATTGCACGAAATACAAAAAAAAATCAAAATATAAAAAATTACTAAATGACTCAAGGGGTGAGAGGGTTTTAAATACAGCCTCGTCGAACTTCTCGTGCTTTGACTCCCCTAGTGTCACCAGTTCTCTCCCCCATTAGCTACAACTCCAAACATGTTAATTCTCTCCTTTTTTTTATTCCATCAAATACACACACACACACACACACACACGCGTACACTACAACCATGCTCGGCCAGACTAATTGGAACCCGAGCCCCTCTGGCTCGCCAAGAATTCCGACTCCGAGCGTTTTGTCATTTATCACTATTATGAATTACTTGTATTTGTTTTTGCCCTTCACTGCAAACACATTCGAATTTTAAATAAAATGGATGGTACAACAAATGGTATACATGCATGCACATACACAGACACTTATCATTATGGATGTTTAAAGAAGCTGCCCAGGCACACGGTATACTTCTAACTCAACTTTAATGATTCAATTGTGAAGGGATATTTTTTTTTTCCACAGCTGCTGGAAAATGGCAAATGTGATACCAGTATACAGTACAAGAAACGGGATAAGGAGGAGGCACTTGACTATAGATTAGTGTCACCGACACGCATCCATTGCAATTTAGATTTAGAAAAATATTCAGGCAATGTAATGGGATAGAACTTGCATCTCCGAACTTCACAGACACATACCACCCACAGGACTGTGATGATCTTAAAATTATATCAACCAGATGTTCTACCAAACTTGGATTGAGTTCAGAAGGAACCTGCTGATACCACACTCCAAATTTTACAATATACCTCCCCACACTTGGGAATAAATAGTGATGTTCCCCAACTTTCATCCAATCAATGCACAATTAAAATCACAATAACATGATCTAAGAAAATACTGAAGTAGCGAGATAGGATAGGACTTCTGGTCGTGATGCTTTTAAGATCATCACGATCAGTGGGTAGTGTGTGTCTGGGGAGTCCAGAGGATGCGAATTCTATTCCATCATAATATTGCAGTTTCATTGTACAAGATTAAATACCTAAAGATGAGGTATGTAAATAAATACGAGGCCGTATAAGTATATGCAACGACCCACCCATCAACAAGATCTCCAGCCTCCTTCAACAAACAAGCAAGCAAGCAGCTTCATTCCCAATTTTACAGGGTTGCAGTGCGTCCACACTTCAGCAGCCTACTGTTTGCGTAGGAAATACTCAACTACAACCACCAGTGCAACCATCAACCAACTCTGCAAATACTACAGTTTTAGTACTACTTCACCTTGTGGACAGGACAGCCGGCTCAGACCTGAGCTTGTTCGCCACGTCCATCAACAGTCTCCATACTGGAAATGGAATGCCGTCATTATACCAGATGACTGGCTTCCTGCAACTACAACAGCATGTTCCTACAACACTGATTGTACCTCCGACAACCCTTAATGTAAAACCTTCTGATTCTGCAACACCATTTACTGAACCTTTAGCTCCTGCACCACTACCTATGGATACTCCTGCAACCTCAATGGCTACAGCACAAGCTCAGATCACATGACAGCTACAACTGCCACAGTTGTAACCAACACCTGTCAATTCTTTAGAAAGAACCATCCGACTCCTTGACAGATGAATCAGTGAATGTCATGAATGACTCTGCTACTGCTACCACCTCGAACCTAATAACCAAATATCAAAACTAAGACACCTAAGACATCTTCAAAGAACTTAAAGAAAAAATGAACCAAAGAATTGCAAGTACTAGTACACCAGAAAATGGATCTACAACCAGGAGTACAAGCTAGCATGGGCAAAAGATCCAATTTATAAGAAGATGTGGACAATTCCAGCCAATCAAATCTGAACGTTCTTTGATATTAGCATTCCTCACCCAGACATTAATAACACAAAAAACTACCAAATTTACCCAGAGTGTGATGACGCCGCCTTCAGTTACATGACGAGAAGTCAAGCCGAAAAACGGAAGATGGAGAAATCGAAAAAGTAACTGCAGGAAAGAAAGAAAATTCAAACAAAATTGAATAAAGAATTCTATGGAACAATTCAAGAACTTACACCACCCCTCCACAAGATTACGTGCCTGTACCAACCAAGCACGTCACTCTTCCCCTACACCACAGTAACAACGATTACAATTCCAAAGTGGGAACGTCACTGATCTTTCTATCACACTTCTACTCCATCCTCAACCTATTTCCAGTATTTCAAATCTTCATCCCCCTTTGCTACCACCCCCATTGGACCCCCGAAACGAAACAAAAACACCAACATGGCTTTAGAGATGAGAAATCATCCCTAACTTACTCAAATTCTATAACCCAAAAATAATGAGACTAAACCAGAAAGTGAATGGCGACAAAAATGAGGAGAGATGACAGAGACAATACACAATGCATCAACCAATGTATATCTTGTAACCTTTAAACATATAATAAGGCAATGAAATGAAATTTTCTAACTGGATAAATACACTTCAGTGAATACAATACATTTTGCTCAAACTAGAAAATTTCAAGTAAATACATTGATAGATTGTCAAATCACTAAAAAAAAAATCTTCCATCAGAAATACTAATAGCCTTGCTAGTAACTAAATAACTTATTGAGCAAGAACTCAAAATAGTTTTTTGGGTCTAAAGCAACCCACTATAGCCAATTTTCAGCAAAATTGTTGGAACTGATGTGTGGATTTTTAACTGCAGCTTGAAACACGCCATGTAAAATTATAACATTCACTGAACACACAAATGAATAAATATCAAAGCCATAATAAAACTTCAGCCCTAAACTTGTGCAAAAGCTATATTAATAGCTATTCCTAATATTTCTAAAATAATTCAACTGAAAACCAGTAATAAACATTTAATACCATACATAGATCTGTGAGAGAAAAGAGAGTAGAGAGAGAGAGAGAGAGAAAGAATGGAGACAGAGAGAAAGAGAGAGTGGCATCCCATTAAATTTAACATAAGTGTAACCCAACTTCTACAAACTCCCCACCCACCCACTATGCTATCTCACCACCCCTCACAGAAACTCGAACATCCCTCCCACCTCAAAGCCCCACCTCACCACTATCATGCCCACGTAACCCACCCTCACGAGAGGTGAAGACAGCAGAAAGGAATCTCCTCAACCAGAATGAAAAGACAATGGGAATGAGTTGCATACACATCAGCAAAGCTAACCATAACATTCAAAGATAAGCATGACAATGAGAAGCAGACATACCAGCAAAGCTAACATTCAAAATAAATTGGCCCTGAAGAGTTTAAGATTAAGAAACCCTTTGGAGCCAGCAATCAATGTCTTGACAAAATAAATCAAACTGACGAAAGAAATGCGAGTTGAACAAATTAAAAGATGACTAGCATACCAGAGGAAAGCACACAAAATTAATAACATTCCTGAATAGAAGGATTTGAGGAACTAGATAATAAAACAGCATATGATATATACTGTATATGAATCCACCATGAAATACAGATAGCACAGAAAGATTAATCCCATTTCTGAAGAAAGCAGACTAGAAACACAGGCAATCCACAGCTTAAAATGCCAAGGATAAAAAAAAAATGGACAGAGAGGAAGCTTAACAGAATAGCAGGAAATCAGTGCACCAGAACTAAATATAATGCAAGTACAATTCTTAATGTAGTAATCAAAGCCAGCCTCAACTACTACACATCCATATCATGAAAAAATTGGTAACACACACAACCCCTGGCAATTCAAACTTTAAAAACTCGTGGAGAACAAAAAATTCTACACACAGCTTGACAAAATATTCAGACGCAATCACGATTAAGCCAACATCGCTACCCGACATGGGACCAGAGAAGTATATGGTTATAAAGTGTCAAACAATCCAAGAGAAGAGTGGAGTACAAGAGTGAATACAGGAAATGGGAGAGAAAGTAAATAAGCAACTAAATATATATCGAAGGCAGTGGGCCAGACAATATGTCGAAGACAGTCGTCCACAGTCCCAACATGGATACTAAAAAACTCCTGAGAACCAATGCAACCAATAACGAACATTTATACTCGAGACAGAGAAGGAAAGAATGATTAAATTTAGACAAGACCAAGTACTGGGTCAAGTTTGTCATTCAGCTCTGCTGGAGAATGGAGATATCACACATCTGCAAATGTTGTCCCCAAATTTAAGACAGGAAATATAAAAGTACTGATTTAATGGTCATGTGCCTCTTGATTTCCATACCTAACAACGTAATGGAGTCAGAGGCAGGTGAAGCATCCGAAGAGAATAATGTTTGTAAAAAGACAATGGTTGAGAGGGAAAAATCCAATAGAATTTTATAATAAAATGACCAGCATAAGATGGAAACGTAAGTATCAGTGCTAAGCCAGTATGGTTATCACATTCACTCAGGATTTTATCAAGAGACATGGAGTATAGAAGTCACAGGAAAACAAAATCGGGACATTCCACAAAATGAGTACATGTCAAGTGGAACAATTCTAACAGATGTTAGTCTGTTCCATCAAGTGCCCACGAGTTTCCAAGCCAGAGATGTTTCCCAATTCCTATTACAGCAATAGGAGAAAGATAACAGGGACAGGTCACCTAGGATGGCAATACGACAGTGCAGTTAGCAGTGTAGGAGGACAAGCAATAATACTGTACAGGTGTATTTTGAAATACTAATAAATAATGCAGTACAAAGGTCAAGATCATTCTAAAAAAAAAAAGCGACTTGTGGCTAACTAACTGATAAACTCTCAAGTAACTATAACTGATAAACTTTCAAGTTATCACACCATATATTGTTTATGAAACTTTTTAAAAAGGTTCCATGGGGCTACATTACCCAATATCAATAGGAAAGACATTTCTCGTATTATTCAGTATAGTCTACATTGTTTCAAGTTAGTATGATGAAGCATTTGAGACTACTCCAAAAACATTCGAGAGAAAAAAACAGCCATGTCAAAATCCTGAGGCATTCTGGCTAGAAATATAGAATAAATTAATCCAATGTAATGTTGAAGTGGACAAGGCCATCACATTTATTACGGGTAGGATAGAATAATACGGCAAGAAGCTCAAACACACAGAAGAGTTAGATTAACCAAGAAGAATTCCTTCAGTGCATGAGCAGTAACCATTTGGGGAAAAAAAAAACTGGAAGCAGATTCCATTCATAGATTTAAATGTGATCATGACAGTATAAATGTGTTAAGGGTCATTGCACCAATCATTGACCAAGAAGCAGGGGGCACCAAAGCTGGACCTCGTGCCATCCCTCCTCCCCCCCAACACACACACACACACACACACACAATCAGCACAGTAGAGCTTCCATGGACACCCAAGGACAAGTGGTTTGTTACCTGAAAAATTGATCTACGCTTGGCCAATTTAAAACAAATATGCTTTCAGTCATGATACAAGTGACGTGTCCTACCTAGCCCCTAATCTAGAAAATTGCCAAAACTTCAACTACTTGACAGTAGCCTACTGGTCTAGATTTTCTTTAAAAATAAATACTTGGAACATTTATGAACTCTTTATCAGTAAAATTTCAAATATTACTGTAATCAATCTGGATAACTAAAGATAAATAAAAAATAATATACTCTATAAAAAAAAACATAATATTAAGGAACTGACAGTTACATTGCAAGTGCTTATAATTATATTTTATCCATAAAACTTTTAAAGTAAATTTAACATAAATAGACAAATCATAAAACCTAACTGCTCTAATAACAAATCTAGGATATCTGAATAAAGGCCTATCCAACCACACCCCCTCGCTGACAGTAATTGAGCGCGCACAAACTATTCACCAGAAATTTTTAAATGTAGCACATTTCTTGCATAGAATAATTGTGTTTTTGTTTTTTTATACAAGTGTCACAAAGAGAGAGGTCATAGACTCAAATTTTGGAGTCCACATCATGCACATGGCAACTCGCAGGAAGCAAGGTCAATTTTGGATTCCACATCGTGCTCAAAGGCAACTCGCAAGAAGCCATGTCAAGTTTGGATTCCATATTGTGCTCAACGGCGACTCTAAAGAAGCAGCATCTACCAAACGCTCACTTGAGCAACACATCGCCACCTCCACATACATTCATCACATCGTGCTGCTCACATCATGCTTTGGAAGAACTAGTAAACTTGGGCTAATAAAAGTGCTCTTTCTACACACTAATTCCAAATGAACCCATATGATAAAGGAATTGACAAAGTCACTGAAAACTCCACCGCTTTAGAAACTATCAATTATATTCATAAATAAATTCTTCTAATATAATATTCAAAAAAAAATAATAAAAAATGTCAAAGATTTCAATCTCACTTTGCAAGATTAAAAATTTTGTAATCAGTTTCTTCAGAAGGGGGGTTAAAGAGTTACAAAGTAAACTAGCAGCCCCAAGGGTTCAGAAACTTGTGCCTTGACACCATCACGAAGGACACCCACCGTCATCACAGTAAATATTAAAAAAAAAGAAAAAAAAAAAGGAAAAAAAACAGATGCTACGGTACAGTATCAACCACATGATTTATATACAGATATATCTACACACATCGGTAATAAATAAACCCAAGCAACTTGCTGGTTTCTACAGTAAAATGCAAAACATGGTCATTTCTCCTTAATTTCTTTTTCAGATTAAATAACAAATTGCAATTAGCTGAAAAAAAGAAATGCAGTAATTTGGCTGCATTAGGAATGCAAATAACATAAGCAACAGGGAAAAACATATTAATAACAGTCATCCATTCCAACTCAATAACTAATTCCTTTGTACAAACCTGAAGTTGCAAACTACTATGATTAATCAATAATTGCAATTTATTTCTTGCATTTCATACACACCTTCATGCGATACAGCCTCCATCAGCCATCTATATTTTTACAATGTATTTGTCTACAATCTCATTCAACAACAACACCGGCAGGAGACTAGGTGCTCCGCCTACTTAAGGCATGCCAGAATGATAGCTGTGAAACACACACAGTCAATTATATCATGTCCAATTACAACAAAAAATTAATAAATGGCACAATTAATGAAAAATTATAGGCATTTATTTTCTGTGACAAATCCATATCTATGAACTGTTATATATGAAACTAATTGCATAAATGAATAGTTTCCATATGTACAGTATATATAAACGTGTTTTAATGGATATATTATGTTCTACTTAGTCAGGTAAGGGGAAAAAGCACAGCTCATCTTCAGTGCCTTGAAGTCATCATAAACTATATTTCAAGGGAAATGTCAATAATTGTTTAAAACCATGTTCCCAATTAAGTAATTATCAAAACCATATTTTCCCAAAATTTTTAAATTTTTTATAAACCATGCTCCAAAGAAAATGGCGATACTCACTATCTTCACACCCGACTCGACAACAAATATACGCAAAGACGTCATCTGCCATCAGCGTAAAAATGCAGCACAAACACAATGATCAGACTGGGCCTAGCAGCAATTTCATCTGCATCTTGTGACTCAAAGCATTGGGGATATTATGAAGAGATCTAGGCTGAAAAGATGAGAGCTCTATGTAAGAGTTTGAGACATTAGAAAGAATGAAATCAGACCATGTTAGTTTAAGAAGCTTTCTAATGAAGAATCAATCTTGTATGACATACAAGTGATTGTGAAAAGGAACTTCATTGCACCCTCATGCGAATAACATAATTCACTGTGTATAGGCTATCTTAAGAGTATGTGTAAGGCCCAGTACATGAAATAGTCAAATGTTCACAAACTATAAATGATGCTATGATAAATACTGATGGTGGCAATAACTATTTACGCTCAGTTACGCACCGTCACTTATATTACTGGTATATAACCTGAACAAAAATACGTAAAATATGGGCATTCAAATCTTAAGAAGACCTTTTCATGCTACATGATACTGCCAGACATTCATCCTTATCACCTCGCAAACGCTTCCCAGCAACTGTTAATCAAGAGAAAATGTCTAGGTCTATACAGTACTCTTACAAGCTTCTTGCATAAAACTTGACCAAAGAATGATATACTGAAGGTGTTCAACATCCAACATATTAACTCTTCTTAAAAGCACCTGAGAACAGGAGGCAAGGGATGTGTCTGCATGAAACTGATGCAGTTCAAGCAAAACGCTATGAACGGGTAAAATAAAAGCAGTATGGAAGGGAACTACCAAGAATGATCTCCTAAATGCCATGGGGTTAATGCTTCCAGTTCCACGATGACTGTTGTTGTTGCTGTTGATGTTGACGATGAGTATGGTGATGGCTGTGTTGATGCTGATGTTGTTGATTGTGAGTTGCTGAAGGAATTGAATTACTAGTGTCCATCTGTTCGTAATGACCAGATGATGATGATGAGCTATCAGCACCGTTGGCGAAGTTGAAGGGGTTCTGCAAGGCTCGGGGGGAGAATGGGCCACCGGAGTTCGGCGTATATGGTTTGCGTGGAGACCGTGCTTTTACGACACTTGGACGTGTCATTTCCTCTAATACAGATGGTGCGACGTAAGTAAATCCCTGGGAAAAAACTGAGCTTTACAACCTCATATTCCATACAAAGAAATTAGTCGTACACAAATATGAAAATGCACAAATATAAACGTGCACAAAAAAACTGATCAGACACTGAGGAACTACTTTGCTAAAGAAAATAATGTGATTTTCCCCCACTAATTACCATGCTTTACTTTTTTTATTGAATGCATGTCTTCAACCTTTTTTTTCTGAGCAATACCACTCCACTACTATCTTAAGCAAAGTCCATCCATTTTCATGAAGAGAACTATATGGCTTCCCATTTTTGCAACAATTTCTGGCAAATTATCTGCAGTGGGTCACTAAGCTTGTTAGAGTATTCTCAGTATCCAAGGTAAACCTCCATCTGGTTCCCCAGCTTTATTTCTGCCCAACTTTCTAAGCAATTTTAATACATCCTCACTATACACATGAGGGTGCTCTAGCTTTAGCTACCATGATTTAAAATATGGGGTGTGGTTACTATATCCTCACTATACAGTTTGTTTTTTGTTTTTGTTTTTACAAAAACTAGCGTCGAATGTAATGAAACGCCTCTTCTGGGGTCCTGGTGGTTCGCTTGGTGCTTGCCCAGGGCAAGTTCCATCAAATTCAAGTCATTCAAGTTACTAATGAGTCTGAAATCAGCGTACCAGACACCAAGGTCAAAACCCGACCCCTCTATATAGTGCAAGGAGCAATGGGGATTGTAAATCACTCTAGCCAGGAACTGCCACCAGAAAACAGGGAGTCAAAAAGGCAACCCAGTAAACAAGCTATAGAAAGTGGGACAATAAAGGCCTTGAGATTCACAAACCCTTTGGTGGTGAAGCAATTCTAATGTTAGTTCCACCTGTACACCTCCAGGGTATGTGTGCACTTTCCTCCTTGAATCACTCACTGACCTGTCATGCAGGCGATGAGTTACAATAACGTGGCTAAAGTATGTTGACCAGACCACACACTAGAAGGTGAAGGGACGACGACGTTTTGGTCCGGCCTGGACCATTCTCAAGTCGATTGAGAATGAGAATGTTAAGTTATGACATTCATCGACTTGAGAATGGTCCAGGACGGACCGAAACGTCGTCGTCCCTTCACCTTCTAGTGTGTGTGGTCTGGTCAACTGACCTGTCATGTGTCTGGCACACACAAGAGGCATAACTTGACAAACTCTCATGGTGTTCAAGACCTCCAAAGGCAACCTGATCAACTGACCTGTGATTCTTGTTAAACTGAGTAGCTACATCTAAGAGCCTGGTTGACCAGACCACAAACCTGGAGGCTTGGCCAGATATCAAGCCCAGAACCAACAACAGGTAGACAACAGGTAGGAGCCTCCTAATTCCAGCAAGCCAACACTGGGAGCTCCAGCTGCCCATGTCAACAGAGCTCAGTCTTCTTGCCGATGTCCCCATGTATGGACCACTCCTTGAATTGCCAACATTGTTTATTTTCATAACCATACAAGTGGACATATTTTACTGAAAATTTCTATTGTACCAGCAACATGCATACACAAGTATCCAATCATGTAATGGGGAGCGGGTATAATTACAATGCATGAGAGCTCTTACACGTACCTCAAAGACCATGTTAGCACTTTCACTCAGCATGTTGTCATCAGGGGAGTCAACTGGTGTTTGTTTGGTAAACTTGCTGTCAAACTGACTGACATCGTCCTCGCCACTCTGTAATTAACTAGCAAATTAGAAAAGTGCCAACCTTCCTACAATTAAATCTACTTTCAACATGCATTTGGTATACAGTATTCTCTTACTTTGAATTAAATATATCACAATTTTCACGTTTTTACCATCTCATACCAATGCACTATATTTTCCCCTAGTGGAAAATTAGGGGAAAATTATTAGCTTTGTTATCAACTAAAGTTTTGAAAACACTGTATAATAATTCTGTAATGGCTTCTATACAGATACGGAAACCGACCATCTACAAACGTGGCTTATAATGTTACTGAATTTAAAATATAGTGGATTTCCACTCGAACAAATGGCTGGTTCCGAACCCTCCTGATAATCAGTACTAGTTTTACAAGAATAATAAAACACTTGTGCATATCTTGAGATAGATAGATATATATGCAAATATAATTTTACTAAAATCAAACATTCATTTTTTTAAATTTATCAACACTGTATGTGTAGATTGGTGAATTTTCTCGATTATATAGACACCTAACACTAGACGCCACAGAGTCATTACATTATATAAACATACCTAACTTTCCACTGGACAGGTTTAGATGGAAAGGAAATTTGCTGTACATGTAAAGTCAAAAACGCAATCATGCAGGAAAAACAGAAAAGAAACATACCAAAACAGGTTTAAATGGCGGTTCTAACTTGCGGTGTATTACATCCTCCCAGTTAATCTGCTTGAAGAATAGATGTTTCTTGATTGGATCACCATTATCGGGTCCGCTGCCAAGCCGTTGACTAACTTGTCGCTGTAGTAAATGTCGAATCACATTGAAAGTAGAATACCATGAATTCATAATCCAGTAATATAGTACCATGGATTTATAATACAATAATGCAGTAACATGGATTTATACGACAATAGTACAGTTAATTATAAAGACCCAATGACGTCCATTTAGAAGTAGCAAACTAAGCAGATGAACTGACAATTCATGTTAGTTAAAAATTACTACTACTATGAAATTCATTATATCTTCTAAGTATAATTGTTTAAGAAAAAATTCATACATCCATTTTTTTTTTACATAACTACTGAGTATGTAGCTCTGCAAAATTCTTCATTGATCTTACAAAAGGGGCATTGAAGTTTTGAAAGCTTAGCCAAAATTCAGCTGTGAGAAGAACTACAAATTGTAATTGAATAATCATGTTTCTTGTTGCCCATATTAAATTGGCAATGCACGAAATGTTAGCTGTACGAATCACCAGACTTTGATATAATCTATGAGAAAATATTGAGACCATGCAAATAAATTGAACCTGACCCTGTATTTCTTACACACACACACTACCCTCTAAACCATAATGTGCCCAAGGGTATCTCGCTCGGTGCACAACCAGAGTTAAATGGCGTTTGAAAGGTATCCTCTAGTATCACAACCCAGGTTTCACAAGATATCATCGATCGTAGTGCGTACATCTGGAGAGTCCAGGGATGTGGGGTTCAGTCCCATGGCATGGCTTCAGTATTTTCTACGTTGGTAGATAAATATAAATATCTGCATATACCACATATAATGAGATCTAGGCTTTGAAAATTATAAAACTTAAGATGAGAAGATTCAATAAGAGTTGATAGAAGTTAGCATATGAAAAATAAATAACTATTGCACCATATATTTATACTACTGTATTTAGTTAATTCCCAGTTGACAGCTAGGGAATCCCCCTGATTTCAGCAAAAGTGTGAACCCCATTACACAGTTCCCCATTTCACAGATTCTCAGATCAAATGGAAAGACAAATCTGGTTCTTGCCCCAATTTACCAGATAAAGGTAAATGAGGCACATCCCAATTACCCGAGAAGGCTTGCTACTATTCAGCGGTGAATGACACGCATTTGGAAGAAGTGAACGTAATGGTTTCCTATATACGTACAGTAGTCATGTTCAAAGATCGACAAAGTAACAATATTTAACAAATTCAAAGTTTGTCATCGTGTGGCTCTGTGGAGGTGCCAGAAATATTATTCTGAAAATGGTTATGACACCAATATCACCTTAAATATCTATTGGATCAGATTCCACAATATTTCACAGAAAAAGTCTTGAGAAATATAGTTTTAGATGAAGAAAACTATAAGTCAGGTTTGAAAAATGTAATACCGTTAGTTTTTTAAGCCTTAGACTGAATAATTACTGGCAGTCTAAGTGTTAAATATTGGTTTTATAGTGACAGTGGTACATAGTGGTGTATAAAATCTTCATCCCAAAGATACATTATAGGCTAGGGAAAATCAATGATCCTGTTTTACAAAATAAATGTTGGTTTGTTTTCATTTTGAGCGTGACAGTTTTCATACAGTTGGTTACAAAGTTTTCTTCATTTATCTGGAATGTCAGAAGCCCAAACACCCAGAGGAACTGATTAATCCAGATAATAGGGGTAGCATTATTCAGATTATTAATAAAACATTTAAAATTATTTATATATATTATAAGTTTGGCTTATATATATTTTAAAATTACAAAACCCCACTTAAGGATTAGTCTTGCAGCACAAACAAAAAAAGGATTCACTGCCACTGGAAGAGCATTAGATATTCCCCACACATCATAACATAACTACACACGAGACACTTCGGGCGTTACCTTGAGCAACTTTCGGATGAGATCACGTGCGTCTGGGGTCAAATATGGTGGAAGGTTCAACTTGCCTTTTAAAATCTTCTCAATTGTCTTCTTGCGATTCTCGGCTGTGAATGGTGGCTGCAGAAAGGTATATAATAGTTAGATAAACAATCCTTAAACAAAACAATGACACTGCCCATCTTCATGAAGGAGGCAACACCAATAGCAGAAAGCTAAGGGCATTATAATCACATTAAGATCTGTATAATGAACAAGATAAAATTCATAAAATTTATGAAATTATCACTCTACACGCAGTATGCACAATCCAAGGCAAGGTGGACTATAAGAGGACTATACTGCCACTTAGTGCCGCTAGATCACCATGACAATCTTAAGGCATCGGTGAACAAGCACAACTACGTGAATACTAGATGAATACATAGCTGCCTGGCAAACTACATCCAGCTTCTTGGAGGCATACAAACATGTGGAAGGCAAAGGATGGTGGTTTGAATTGAAAATTTATGATATGATTTTTCAAATAACAGGAATTCTGAAAGCAGGACAGCTTCTATAAAGACATAGGTAAATATGTTTAAATAAAGTAATTATTGGAACAAACTCACCGCTCCTGTTAGCATGTCATACATAAGAGCTCCCAGGGACCACCAGTCTACTGCTTTGCCATGTCCTGTGCGTGTGAGAATCTCGGGTGCCATGTATTCAATGGTTCCACAAAAAGTGTGTGTTACAGAGTCATCCTGAAAGAAAAATTGCACAAAGCTCAACCAGAGAAATTTATATAGAATGGATAGCCTCTGGACAACTTAAGATGGTTCCCAACCCCAAACTCACGGTACATTACACAAGCCAATTCGTGTAAGTACTCAGGGTGTAACTGATGTCAGATTGTAGCCCTTTCTAACGGCATATTGACCAGACCACCAACCAGAAGGCCTAGTCAGAGACCAAGCATGTAGGACATTGATCCTCAGCACTCAAAATATTTCAAGAGAATTAGAGTTTGTATCCCTATCCTCTACCAAAATGTTCGTCATGATACATTTGAAATTATTAAACTGTTTCAGTGGTACATAATCATGCAATGAGTGATCCTCACAAATGAAGTACTGTCCTGTATTTAATAAACATGAAAATCATACAACCATACTTGTAATTCCTTACAAGTATGATGTGCAAACAATCAGATGGTCTAATTCCTCACAAGCATATTATCCCTGGCCATAAGTAAAACAGGCATGATACATTCCACTGGCAATACTGTACATGAAATTTCTCTGTCAGATTGATGATTATAATCACCCTTGTGGTGGTGGTGGGTGCTTACCTAACAGTAACTATCAGGAAATGGGGTCTTGCTCTTTATGCCCAGCCTCAGGGAAATTTCACCATTTCTAAATTTCTAAATATGTATTTGTATAAATACATTTTCAGTATAGGTCTTTCATCCAGGTCCATGAACGGCTTATTTAGAACTTTCCTTATTTTGCACAACATCTGATCTTATTGACTTTATGACTATCAGGAAAATGTAATTATAATACAACATGTTCAACAAGGCTAGTAGGTAGGGTATAATGCACTAGACTTCACTTCTATGTAGTCACTGTTAGGCAAGTATCTCAATAAAATCTTTATTTTCAATCAAACTTCCATTCGACTCTGAACCATTCCGGTAAGGTTCCATTGGACTATGTTTAGATAGGGGCAAATTTAGTCATGAAGACATTAAAGTACCATACAAACAATTCATTAATTTTCAATCATCAGTTAATGAGCACACCCCAATACAGTGATGATTAACAACCTGGGTTTATGAATCGAAGAAATCTAGGCAAATATTACACAAGCCAAGAAAATCAGAGAAAAGGGGTTTCCATATATACGTCACACAACTGATCAGCCCACAACTCTTCAAAGTATACTTTCACACCTAACAGAGATGTTAACTCAAGTTTGCCATGAGTGGCAGAGTTGCAACTGTATGTGTTTTCAAAGTAATGGCAACCATGTAGAGCATATTTTGTAAATAGTTACACTTTATTAAGAGGGGCTAATGTTCTCTATTAATGGACCCTGATGATACAAGCCTTTAATCATAAACAGGAGTCCTCAAAACTGGGATACATGAATCCTGGTGCTGTGCTGGTGATCATACATTCCAAGATTGCTTTAGTGCAGTTATGTTTCTAGAAAAAAATCTTTGGAGCATCTGTGCATGCTGGGTCACCCCAGACGCATGCATTGTGAGGTTTAAACACAAACACACACACACACACACAAACACACACACAAACACACACACACACAAACACACAAACACACAAACACCAGACAAACACACAAACACCAGACAAACACACAAACACCAAACAAACACACAAACACCAGACAAACACACAAACACCAAACAAACACACAAACACCAAACAAACACACAAACACCAAACAAACACACACACAAACAAACACACAAACACACACACAAACACAAACACACACACACACACACACACACACACACACACACACACACACACACACACACACACACACACACACACACACACACACACACACACACACACACACTTTAGTGTGAAACACTAAACGAAAAGTTCCAAAGTGTGTTTGTACAAAATGAAATCTTTAGGGAACCAGATACAATAAGAATTCCAGAGAACAACATAGAACACATAGAGGTGTCTAGAGACGAAGTGGAAAAAATGCTCAAGGAGCTCGGTAAGAACAAAGCAGCTGGCCCAGATGGCGTTTCACCATGGGTTCTGAGAGAATGTGCATCTGAGCTCAGCATTCCACTTCACCTGATCTTTCAGGCATCCCTGTGTACAGGAATCGTAGCAGACGGGTGGAAACAGGCTAACATAGTTCCAATCTACAAAAGTGGCAGCAGGGAAGACCCCCTCAATTATAGACCTGTATCATTGACAAGTGTAATAGTGAAAGTATTGGAAAAACTAATCAAAACTAAATGGGTAGAACACCTAGAGAGAAATGATATAATATCAGACAGACAGTATGGTTTTCGATCTGGAAGATCCTGTGTATCGAATTTACTCAGTTTCTATGATCGAGCCACAGAGATATTACAGGAAAGAGATGGTTGGGTTGACTGCATCTATCTGGACCTAAAAAAGGCTTTCGACAGAGTTCCACATAAGAGGTTGTTCTGGAAACTGGAAAATATTGGAGGGGTGACAGGTAAGCTTCTATCATGGATGAAAAATTTTCTGACTGATAGAAAAATGAGGGCAGTAATCAGAGGCAATGTATCAGAATGGAGAAATGTCACAAGTGGAGTACCACAGGGTTCAGTTCTTGCACCAGTGATGTTTATTGTGTACATAAATGATCTACCAGTTGGTATACAGAATTATATGAACATGTTTGCTGATGATGCTAAGATAATAGGAAGGATAAGAAATTTAGATGACTGTCATGCCCTTCAAAAAGACCTGGACAAAATAAGTATATGGAGCACCACTTGGCAAATGGAATTTAATGTTAATAAATGTCATGTTATGGAATGTGGAATAGGAGAACATAGACCCCACACAACCTATATATTATGTGAGAAATCTTTAAAGAATTCTGATAAAGAAAGAGATCTAGGAGTGGTTCTAGATAGAAAACTATCACCTGAGGACCACATAAAGAATATTGTGCAAGGAGCCTATGCTATGCTTTCTAACTTCAGAATTGCATTTAAATACATGGATGGCGATATACTAAAGAAATTGTTCATGACTTTTGTTAGGCCAAAGCTAGAATATGCAGCTGTTGTGTGGTGCCCATATCTTAAGAAGCACATCAACAAACTGGAAAAGGTGCAAAGACATGCTACTAAGTGGCTCCCAGAACTGAAGGGCAAGAGCTACGAGGAGAGGTTAGAAGCATTAAATATGCCAAAACTAGAAGACAGAAGAAAAAGAGGTGATATGATCACTACATACAAAATAGTAACAGGAATTGATAAAATCGACAGGGAAGACTTCCTGAGACCTGGAATTTCAAGAACAAGAGGTCATAGATTTAAACTAGCTAAACACAGATGCCGAAGAAATATAAGAAAATTCACCTTCGCAAATAGAGTGGTAGACGGTTGGAACAAGTTAAGTGAGAAGGTGGTGGAGGCCAAGACCGTCAGTAGTTTCAAAGCGTTATATGACAAAGAGTGCTGGGAAGACGGGACACCACGAGCGTAGCTCTCATCCTGTAACTACACTTAGGTAATTACACTTAGGTAATTACACACACACACACACACACACACACGAACATTTTTAGTGTCAGAGTGGTTGACAAATGGAATGCATTAGGAAGTGATGTGGTGGAGGCTGACTCCATACACAGTTTCAAGTGTAGATATGACAGAGCCCGATAGGCTCAGGAATCTGTACACCTGTTGATTGACGGTTGAGAGGCGGGACCAAAGAGCCAGAGCTCAACCCCCGCAAACACAACTAGGTGAGTACAACTAGGCGAGTACACACACACACACACTGCTCCAAAGGCTTTCCAAGGTTGCACTAATGACTAGACAAGTTCAATGATTCCATCCTTTATACTATGGCAGAACCTCCTAAAACATTTTCTCCGTATCAAGACCCTCAGAAAGATTTCTTATTAATTCTATTTAACTATTGCGATTGATATTTGTTATTTTCTGTTTGCTATGTATTTCTTGCAAAACTCCGAAGGAAGGCTTACAGAATCCAGAGTTCTGTACAACTCCGGTTGAACAACACTGATCTGATCAATTCAGCAACCTATAACCTAATAGAACATAACCATTAGAAAAGGGCACCAAGGAGTATGCACAGCCAAGTTTGAGAACCCTGGTATAGAACCTAGTTCATATACAAATCACCATAATATGTTGGTTAGATCAGACTGTGTCATTCAAAGCAGTGCAATTAATCACTTATTATGGAAACTGTACCTGGATTTTTTCTTTGCAAAGGCCAAAATCTGTAAGTTTGACATGTCCATATGAATCCAAGAGAATATTTTCTGGCTTCAGGTCTCTGTAGATGATTCCTTCAGAATGAAGATGCTCAAGGGCCAAGATTATCTCAGATATGTAGAAGCTGTTCAGGAGATAAAATTAAAGACATTAAAAGAAATATATAAATCCTATCTACACCTTCTGGTCTTAACCTCCTAACTTGATGCCTAAAAAATTTAAATGCCTAATATACCGTTAAATACACATTCTTTGTGAATTAAGTTCTTTATGTATACAGCCCTACACAGCCAATTCAATGTTTATCATGTGTGAAATACAGCAAAAATAGCATAAATTTTGTTAAAGGTTAGGCTATTTATGAATACAATATTGCACAGCATATTCATTTTATATATGGTATTGTATAAAATACACAGCATAAAATCTAGCTAAAGGTTAGGATATTTATGAATGCAATACTGCACAGCTGCTTATTCATTTTACATCCTATACAAAGTTTTCACCTGATGATGGAACACTGCTATTTTCTCCTTACTTACTGTCCATATGTCTCTTCCTTATTAATGAACAAAGAAGAATTGCTCCTAAAATGGCAAACCTTTAGTGAAGAAAAGAATCTGTAGGGTACACATTACTCACTTCAATTAACTTCCAAGCTCTAGCACTGAAACTAAACAGACAGTTTTTGTATATTTACCAAGCAGTATCTTCCATAAAGATTCCTTCTCTCTCCAGGTGCATGAAGAGCTCTCCGCCAGACAAGTATTCCAAAATCAGGTACAATTTTCCGCCAGTTTGAAAGGCATACACGAGATCCACAATAAATGGATGCTGATTTGCCAGGGAGAAAACAAATTAAACAAATTATTAATGACATACATAAGGTGGGTAAAGAAATCAGCAATGACCGAGAAGAAAATGAAGTGTTTTTTAAATTACTGTACCCAAATTACAATACAGCTTAGCTAACCATGTACTTTCCAAACCCATACTGAGACTGAATGGATAACCTGTTATGTTCAGAAAAGTAGTTTGTCATCCTGAAAAGCTAGGGAAAAAAATTGACAATTTTGTTGCAGAAATTCAACAGTGTTTTGTTTGTACTCACCAATATGAGAAGTTCTGATCTGCTTGTTAACTTGGGAAGATTATAGTTGACAAAGCATTGTTATTTAGAAAGAAAAGGTGGTGGATGCTGATAGTGTTGGGTTGATTGAAGTGGAAATTAATGGTGGTGGTCAGGTATCCTCAGCAAATTGCCTTACACCATGTACTCTAATGTACCTAATTAAAGCTTCTGAGGCATCCATTAGTGTGTGAACACTGTACATGTGGCGTTGTATATGGTCACTGGACAAACTAGTCCCATCTTAATTGCACATTTTTATTCAGACTGCCTGCCCCACTAGTTATCTGAACTTTTTTATCCGGACAAACCCAAATTAGATAAGCCTTTTCAGAAAAAAAAGGCGTTCATAAAGCACGTGGCTGACTGTATATCTCTGCTTCCTCATCTCTCCTCACTGATAACAGATTGAAGGTTAAATATGGTAACAACTCTCATACACAAAGTATGATAGTAGATATACAAGACACGAAGCAAGGCCATTTCATACTTCTGCTGGCTTGATATTTTCAAATGATAAATCACTACCCGATCCTTAACCCTTGGGGCTGTGGCTGTTTAGAGAGAATGCCCTGATGTGCGAGAAAAACACATTCCTTCTAATACTGTTAAAATATGTTCCCGAATCATGGGAAAAATAACAAATTGTATACGACTTACTTTGGGAGTGGTGAAGCCTGGAAATCTCACGATGACGTCACGATTCAAGTGTGTTCATAGAGCAATCCCCCCCGGGCCTGACGTGGGGCAGGAGTTGCAGAAGTTATTTTTCCATATTTATTTTAATGTCTCTGATTTGTTTTTCTCTGGTTTTTAGTAGTATTATTATTCAGTAGTATGCATTTGAGAAATTTATGTAAATCTGTGGACAATGGAATGCTCAAATATATTTGTCACTAAGATGCACACTATATTACCATATATGTTTAGAACAATAATACATACTGCTTTTGCTGCTGTGCTATGTACATTTTCATATACCATGATGAACCTCTAAGCAGTTTTGGCAAGTGTAATAATCTTGTAACCAATTACCAGAGTTCAGTCTTGCCCCACATGTTTCACACGAAGTTGAAACTGCAAGCATTGAACACATTATATTTTCTTTGAATTTTTACTCTATTTACCAAGGGTTTTTTCCAAGTGCAATGATACAATGAGCTGTTAATGTTATCTGTATCACAGAACATGTAGAACACATGCACCCACAGATATATTCGTCTCATAATTAAAATGTGCGGTTTTTGCTATTATTACACTGTACACACACACACACTATACATAATTGTCTGCATTCAACAAAATGAACAATTAAGCCATTCTGATGGGTGTGGTAATCTCATAATCCAAACACAGCATAGTGCAACATGCTAATCAGTTGCCAACAGCACCTGACCCTTCAAAGTGCCTCCTAACATACTATGTACATTGCCAACTCTTGCCACAACATTGCAATAATCAGAATCCTGGTCACTAAATCCTGAATATGAACAATTTTCCACAAGTTTATTTTCTAAAGGACCATGAGATCCTATTTTATGAAGCATAGACGCACAAGACTGCAGCTGTGCTGTGAACATTTGTAACCAGCAATGGGTTCATGGATATCCGAGCCTTGTACATAGTTCTTGTCAGAATCTTTTATGATACTATGAGGGTGCCCACGATATCTTTCCAAGACGGCATCTGTTTATTGAAGGCCTGGGGAAGCAGATACGAGCCCAATATACAAGCGGGACTTTTAAATCTGCCACAGTACTTTCAAATTTCAAAGGCCAAGTCGCGCAGGTTAAGCATAGATAGAGAGGTCAACCCCAGCCGTGTTTCACAGTGCGAGGGTTAAGAAACACTGCATGTCCAGTTGCAATGAATTGGGCATAATTGCAATGAATCCATAAGGTATAGAAAAATACAGAGGGCACAAATGTAAAAAGGCACTAAATTTACCTGGACCGTTTCGTTGGACTAAAATCCTGGACCGTTTCGGTCCAGGACGGACCGAAACGTCGTTGTCCCTTCACCTTCTAGTGTGTGGTCTGGTCAACAAAGTAATCCTAAGTTGTGAATGGTTGAATGACAACATACCAGCTACTATAACAATGGGAGAGGTCAAATTAAGTGGCAGCAATATGCAACCATTTACAAAATAACATGAGACCCAAACAGGAGCTTGACAGCGCTTCGGATTCGTAATCCTGAGATCCCCGGTGGAGGCAGAAACAAATGGGCAGAGTTTCTTTCACCCTGATGCCTCCCATTATCTAGAAGTAAATAGGTACCTGGGAGTCAGACAGCTGCTACAGGCTGCTTCCAGGGGGTGTGTAACAAAAAGGAGGCCTGGTCGAGAACTGGGCCACGGGGATGCTAAACCCCAAAATCATCAAAATTACCTCAAGGTAATGTAACAATGTAATCAGAATCAGAAATAGAAATAGAATCAATCAGAATAGAAAGCCACAACCAATGAAAGCAGGAGAAGAGTACATCTTTTAATCATGAGTGACTTCACCCATTGCAAGTCAAACAATGAAAAGAAGAATCTCCATAGGTCACAGATACAGTACATGAAAAGATAAACTATTGGAAGCAGCAATGATAAATTTTCTAAGGCAACATGTTTATGGATGCCCAAGAGTGAAGGGCAGTGATAAACCAGCTAATGAGTTGGACAAGTGAACTTTTAACTATCCCTTAGGAACGAGCAAACATACAATACTGAAAATTTAGATATCGGAACAACAGGTCAGAGAGTGGGTGTCTTACCTTGACGGCCTCGAGGATATTTCTCTCTGCCTTGGTGTGAGCAGTGTCTTTTTGATTGCGCACAATTGTTGCCTTTTTCAAAACCTTCATGGCAAATATTTTTCCTCCTCCTTTGCCACCGGTCGTTTTTCTGACCTAAAAAATAAACACATTAAACAAAATTACCTCTAATTTAAACTATCTTCAGTAATCAGCATTGTACTAAAATTTATCAATATATGTTCAACTAAAGGACAAGGACGTTAGAACACGAAACAATGGGTATAAATTGGATAATTTTAGATTTAAGAAAGACCTGGATAAATTACTGGTTCGGTAACAGGGTTATTGATTTGTTGAACCAATTTCTGCGTAACATAATAGAAGTTGGATCCCTTGATTGTTTCAAGCATAGGTTAAACATATATATATGAACGAGATTGGGTGGATATATATAGGAGCTGCCTCGTACGGGCCAACGGGACTTCTGCAGTTACCTTCATTCTTATGGTCTTGTTAAAAGTGACAAGTCTGGGTGGAAGAAGTTTCTAAGGAGAGTGTTAATGGTATTATGTTTTTACCTTGATCTTCCCTGTTCATACGAGGCAGCTCCTAGTTATATCCACCCAATCTCATTCATATATATGTCTAACCTACGCTTGAAATAATCAAAGGATCCTACATCTATTATGTTATGCAACAGGCCTTCTGCAGAAGCCTACTTATACTGTCCATCACTGTACTTGTCTATCAGCTAAATGCTTTAAAACACATCAAAGGTTCAGATGGACACAGTACAAGACAATATCAATAGGAAATATTCTAAGGGTGTGTTCGAAAACTGCTTGCTTGATATTTACTGATAATGACAATAACAAAAAAACTGTTTATAATGATTATGATGCTATACCTGAAATACTTTTCCATAGCCGCCTTTGCCAAGAACCTTCAAGAGTTGAAAGTCTGAGGGGCGTACTTTTTCCGTCCCAGGGTTCACAGTGCTGTCAGACAGTTGCAAGGTTTCAATACCTTCAGACCTGAAACAAAAATAACACTTAATTTGATATTTAGATTTTTTCTTTAGAAAGGCATTCAGACAGCAGGGAGGAGTATATAATCAATGTGTTTTTACTGTGCTGATTAACTCTTTACTTTACCTTTGGTTAAGAAAATCATTGCTCTGTCATGAGTGTGCTGCGATGAGTGCATTTTCTTTCAAGGTTCGGCTTTTTATTACTGTGGTGTGATTTAACATCAGGCTAGCATGCCTAAAAAATCTGAACAGCAGTAAGTTCTGTCATCTGTTATTGCAGCTTTACCCCTTTATTTGTAATGCTGTTTGCATACGTGAAACAAATTATGATACTAATTTTTACTGGGCTGCTCAAGTTTCTTCTTGACGAGGGGGAGTGGTAAATTCTCTTTTTAGGCAACTCCCATTCTGAAGAGTGACATTTTTGAGTGTTGATCTAGTCACACAGACACACACACTCATTCCCCCTTGGTCCCTCATTGCCAGAATGATTAGAGCCACTACCTTGCTGTGCCAAATGACACCTCTCTTGTAAGCAGTTCATTTCCTTTTGCATGAGCCATGCCACATTGTCCTCCATCGGCTAATCATAAAGGTACTGTGCTGGAATAATGTATAAACACAAAATGACATTTTCCTATGTAAAAGGTTTACTTTGCAACTTAACAAAATGAAAAAAAAAAACTTCACGCAGTAGGGAAATGTGAGGATGGCTTATAGTTTTTGGTTCTATATTTGGGTAAAATTAGGCATTTAGTGTTAAGTAGGTAGAATCATTTGAAATACATCATAGGATAGATAGATATAAATATATATTGGCTACTTTACCCGTCTGTATTATAGCTCTACCTGGTAAAGTGTCTGAGATAAATGCTTATAAATAATCCTGTGTAAACTGTCCAAAATCTCTAAACATCGTGAATGCTGCAGATATTGGGTGGGAACATTTCAACACCTCTCGGTATACAGTCAATATTTTAGATGGCAAGAATTTTGAGAATATACAATAAATGACGTTCTAATATATTAAGTTTAAAAAATGCATGTTAATATATGTACTCTATATACAAAAACACAATCAGCTTAATAAATCTTTACCAATACCTGTAATGTTATGGATAGTTTGGTGAACAATCTAATCCCCTTCGGTACAATCTATTCTACGGTGTTAAAAAAAAAAATTACTGCTTTTCAACTCTAAAGTGAATATAGAAGGTTGTTTATAAAGAATCTCATTTAATGAAATCCTCTAGCCAATCGGCTAAAGTTATTTCGTAGATAATCTAAATATAGAAACAGTAAGACCAACTCTTAAAATGGATAAACTCATACAGGTATTAATATCGATAATACACTCATAATACGGACAAGACTAAAATACAGTACAGTACTGTATTGAATATGTATAAACATTAAAAAAAAAACTGTACAGTGTGTGCAATGCTGCTTCATCACTGTCACGATCCTAACAAATATTGAACTAATTGCTGCTTTAAAATGGTGAATGTATTTTTGTTTTTGAGATCACTAAAACTAGAGTACAGTACATATTATAAATATAAACAGTCACTTAAGAATTATCATACTTACTGAAGAATAGCATTTATGTCCGGACCCTGCTCATACTGGCTCTGAAATAAAACAAATTATTTTTAAATTCAACTATTAATATTAAAAAGTAACATTCTGTATATACAGCACTGTACTAGCTTGTTTATCGTTAAAGTCATGCATTTTTGTGCTGACAGGGATGACAGCTATTCTAATTATCACTATTTTATGTAGCCCTCAATACCTATTAGTTATCATTACTGTATATACAATCTCACATGAATCCCCTGCATAGCAGTGGAACTGCCTTTTCCCTTCACCTTCAATGCCTCTGCACTGGAAGTCTACATCTACACCAGTCCAGACAAGTCATCAGTCCTGCCACCTCTCCATACCCCCCCCCCCCCCCCAGGGCCTGGCATGACTCAAGAGGCAAGCCGGGCGCCTCTGCTAACCGCTAGTTTGCCCCCACAAACAAGCAGTTAGCCGCCTTCAACTGGCAGTGGTGCAGCTCAACACAAAGGCACCGCCAGCCACAACGAGCAGTTTGCTAGTTGACCAGATGTCCACCATGCGTTGACACTGGATGAGTCATTACCGCCGGACTATATAAAGGGCGCTGCCTCCTGGAGAGCCAGTCTCTCCCTTAGTGCTCTAGGATCATCTTCATGTTTCTCACCCGTCGTCTACCTCCAGCCAACGTCGTGTGACTGATGCCATGGTGGTATGGTAGCTGTCTTCAGTACACCAGTATATCTTTATGCTTTTATTCATTGCTTATAGTTTATTTTTGCATTTAAGGTCATACTAACTTATTCACCTTTTGCACTCCAGTTCACCTTAGGTTCCAGGAATCATGTCCCTGCATCCCAGTCCCTGGCAAGACCTCCTGGTTGATGGTCTAGTAAATCAGGCAGTTAAGAAGCCACTGCTCGCAGTATGATGTATGAATCGGCCTGGTTGGTCAGATAACCTTTTTGAGGAATTTATAAGTTCTCTTTCCACAAATCGTGGGACCAGCATCCCCCCCCCCTCCACAATGAAAATGGTATAGATGCCCCTCATGGCACCATTGAAGGGGGCACACCACAAAAGGGCCAGCGCAAACTCCAACCCGTGCCATCCTTCTGTGATGCAAAATAGCACAGACGAGCAGATGAGGAAACCATAGAAAGAAGCGCAAGACCCAATGAATCTGACTCCACCAAGGACCTGCCCTGACCAGCAGCAGCAGATGACACCCCAACCCTATCTCCACCACTGCAAAGGATGGTGACTTGGGAGCGCATTACAGGAATCAACCACATCAGTGACAGAACTGACAACTGACCTGGTTGTGGGTTGGGGGCTCCAAAGCCACCTGGTGGCAACTATCAGTACAGTAGTAATGGGGTCTGAGCTAGCTTCGAGGTACCAATTGTTGGGAATGAATCGTTTGCAAAGTTGTTTGGCCATTTCAATGTACAGTTTTCTATGAACCTTGCAGATGTCTGTACAGCTTTGCTGTCTCTCTGGATGCTGTCTTAATGAGGGTGATGATAATAATCTGCTGTTCTCTGCACATGACAGGCCAAAGTTCTAACTCCAAAAGGCTAAACATGACTCCTGCAACTGACGTGACCAAGTAATGGCGAGCCAGCCTCAGCAAGATGGCTTCAGGGAGCCAAAATTAATGCCTAACTGTTTGGAAAAAGGCAAATAGGATACAGCACTGGAATTTATTTCTAGCAGCATTAGCAATAAAACAACTAATGGCATTTTTCAGCTTTATCATGCTTGTTAGGTCCCATTTAGATTACACAGTTAAATTTTGGTCACCATACTAATTAACAAATTCACTTCAACAAGATCAGATAGGTTGACAATGTGAATCTCAGAAGCTAAATTTTCATATCAAGAGATTACAATAGCTCAATTTACATTCTGTATAAAGAGACTTTGGGTTCACATGATCAAAAGGGCATAACTAGGGGGAAAACTAATAAGATGTTATATTTATTAACACAAAATAGAACAAAACAATGGATGATGGTGGCAAGGATGGTAAGTGGTGGCAGGGAGAGGAGTAGGAAGGGAGAGGAAAAGATTAGATTACAGGAAAGATACTGTTGACTTGGAAGGAGGACAGGTGAGTATTCAAGATGCCAGACTTCACTAATCTGTATCAAAGTCCTAATTAGATACCTGCTTACAATCTGACCATTAGGTCGAGAATTAATCGACACCAACATTTGGGAAAACGATACAGTACAGTACTAGTATCACAGAAAGACCAATACTTCAAGACTGTTCCTTAACATTGGTTTATGATGTCACAACTTAAGACATAATACTTTATGATCTGAGTTTGTAAACAGTGATATAGTAAATTAGCAACACTTAATTATAACTTTATACATAGAAAGGGTGGAGGTTGGATGGGTAAGTAGATGGGCAGGGTGAAGGATGGATGGATAAGCAGATGGCAGGTTGGATGGATGGATAGGCAGATGGCAGGGTGGATGGAAGGATAAGCAGATGGCAGGATAAGCAGATAGCAGGATAGATGGGTGGATAGGCAGATGGTAGGTTGGATGGGTGGATAAGCAGATGGTAGGTTGGATGGGTGGATAAGCAGATGGCAGGTTGGGCAAATGGGTAAGCAGATGGCAGGTTGGAAGAATGAATGAATTTGTTTGAGAATCAATAGGAGCTGCCTTGCATGGTCCTTTCACACTTTGATAAGGAAGGCAAAAGTTATCATTACAAATGGCTGGATCATTAAAAAAAATCAGTGCTTATGTAACTGTATATCAAACAGAGCCATCTTACTCATGGGCTCCATGGGCACTTGCCCAGGGGACCCCATGAGCATAGGACATGTTCATTATGGAAGGAGAATGTTTAAATTAGGATCTGGCATTACCCCTACCCAACCTAACATATCCTCCTAACCTTAAAGATGTCTACAATTTTAATAATTAGAAAACTTGCTAAAATGCACGTGTACAATTTGGCCATACTCCCAAACAATCCACAGAAACTTTTCCTGGGTGTAAAAAAAAATTAAATAAAAATGTTTGGAGCATTGCAGTGATTTGCAGTCTTGTGTTTTGTCATGGGGATCTAAAGATATATATATATTGTTTTTGTCCCTGAACTTATGAAACTCTTACCAAATGCAAGGATTGTGAACACACAGTAAACAGACCCATAAGGGAAACTGCCATTTAAATAACCACCAATGGAGTACTGTTCCATTTGGACATAGACCCATGGGGCACTGACTATTTTGATCAGAAGTATCCCAAATTATGTCTGGATGCAACCATGTCATGTCAATGGCATATCACACCTAACACAATACTGAAATTTCTTGTTTTTGTTGGCACAGGTTTGTTAAAGAGCACCGACAAACAAGTATGATTCAACATAAGATGGGGAGGGGTGCTCCTTTTTAACCCAATTCTTTTAGACAAGAGCCAATGAGGTATTGAGCTAGTTTGATATAGGCTTAAGAGGTAAAACACTAATGTACTGTCTGGTGTACATGTAAAGGAGTTGCCTACATAAATATTCAACATAGAAACGACAAGCTAAACAGCCATAACAAATAACACATTCATCCCTCATACATTTACGTGCTACACAGCAATATATGCAATATACCATATAGTACATGCAATTTTAAAGATAGCTTTTTAAACAAAATTGGTTCACAATCAACTGGACCCCATGTTTGAATCCCAAACAGGGAAAGATAATTCACCATGTCAGTGGACAGGCTGCCAGTTTATACTGGAACAGATGTTTAGGCACACTTCGTTGCACCTGATGCAAGGAAATGTTAGTAGATAACAGGTATCCAGGAGATAAGAACGTAAGAATGAAGGTAACTGCAGAAGGGCTATTGGCCCTCCTATTTACGAGGCAGCGCCTATTTACGCAACTGTTGAGGTTTTCTGTGTCATTGGGTCAGGCTGTGTTTGGTTCAGTTAGGATGGATTGGGTACGGCTAGGTAGGTTTTAAAATCCATTAGCAAACAATTTTGTGTGAACAATATGACTTTTATTCATTCCTCTTAATAATGGGAAACCCTAACATCAATCAATCATGTTTATTCAAAAGAATATGTGTTAAAAAGACTAATGTACGACAGGAGTCACACATACTAATGAAGCCACTATTACGCAAAGCGTTTTCCCCAAAACACTTGTAGTGATTTGCTGTTTGTGGTATCCCTTAAGCCTTGCTCAAGAAATGATTTCTCAAGTACTGTACTTTTCATTACAAAATATTAAAACATCACAGTATTACAGTATTGTCAGAACCCACCCAAAGTTCACTACTGTACACGCATTACAGGTAATCTTTCCCTGTGGCCTTAACCAAACAAGATTGGCAGAAATTACATGAAAAAAAATATATATATACACTATCTGAACAGCTGTAGAGTCACCAAGACAATTGAGATAATATTACAGCTGCATACCAAAATAATGAGGATACCATCACTGACCTTCACATACAAGCTTGTGTAATATTCAGTCCTTCCCTAATAAGAAGTTTCGCCAACTTGCCTCAAGAAAATCAACAAAAAATTGTTCTTGACCAATACACTTTTGTTCTTCCCCCTTTTTTAACGAACCCCTGACCTTATATAGTTCACATTAACCCTTAAAAACATCATAAATCAAGCCACAGCTGGGAAGCAGCTCAACCCGAAAGACAAACCTGAAACCTCTTTTGACCTCCAAATAAACAAAATTAAAAGTCACCCCGTCTCATTGTTGACACCTCCAATTAAAAGCTACTTACGAGTGTGTTAATAAGTCAAGTATTCATCACCAGAGCCACACAAAATATGACTAACCTCCTCCACCTCAATAGCATCATCGTCGGATTGGTCACACTCTATGGCGTCCTCCTCCTGTAGCTCCAGATCAAACAGGCCCGGCGCCGCCATTTTCGGAGTCTGCCGTCCACTTTCACTTTATTTCCCGGCGATAAAGTGGTCAAGAGAGAGTGTGTGTGTGAGTGTGTGTGAGAGGAGCGAGTGAGAGAGAGAGAGAGGGGGGGTGTGTAGCGGGCCGTAGCGTGGCGCACCGGGTGTGGTAGAGGACTGACTGTGTCACACTCACACACAGGGAGTGGGTGCTTGGGACCATGACACGCACCGCAAAACTCCACACACATGGCTTATTCATCATCATACTCATCATCATCATCATCATCGTCTATTGCGAGCTATGTAAAGCCTCCTCCGCGAGAGGTGGCACGGGCGTGAATAGCCCGCAGGTGGGTGGTGGTGGTGTATAGGTTCTTGGGTTGAGGGTTGGGGGAATTACATCTTGAAGGAAGTGTCACTGGGGTCACTCTAAACTACATATAGATATCTCCCTTTCTTACTCTCACTCTCACTCTCACTCTCACTCTCACTCTCACTCTCACTCTCACTCTCACTCTCACTCTCTCTCTCTGTCTCTCTCTGTCTCTCTCTCTCTCTCTCTCTCTCTTTCTCTATCGTATTTCAGCCTAATGCGACTGTTATGTAACTTGATGCATCTAAACACACATGTTCTACAATTATAGAATTATTATACAGCTTTCTGTATATGTTTATGTATATTTATAATATTTTATAACAGACAAAATCGCTTATAACGCAACATTGTGCAACTTTATATAATTACACACACTCACATTCAGTCATTATAGAGCCATTAAACAACCTGATACATTAAAACCCTTCAAATTTTATCATTTTAAAACCATTTATACGAACTGATATATATAAACACGTGCATACATTATATCATTAAATAATTTGGGATCTTCTTTACTCATATACAACACATAGCCAAAAAAAGTATCTAAAACTGTTGGTATTCTCTCAAAAGTCAGATATTGTGTTCCACACTCTGCTCTTCTCACACTATACTATCCACTAATCTATAATCACCTAGTTGTGCTTGCAGGGATTGAGCTTCGGCTCTTTGGTCTAGCCTCTCAACAGTCAATCTCCTGGTGTACAGATTCCCGAGTTTCTCCAGCTCTCTCGTATCTACATTTGAAACTGTGTATGGAGTCAGTCTCCGCCACATCACTCCCTAGTGCAATCCATTTACTAACTACTCTGACACTGAAAAAGTTCTTTCTAATGTCTCTGTGGCTCGACATTTGGGTACTCAGCTTCCACCTGTGTCCTTTTGTGCGTGTACCACTCGTGTTAAATAATCCATCCTAGTCTACCCTGTCAATTCCCCTGAGAATTTTGTATGTGGTGATCATGTCTCCCCGAGCTTTCCTGTCTTCCAGCGACGTGAGGCGAAGTTCGCGCAGTCTTTCCTTATAACACGTGCCTCTTAGTTCTGGGACTAGCCTAGTGGCATACCTCTGAACTTTTTCCAGCTTCGTCTTGTGCTTGACGTCGAAGCCACTAGAGTGTTAGTGACCTTCAGGTAAGTTCAGGTAAATTCAGGAAACCAGCAACTTCAAGAACAAGAGATCATAGATTCAAGCTAAGGAAACAAATGTGCCGAAAAAATATTAGACCCTTTTCTTTTGCAAACAGAGTGGTAGACGATTGGAACAAGCCAAGTGAGAAGGTGGTGGAGGCCAAAACTGTCAGTAGTTTCAATGAGTTATATGACAAAGAGTACCGGGAAGACGGGACACCACGAGCGTAGCTCTCATCCTGTAACTACACTTAGGTAATTGCACACACACGCACACACACACACACACACACACACACACACACACACACACACATACTATTAACTGTGCCAAACACTCTTTAATTATCCAACTAATCAAAAATGCCTGAATAAAAATATTCACCCTTGTGCCGCGCATGCGCACGACGTTCCCAATACAGTGGAACTGGGCAACGCGTAGTTAGGAATTTGAGATAAATCTCACGACGGTCTAATCACTGATAAGATGGCACCAAGTATGATGTCTTGAAGGTTAATTCACAGGTTTCATAAGCTGTTTACTAATGATAGAGAAAGTGGTTTTGATTGGTAATTTGTGTATCTGTTTGCCATCCGTAGATCCATATATGCGTATAGGACTTGATATATGTGATTATACCTACATATATATATATGTAGGACCTCATATATGTGAGAAACACCAGGTATACACGTGTAGGGCTTCATATATATGCCTAGGCCTATACATAGTCGTGTAGGATTTCAATTTTTGTTATTTATATATACAAGAGTTCTTACATTCTTATAAAGCCACCAGCACGCATGGCATTTCGGGCAGGTCCTTAATCCTAATTTTCCCCGGAATACGACTCGCCAAATCGGGTAATCATTCACTGCTGGTTGAACAGAGGCTACAGTTTAGGATTGGCGCCTATAGTCAATCCTCGTATCCGATTCGTATCCGGCAAGGATACGAATCCAGGTCAAATCGCTTGCGAAGCTCGGGGCGAGTGTATTACTACTGCGCCACGGAGACTAAATATATATAAGATAGATAAGATAATGTTTATTTACGTCAAAGTACATGTACTAATTAATACGCTTTGCGTATTAATTACTAGTACAAAGTACTAATACGCACAGCGTTTCTGGCAAATGTACTCACCTAGTTGTACTAGCAAGGGTTGAGCTTCGGCTCTTTGGTCCCACCTCTCAACTGGTGTACAGATTCTTGAGCCTATTGGGCTCTATCAAATCTACATTTGATTTTGTGTATGGAGTCAGCTTCCACCACATCACTGCCTAATGCATTCCATTTGTTAACTACTCTGACAGTGAAAAAAATCTTTCTAATGTCTCTGTGGCTCATTTGGGTACTAAGTTTCTACCTGTGCTCCACCCATGGTAAAATAGTTTATCTTTGTCCACCCTTTCAGTTCCTCTGGGAATTTTGTAGGTGGTGATCATGTCTCCCCTTACTCTTCCGTCTTTGAGGGACGTGAGGTTTAGCTCCCGTAGCCTTTCCTCGTAACTCATACCTCTCCGTTCTGGGACCAGTCTGGTGGCATACCTCTGAATTTTCTCTAACTTTGTCTTGTGCTTAACTCTAGGCTGGAGTTGCATACCAGGTTACATATCAGGTAAGATGACAGGGTACATTGTAGCAAGGTTTTTATATCAACAAATAACTATAACATAAGTTGGCAGCGGTGATTACAATGCTAAGGATAAATATGTCTTAGATACTAATATTGGGGAAGTGGGCAGTACAAGATACAGTGTGAGTTTAAAGCACAAGCTAAGAAACTATGAGGATGAAATTAGGTACTTTTTGGGTTTACTTTTGAATAGGGCATGGGTTGGACAAACGTCAGTCGATACAACCAGTTGATTGACGGTTGAGAGGCGGGACCAAAGAGCCAAAGCTCAACCCCCGCAAGCACAAATAGGGTGAGTACAAACAAATGCTGTGCCGGTCAGAAGGGAGGCAGGATTATGAAGTGAAAGTAGAACTAAAAAGGAAATAATACAAAGAAATAACAGCAAAGGAATACAAAATTATAATGTGTGAAAACTATATTAACAATGCTTCAAATAACATTATTTTATTTAATAAGAAAGGAAATTACCTCAGTCATTCACTGAAGCAAACATGAATGGGAAAATCGACACCGAAAATGAAACAGATTTCGTGGCGTATGGGTAAACTCAAGTATTTCGTTCTTGAGTTCCGGAGTACCAGAAAGTGCAATAAATATTGTAACAAAATTGGGGCACAACAAGAACAGAATGTTACGGTAACTTGTTACACCTATAGCAATAGCCCGTGTAATGTTGGGCAGAATAACTGCAGTAATGGGACTTATTAAAGGGACGTAATGGGACTTCTGCCAGAAACGCTTTGCGTAATAGTGGCTTTAGGCATTTTATGTACTAGCTCTATCTATAAATCCATCAACTTTTTGTATCTCACCTTGTATGTAAGTACTTTACCTGAATAAATATTTGTATTTGTATTATGACTGATGAAAATGGCCTCAAATGAAGCAAGGCAGTGAATAGTTGGCATTGAACATAATAACATAATTGAACTTCGATGAACTTGAATTGATGGCATGGTTGAATATACCTGAATTTACCGGAGGGCAACTATCATTAGTGACCTCGATGAGGACAGGAAGGCGGCGGTTTGTCGAAGATCCCCCATTTACCTTGATGATCTCTTCCAGTTGGACTTTAACTGACAAAGTTAACATGAACGAACATTGCATTAGACTGATGTCTAAAAGTATAATATACTTGTTCCATAGTTTCATTCGTCCCGCACTCGAGCTCTTCGACTCCGTCCGCATTCAGTGCCGCGTTCAACACACTGTACAGGAAAGTGTAAAGTAATGAAATTAGGCGAAGGGAGCAGAAGGCTGAACACAAGGTACCATCTGGGAGGTGAAATCCTACAAGAGTCAAGTAGAGAGAAAGATCTGGGGGTCAATATATCACACCGAACCTGTCCCCAGAGGCCCACATCAAAAGGATATCATCAGCGGCATATGCTAGACTGGCCAATATAAGAACTGCCTTTAGAAACTTGTGTAAGGAATCGTTCAGGATCCTGTATACCACTTATGTAAGACCAATCCTGAAGTATGCAGCTCCAGCCTGGAGTCCATACCTAGTTAAACACAAGACGAAGTTAGAGAAGATTCAGAGGTATGCCACCAGACTGGTCCCGGAACTGAGAGGAATGAGTTACGAGGAAAGGCTAAGGGAGCTGAACCTCACAACCCTGGAAAACAGAAGAGTAAGGGGAGACATGATAACCACCTACAAAATTCTCTGGGGAATTGACAGGGTGGACAAAGACAAACTCTTTAGCGCGGGTGGGACACGAACAAGGGGACACAGGTGGAAACTTAGTACCCAGATGAGCCACAGAGACGTTAGAAAGATTTTTTTCAGTGTCAAGGTAGTTAACAAATGGAATGCATTAAGTAGTGTTGTGGTGGAGGCTGACTCCATATACAGTTTCAAATGTAGATATGATAGAGCCCAGTAGGCTCAGGAATCTGTACACCAGTTGATTGACAGTTGAGAGGCGGGACCAAAGAGCCAGAGCTCAATCCCCGCAAGCACAACTAGGTGAGTACACTCACCTTACATCCGAGCTGCTCTTTATCCCTTGCCTCACTCAGCTGTCTGCTTTACTTCGTCTCAACTTCTACAACAGTTCACTACACAACAAACCGACTGCCGTAATCAAGACTATACTTAATAAATATAAAAAACCCACTAAATTCTTTTTTGTCTAATCAACCAAATACGTACTTATACGTTACATTTTTTATCACTCAAATCAGTTTATTTTTGTTAAGAGGGGTTTTAGTGGCTTTGCAAGTATGCAAATTCCTTCCAGCATTTTTATCTGAGCCATTATAGCTTTCTCACAGGTGTTTTAAATAGACAAATTAATTAAAAAGAGTAAATAAATAGATGTCGGGTTCATAGGGTAGGGAGATGATGGGTTAGGGGAGGTTGATATAAGGGAAGCACAGGTAGTGGGGCAAACTGGTGGTGGCGGGAAGCAGCAGTCAGCTGACGGGACCACCACACGTCAACAACAATACCACTCTTGCTACCTTCAGGCCCGTCTTCTTCCCTCACACGTCCCGCTAGCATGGACGGGGTGCAGACGAGTGTCCTGGAGAGGAGGGTAATGCACAGGAAGCTTTACAAGAACGCTCGCGGTAAAGCACCGCCTTGGAAAGATGTGTATCGCAAGGTGGGTCTCCCGTCAACATCCTGTCACTTGGTATCTTGATCAGTAGCTTCCAAGACCTGTGCCGGCATTTGAGCTATGAAGTCTCTGTCAACTACAGACCCCCCCCCCTCTCTATCCAGCTATAGGCAGAGACACTTGGTGAGTTGAACAGGAAGGTGACTTGGTCGTGTTTACAAGTGTTGTGTGATGATCAGGGGCAGTCAAGTTGTAGGGTTCTCGAATTCTTGGATGATGACTCACTTTGCATATTAAACTGGAACATTTTAATTGGATTGCTTAAATTATGATACTTCATGGGAAATATAATTGTGAATTTATTATTTAAATTGTGTTTAACTTTGTTCCCTAGAGCTTTGAGTTGAGGTGAGAAAGCCTCTGTGGTTATTGGTTTCATGATATTAATGAATACATGTTTGGAGTTGATACATGGTACAGAGGGAACATACTAATAATGAACTCATGATAACATCTTTTGAGAATTTTGTGATACAGGCAAGTTCCATTCCTTGTCTTGTATGTAATGATCATGAATGGATGGTGGCAGCATTTCGTCTTCTACTATCTACTCTTCTACTTCTACTATCTACTCTTCTACTACTACCTATCTATTCCTCTCCCTCCACCCCTCTCTAAACTCTCACTTTCAACTAATGACCCTCCTCGCCCCTCCCACCTCTCTCCCTCTCACCCCAAACCCTCACTAATTACTTCACTATTCATTTCTTTCCTTTCGTTTTCTCTTTTACGTTTGTGGCAATGATTCAGTATTCTAGAGTTCTCTCTAGAGTTTCGGGTAGCTGATCCAGTTACGGCGCCTTGTAGTCTTAGCACCTAGGTAGTCAAATACCTAGGTTACAAGGTGTTGAACCAGAGAGGTTGCCTTAGGAACTCTGGAGGTGCTCTAGAATAGTTAGCTAACTGGGGACGGGATAACGGACTAGAGAGAGCTGTTTCCCCCGGCCTCGTTAGTTAACTGGGGGGGTGGAATAATGGACAAGATAGAGGTATTTCCCCCGCCCCCCCGTTACAATGTTGGCAGCGGTGTTGAACAATGTTTAAGGTATTGGTGTTCTTTTAACATTGTTCAGTCCCACGTGTCTTTTGCCGCTCAGGCGCTATCAGGGAGAGCTTGACAGGTGTTTATTATTCGCGAGTTAGCGAACTTTTTTCAGGTTAGGAGATAGTGATTCTCTGGTGTTGTGTTTAGTGATTTTGTGAGTTTTGTGGTGTTCAGGGAATGTTCACCAGAACTTGCGTGTGTGGTGATTTATGTTAGTAATAAGATTTGGCGATTTTGGAACTTAGCGGTGTTGGTAGTGCAGGTCAGCTGAGTGTGACAGGTGACCTCGCATGTCCCACGGGGACACCCAGCCACCGCTGGTCTCCAGGTCAGTGGGGAGTGGCAGGTGTAGTTCTTAAGTAGTTTAAGTGTGGTTCTGCTCAGATTATTGCGATCGACTGTTTTACTCCATTTGAACGCAATAACCCGAGGTGTACTGGTATTGTACAGCATGCTAGGGGGAGGCTTAGTATGTCAGTAGACTTCACGTTGGGGACGCTCGACGTTAGATAGTCTGGTCACAGGGGTGACAACAGTTTGGGAGTTGTTTACCGGCGGAGAAGCTAGGGAAACACTCTGGGTCACGTAGGTGGCTGTAGGTTAAGGGTGGGAGTAATGGTTAATTATGTACTTAAGATTAGGAACGGTACAGTTAAGTTTAGGCTAGTGTTTTGTCTATTAGTGTTGATTTTTTTTTGTGACAAGTTAAAAGTAGTGATGACCTTATTCTCTCTTCTCTAACTTTACTCTGTTACTGTTTTATGTTCCACCAAGTCAATATCATTCAGAGTTAATTGAATTATTAAAAATTGAAGTGTAGTTGTTGCCAGGAGGAGAGCGGTATGATAGGACTGTGTAACCCTATACAAACGACAGGGTCACACAAACATCTTGGGAACACGTATTGTCGCCTTTCTGTTCATTTCACAGGTGGGAGCCAGAAGAGAGGAGAGACGCACATACAGAAGAGGGAGACGGCTGCCTTATACCACACTCACGGCTGTTCCTCACCACCACGACGACCAGCCCCTACCTGGATGTCAGGGCCACCACCACCACCACCACCCCAGGGGACCCCAAGATGCAGCCCTCTCGGTCGGTCAACATTGGTCTACCCAGTGGACCCCAAGACGGACGGACCCCAGTGGACCCCAAGACGGACGGACCCCCAGTGGACCCCAGGTCGTTCTGCAGACGACCCCAGACGACCCAGTAATGATGGAAGAGGAGCAACAACGACTCCAGTCTGTCCCACCAACATCGGTCTACCCAGGATGGACCCCAGGACGGACAGACCCCCAATGGACCCCAGGTCGCTTGTCAAAGACCCATGGGAGGAGGAAGAGAGAAGAAAGAAGAAAGAAGAGAGAAGAAAGAAGAGAGAAGAAAGAAGAGAGAAGAAAGAAGAAGATAAGCCAAGCTGAGACACGATACCTAGTGTCCCTTGCTGGTGTCAGCATTATTGCATGGAGCGTAATTGCAAGACAGGATCGTTTGCCTTGACTGGCCGCCCCTCCTACAAGCATGTTGCTCTGTTGAGTGATTCTTCCTGTGTCATGCGGACTTGATGTGGCTGTCAGAAGTAGCTCTCTGAAGGAGGCGTGCTGGAGCAACAGGGAGGAAGAAGAGTAGGATGGGATTTCTACTGTTGGCAACTATATGAAGGTCTCGAAACTTGTAGTCCCTATAGCTGTGAAGAACCCCAATATACGTCTCTCATGGTGACTGACGTAGGGCCAATTACAGATCAGCTGGGACAACCGAATTCCACGGTCCTGTGCTCAGTTCAAGTAGTAACGGCTTTCGGGTTGACCAAGTGTTGTTGTGCGTTAACGACGGAGAAGCGACGGAGGCAGTTGTGTTGAAGAAATGTGGTACAGGATTATCTACAAGACCAAGCAGTGACGTCGCCCAGCCAGAGACAATGGACGTCTGTCTATATATTTCATTTTTTAGAGTAGGATGATGTATATTTGTTTAGCTAGGATGTATTTTTTTTTCGTTAATAAAGTTGTTGCACACAGCTAGCTTGCTTTAGCAGTGTTGCAAAAACTTTATTTCGGGGAGAAGGGGAGATGTAACACTGTAAAAGTGTTTGAGTTAGTTTATTTAAAATATATATAGAGTACATGAGTCACAGACAAGGATCTGAGAGGCGCCAGTTGTCTGCCTGAGATCTCACACCTCAAAGCGTTAATGACCTCAAGTGACCTGAGGTCAGATCATGAGAATTTCACCTTGCTTCCGCTAAGCTCTTAATTGTAGTCTGGTAGCCTTCAAACAAGCCGACGTTTAAGGAGTGGCTTGGTAGTGCCGGAGGCTATCTATTTGTGGGCGGAGTTAGCTACTAGGTTCCCCAATATAAACTCGGAGAGCTATCCAGAAAGGAGCATTAATCAAGAGAACAGCAGACGAGCAGAGCAGGGAGGCTGTCGGCCGGCAGGGCGGGAGTCTCTGTCAACTACAGACCCCCCCCCCTCTCTATCCAGCTATAGGCAGAGACACTTGGTGAGTTGAGTTCTACTATCTACTCTTCTACTTCTACTATCTACTCTTCTCCTACTACCTATCTATTCCTCTCCCTCCACCCCTCTCTAAACTCTCACTTTCAACTAATGACGTAATGGTGGCGTCACAAATCTCCAGGATACAATATATTTAACGCAAACTTTTATCAATTATGTTCCATAGGTTTATTTAAACTGGCGATGACGTAATTTGTTCAAACTTCCGTATTCCCAAGTCTCAGACCCCCACTAACCTTATCATCACCTGGTACCCCATTTCTATCATTCAAGTTCTTACAAGTTCTTGTAAGAACTTGTACCCCATTTTCTTATTTCCAACTACTGTACTGTTGCAAGAACTACTGACTTAATAATGTAATAGTCTATGCCTGTCATCATTAAGTATTGCCTTTGTATTGTATTTATTTTTCTTGAATTTTCTCAACTTTGTTAGATTTTAGTGCTAACTGCCATTGTTATGGCATTAAGATTCCTTGAACAAAACACTAATGGTACAGTGATCTGCACAAAATCAAAAGCAGTGCTACAAAGCCATAGTAAAAATCGGGCAGAAAATCTTGCAATAGTCGTTGAAATTAAGAGAGCTGTTAAGAGGACTTACCAATCAGGGAAGTCATCAAATTTCTGTGGATCCCCTCCCATGTTGGAATACTGTATGTGGAAATGAAGGAGCAGTTGTGCTGGCTGCTGAGGGCGCTAATGAAGACCATCTTGAATACCTGATACTTCCAAGATCTCTACAAGTTAGCGGTATTATCAGGCAATGTCATCGTGACAAGATAAGAGGAAAGGAGGATAGAAGAACAAATCGGTGAATCTGTACACTGGTACAATGTGCTTGCAGCTGGCAATCCCAATTATTATGGACGAAGAGGAGGTGGCTGCGGGAGAGAATCAACGATAGCAAGAATCTGTCATGGATACAAATATCCAAGGAAATTTGGAATGGAAACAACAGTTGAGCAGAGGAGTTGCAGAATCTGTAGTGAGTGTTGAACACCACCTTGACCACTACCTGAGAGTGTGAACATCTAAGAGTCATTAGGAATACAGTATGTGTAGAATAATAAACCCCACATTGAGTTAGGAAAATACTGTTTGTCAAATATAGATACTGTTCATAAAAGATTCCCCCATTTTGCACTCACAAGATAAAGTAAGTTTTTAAGGGTTGACAAATGTTAATCATGTTTGAGAAGCTGTTCACTTGAGCAAGTCCTAGCTGTGTCTAGGTACAAGTGGCAGGATGAACAATTTGGTGGGTTTTCTTCCTATGGGGGGGTGTTGTACATGCTGCCATGTATGTATGTATGTTAATGTATGTAAAGATATGGTATGTTAATTATAAACAACTGTGGACATCTTCAAGAGAAAACTAGGTTTCCTCCAAGGAGTGCCGGACCAACTGGGCTGTGGTGGGTATGTGGGCCTGCGGGCCGCTCCAAGCAACAGCCTAGTGGACCAAACTCTCACAAGTCAAGCCTGGCCTTGGGCCGGGCTTGGGGAGTAGAAGAACTCCCAGAACCCCATCAACCAGGTATCAACCCTGTGGCTTATATATAACTCCTAATATTTGACTATCATTTTTTGTTTAATTTTACTCGAATAATTTGTGTGGTTCAATTTTTTATTCCCAGATGCTATATTGTGTTTTCTCGGCCACACATTACTACTTCCTAGTTTAATAAGTACCTACAATTATTTATTTATTTGTTTATTTCAACTTTCTGCCATTTTCAGATATAATATTTTATTCATGTGATGGACATGACTACACAATGTGTGAAGCTTTTTCATTGTAAAATTAAATTATCAAAATTGAGACTAGGTCAATAGACTTGTAATTACAAACTTTAACAGAATCATTGTGAACTTAAGTGAAAGGGTTAAAACATTCTGAATCTTCTCTGATGTATTTACTAAAATGTTTGCCTTTTTTATTGTATGTCCTCTGTATAAGACAAAGCCAAGATGTGTTAAACTATTTAATGGATCATTTTGAATATAAAACTATTAGTACTGTATGTTTTTTAATTAATGTGTTTTGCATTATGCTGTCCTTATATTTTCATAGCGGTGTGTGGAACGTTTGCGGTCAAATCGGTCCCAGCTGGTGGAACACTTCCGTTCAGCTGGGGATGCGATGAACAACAACCCCACAAAAATAGTGCAGGATGTGATGGAGATAGAGTGGGCTGCCATGAATCAGGGCTGTAACTTGCCGCCTCTGAAGTACGTTGTTAGCTAATCTATCAATGATTTTTTCTTGCCTGGTAGTAGGGGATGCTTTTTGTCTTGCCATTGATTTCTTCACTGTTTCTTTTGGTTTATGTAATGTCTACATGGTGCTATCTAAAAATTAATTTAAACTTTAAATGCGTGAATTTGCAAAACCAACTTTCTGGTGACTATATAATTTTTTGGCATCTTGTTTTGTGGGGAACCCATTGGTGGCCCCCCTGAAGCCATCTCGCTGAGTTGGTGCCTCACTACTGGGTCACATCAGTAGCTGGAATCCTGTTTGGCCTTCTGAAACCAGAATCAGAACCTGGCCACAGGTTCGCCACCATAGTGGTGCAAGGAGCGAGGGACTATTATTGTCACCTTCACTGTGAAGCATCCAGAAAGTTGACAAATCTATAAAAACTACTTTAAAGTTCATAGGAAGTGAAGCATCGAAAATTAAATTCAAACAATTGGTACACTCAAAACTAGCTTGTACTCATTAGTACTGTACAGACAATCGCTACTAGACGGCCTGTAGCCCTTTGCCAACAGCTAGCTCGAAAGTCAAGTCTTGTTTAATATCTGTTTACATATACCCACAACCAAGTAACAATCAAGTTAATACAAGGCACAAGTCATAGCAGCTAGATGTCACTAAGCAAAGATCACCTAATAACGTTGGTATACTAGGCCGCTTAGGACTGGCGGGTAAGTTGTGAACAAGGTTGGTGGTGATGTTAAATAACCAGAGTAGGGGGTAATGTCTCGGCATGAACATCAATAAACACAAGTCGGTGAACTATCATTTGGCCTTCTGAAAAACTAAGTCCCAACTGGACTGGCAAATGGCAAAAGTCCAAAAACTCTTCTCAAAAGTTAGTTCACATTGACTGAAAAATCTGGCAGTCAGGAATTGCCTCTCAAAAGTTGAAGTTCACAAACCATGAAATTTGATTGTCCTAAATTTCCTCTCCAGAGTTAAAGTTCACACAGACATCATAGGACGAGTCCCCAAACGACAATTAAAATGTCACCACCACAGGAGTTACAATTTGAGAATTTAGTGAAAACACGTATTTAACTCTGATCCACACATTAATCCTCTTCTTACCTTATTGGTAAGAAGACAATAGATAAATACAAATATCCTTACTATAAAAAATACTCGGAGCGCACACAATACGTGTGTGTGTGTGTGTGTGTTTCTGTTTCAAGATAGTCTCAGGGAGCCACTGGGGCGCTTCCAGAAGGAGGCATTTCATTATATTCAATGCTGGCCTTTTCTAGGCATTGAAAATCTTTATCTGCAACCTTCTTCACTGAAGGATTGTGGAAGAGATCTGTTTGCATCTGGTAGCAGTTGATAATAGTCGACTGCCTCATCCCTACTTTACTGTCTTTATACATTATGACATGAAATATACGGGTAAGTACTGAGCAGTACATTGTTATAAACACATTCTATTAAAAAAAAACTAATGGAAGTTAAATGTTTAGCAGTGTATGGAGGATCATTTTACTCCCAGATTAAGCTAAAATTTAACAAATATTTCAGGAAAAGTCTGGATGATTCAGGAGCAGAAGACCAGACGATGTTGTTGGCCGTTATGGAGGAAATCCACCATGAACTCGTCAGTGAAGGTAGACTTCAGATTTTGTTTGTGGAAGGAACTGTTGCTATATTTAGATGAAAATTTATATTTTATCATCATTTGCTTTTGCATTGTATTCGGTGAACCTGGAGTGAGAGGTTTTTGGGACTTTTGTTTTTTTAACTTTCTTTAACTTAAAAGTTCTTTAACTTTTTTTTTTTTTTTTTTCTAGAAGAAAAATTGCTCATAGAAGTTCTGAACTATGATGCTGCTGCTCTGGCAAGTCAAGTTGCTATGCAGCAGTCTGAGGAGGTAATCTGCCCTGTGTGTCAGGTAAGTGTAAGGGTCATGGCGGTGGAGTTGGATGAATGATTATACGAGTGTTTTATTCAGTCAGGCTGATTACATTTTGAAACTGTAAACTGTCCGCACAATTATGGTGCTTTCATTGTATACAAAAGGCATCCGATAACAAATACTGTGGTACCTCCGTTTTTTAATTTAATTCGTTCCCAGAGATGGTTTGAAAACCGAAACAAATTTTCCCATAAGAAATAATTTAAATTGAATTAATCTGTTCCACACTTCCCAAAAATATTAACTTAAAAATACATTTTATACATACAGTACTAGTATTTATATTTTGTACTACAGTATATACAAGTATATCTTACCTTTATTGAGGACTCATGCTGGCGTATGGAGGACAGTGAGGAAGAGGGGAGGAGGAGAGGTATTAGTGTCTGGAAGGGGAGTCCCCTTCCATTATAACAACAGTGATGATATTTCTAAGATACTCTCTCTCTCCTGTGTTTTGTGGGCATACCAGTAGGACCTGGTTGTGGCTCACTGCTTGCTTGTCTTGCTAAGAATCTGTCTATAGACACTTGTTTTTCCCTACATTTTAACACTTGGCTGTAGTGAGACATCACATTCTCACTACAAATGATCTCTTGTTTTTCCTCTTTTGTCATCCTCAACTATTTTCTTAGGTTGAACTTTACCACTGACTTTCTTGGAACCCATGGCATGATATATAATAAGAACTTTTATGTTCAGGAACCAAAAAAGCACAAAAACCATGAAATTCTTCACAAAGGATCCAAGCGTGGTCGTCACTAGGCGGGAGACACTGGCAAACTGAAGTGAGCCACGTGCTCAGTCAGCCCATCCGTGTATCAACAAACACGAGTACCGAGTCAAATTTTTTGAAGAAATTGAGCTCGAGAACCAAAAAATTTGAAAACTGGCATTAAAAAACCGAGGTTCCACTGTAGATGTTTTTGTTGAGCAACAACAAAAATTATTAGGCCACTGTTATGCTGAACATGAGCAGCTGGGGTCTGTTAGTGCCATCAATTGCTCGTGTTCAGCATAACAGATGTCCTGATAATTTTTGTTGCTGCTTGGCCATGTACGCATTGTTTCACTCTACTTCCTATGATTTGTCAGCCAAATTTTAAGGGTGCCCTTTCCTTGTGTGGGCTAAAAGTGGTGGTAATGTGTCGATCAAGCTGTAGCTAGTAGTGAACCACGTGGAAACATGCTGTGTTATCAGTCTCCAGTTAATGAGATTATCAAAAACAAGGTTAAAAGTGGTGGTCTTGGGGATTTCACATTTGTGTTTTGTACAATGTGACCAAACTAACTTTATTTGGTATTCTCAAGAATAGATTAGGTCATTCAGTTTTATGCTAAAACTGAAATTAAGACTGATTACCCGAAAAATGAGCCTGCCTAAAGTGAAAAGTGATGATGACGTGGCTTGAGAATGTTGTATGCAGCTGTGCCATGAAATTAGAGATCATGGGCAAGGATGTTTACCCAGAATCAGTTTTGAGAGTAATTTTCTTCTCCGAGCACATACTGGTGCTAGGCTTGTTTGGTGATAACTTGCTCTGTCAGGCTGTTGCTTGCAGTGGCTGACATATCTACTAGAACCTGGTTGATCTGTCACTTTCTGTAGAAATTTTGCTATTTTTGGAAAATGACACTTTGTCTTACTAAGCCAAAGCTGAGTAGTGAGACATTTCTTGAAATTGTGAAATTAACTGCCGAGTAAGTTTATAAGGTAGATCAAACTTGGTTCACTGAAGGCTTATATCTGGAAACATACTGGTTCATCATTAGAATGAATCCTTCTGCTAACTTCAGGCAAAACAGAGTAGTTTCTGTGCTCTGCTGCTCCAATGCTTCTGACACACACAATGCAAATTGATTGATTGATAAATGTCAGTATCAAGGGCATTGAAAAGAGCCTCCAATTTATGAGCTGAAAAGTAGTTTGATGTACATTTTATCCTTGGGGTCAAAGCACACATCAAAAGGATTGTACAAAGCAAAAGACAATCCAAATATCTGCCCAGAATATCAACAAATGGTTCAGTGGGAAAGTACTGTACAGTAGTATCACTGTTACTGTACTGTTTTATGTTTGTCTTCTAATACCACTTTCTTGATCCAATCTGTGGAAAAGATTGCAAAATGATATACCGTTAGCAAAGCTTTTGATACTGTACCTTGTGGAAAACAAAATTAGAAAGGTAGACAAACATGGTACTGGAAGCATTGCTATAATGTATATTGGATTACAGCATGACTATTTCAAAGAAAAGAGAAGGGTCACGTAAATGGTGTCAAGTCAAGTCCAAGAGTCCACTGCATAACAGTAATATAAACGTTAATTAATAATATAAAAGCTAATGTTCTTCATATTGATCTTGTTCTTGTTAGGCTCCATTTAATTCATGTAGGTCAGTTTTGGGCACTATACTATAGTATGAACAGAAATACTCTGGAAAGGTTACATAAGACATTTAGACTTAACATTAGTAACTAAAGTATTTCAAATGTAATGTATGCTGATGATAGTTTCTTTTTTTTTTTTTTAGCAGTGAGAGAGAAGTATGTAGACTAGTTGAAAATGGTGGGAGTTGGGAGGGTGGTTGAAGTGTATAGTGTAAACTGTGTTAATGTAAACAAAAGGTCCATTTACAGATGCATGGATTACAGGAGTCACTCAGAGGACCAAATGAAATGATCTATAAACCAGGTTCTGGGCCGAATATCCTTGTAAACTGTTCCTGTGGCTTAGCTCTACAAGGAGCCAATCTCACACTAAATACAGTAAGTCTTAATTGTGCTCCTTACTCCAAATATGTGAATTTCTAAGTTTTGTAGTTGACAGAATTTTTAAATATGTACAATCATGTTACTCTTGAGTAACATGACATCGATGATTGTACCATCAGTGGATGAGGCAGACAGTGTTCATTTTCTTCAAACTTCACATGATTGGAGGGACTCCAATAATCATGGGACTCGATTAATCCCCTTCATCAAATGTAGGGAAGTTTCAGGGAAATTGTGTGTTAAACCATAGAGAAACAAATTTTGGAACCCAAAAAACCCCCCACACACAAATATTGGTGCATTGCTATTAGTATAAAATTAAATATGAATACATTATAAACACTTGTTACTAAATATATTTGATATATCATAAATTATGATAGAAAACTCTCATTACAATGTTCCTGCTAGAGCATCATTACCGATTCATATTGGCTTTGCTGCTCTGGTAGTGTGTCAAGTCAGCAACATCACTAGTTTATATCACTCTGGAGGCAGCATATAATACTAAGTCATGTGCACATCTACACTTTCTTGCATCTGTTTTCTTCATTTAACATTTAGACCATTTCAGAGAGAGAGGCATCTTAAATGTGGTAGGGATAAAAAACAAAACAAAACAAAAAATATTTAGAGTATATTGCTGCTATGAGCCATGTGCAGATGCTTATCACATGTCAGCTGTGTCCAACAACTTGAGTCACTGATATCTTCCACTAGTTGATAGCCCTTGATATATTGAGAGTTGCTAACTGAGCGTAAAACAAATATATACATTCATATATAAAATAATTGTTTACATAAACACAGTGTTTAAGAGCATGTGAACCACATGAGCTGCCTGGAGTAGTTCATATGTCTCTAATAGTTACAGCTAAGAGTTTAATATACCATTCATCATGAAGCATGTTGTTTGCACCTCAGTGTTGCCACATTCTTTACTATTTTTAGATATGTTTTACTGTGTTTTGAGTTTTCAATATTTTGTACCAATGGTGATTCGGGGCCCCCCATAATCTTCATTTTTTTTTTTGTTAGAAAATGTATCATTTCCTCTTTAAACTCTACATATGATCTTTGTATACAGTATTTATCTTCACTTCAGTTCACTTCGTATTTCTTACTGTAGGTAAAATCAAGCCTAGAAAACACTGTATCTCACCATGGGCAGACTTGTGTGGGGCAGATGTCCTTCACACCAACAACAGACACGCAAGGCGCTAACGTACTCATCACTTGCAGCGTCTGTGACTGGATGTCTTTTCTCTTGTAGAAGTTGGTCAATCATTCAAGAGTATCTTCAGATACTGTATAGCCGCATACACCATTCCACTGATCAGATTCGGAAGATGGCTGTGATTAGATCCCAGTTAAGTAATTTTTTTTAATAATTACTGTTTTCTATAACTCTAATATTACTAGTGATTTAGGATAGTGTTTGGTGTACCATAAACCAAATTTGCATTTCACTTACAAAGGTTAGTGTGTGTCACATTTTCACCATTTGAATTATGTAAGTGTATAATTTTATTTATTCTTATAATTAAAGTTTCAAGAACACTGATATTCTATACAGTATTTACTATCTAAAATAATTGTTACACTAAGGATTCTAAGTTAAGGCAAAAATATTAAATATGCTTGTATGGATTTTTACCCCTTTTATCAAATTGCATTTCCACTACTATGTTGTTTATTGAAGTTGAGGATTTTATTTTTCTTGCACAGTACCTTTTCTTCTTAAGGTTACAAAGTTGGTCTCATAAGTGTCCATCTTATAACAAGTCTTACTATTATTTTTGAGAGGTTTATGTAGAGTCTGTGTGTGTGTTGAATGGTGGAAACCCCATGACAGGACTCTCATGATTAGCTGTGAATCAAGTTATTTGCCAGATGTTTACAATGTGTACAGTTTTATGTTTTGTGCCTTTAAGAGGCCCCAAGTGATTGTTGCTTAGAACACATTTTCACATTTATATTCCTTAAATATTTAGTAATTAAAACTAAGCATGGCTGTTCTGAATAAAGTTTCAAATAAGGAATAATTTTTTTTTAACTTTTCAAACAAGTATTCTAATCTTTAGAAAGATTGAAGTTGTAGATAATATAAAGATTCAATTGTTTCCTAACAATACAAAAAATAATTTTAATTAAAAAAAAAATCCATAACTTTTTTCTAGAATATCCTCGGTTTCACTTGTAAATCCTGTTGATTTGTTTAATATGTGAAAATAGATTCAATTGAATGACAACCGATTTTAATATAAAATCTTGAAACAATTTTAAGATTTGAATTTTCCTACCAAAAATATATTTCTTTTTGTACTTTGCAGTATATTAATTTGCTCATCACTTTCTATGCAAAGTCAGATAGGAATGTCTTCACAAGAAAAAGAAATGTGATGCTGCACTGGATAAATTTCATTAAATCTTTTGACTCTGAGAAAAATATAATACAGAAATGCATTAGTGTAGTTATGAATCTTCACTCAAGAAGATATTACCATAGTTGTACATTACTTAAGAGGAATGATATCTGCCTTTACTACTTTTTATGATTTTCTTGTTTTATGAATACTTTTATGTATTCTGCTGATACATGCATAAAGTACATATGCACACGTACGTGGAGAGTAAGGAAAAGCCTCTTTCATTACCTTTGTGTTGCAGTTTTTTCCAGTGCTTAGTTCCTAATAAATTTTTGTGTTGCTTCAACCCTGAAACACATGTTGATTTCATGTAGCGCTTCCATTGATAATGTGTAAATTTTTTAGATATTTCTGGTGAGAAAGGTTGAAGAGAGGGTATTTATTTGGTCTACACATGCCTTTATCATGAATACTATATGAATTTTCAATATTGTAGCCCTCAGTGGACAATTGAGGGTTAAAATTGTGTATATTTGTATTTTTGGTCTAGGTTCATTTTAGCCTTCAAAAAATGTGTATTTTAAATATGCTTTAGTGTTGTATAGTGTGTAGCATTCACTGAGAACTTATTTAGTGAAATAAATAATTAAAAATGTCATTCCTATTTAAATTGAAGTTTAAGGGTGTAGGTACTGTGTTTAAATTTCATTTGAATATTTGGTTCTCAATAGCTTTGCTATAACTGGAAAAAAACACATGTAAAGAGTAGTACATTTTCATAGTCTCGAATATTAACTTCATTATTCATTCTAATAAAATAATACAATATTCATGCATGCACAATTTGTTTAAATGTATAAAATTGTTGTATGTATATACATTCAAAATGGATTTTGAATTTCTCGGTGTTAAATGTATACTTTTGGTGTCTTGTGTATGATTTTCAGTCAAGTTGCCTTTTAAAATATAGGTGTTAAAACTGTAATATACTATTGAATCTCAAGAATTCTACTGAAGGAATAATTATCATACCAGTACCAATCTTTTATAAAATTATGTTGTTTCCAAAATTGGGTCAGCTTCTGCTATCCTTTTTTTGGTTAATGTGCTATTGAAGACTGCTGTTTCTTTACACAGATATTCATCTGAATTGTTAAATAAATCTATTAATTAAGTGGTGGGCAAACTCCTTGCACAATAAAATTTCACCTGCAGCTTCCAGCGGGTAAAATATGCTAGAGTAATATTAAATCAACGTTACCAACGTTGATTGTATATTAAATAAGTCTTTTGCCCAGATTTGCCTAGGGTAAGGTATCAAGTCAATTTGGAGTGTGGTGCACAGAGTAAAATAACTTAAATTTATTAAGCTCTGGCATAAAAATTTGCTAATAAGTTAGCATAAAAATGAATTCGATGACTAGTGCCGGTAATGATTTCATTTTTCTCAGCAGATTGGATGTGTGGTTTTCAGTCAAAAAGCATTTGAATATGTATTGTATTTACATGCACAAAATTATGTTTCTCTACAAAAATTACTTTAAAAATATTTTCATTAAATGCACGTTGAAACAGGCTGAAAACTCACTATCCATGTAAATTGGATGCGTCTTATTTGCTTGCAAATACAGTACAGTATTTTGTTGTATATAATTTTGCTGAGCATTCTTAGTTGGTGAACTGTGCTTGTTTACCATTTTGTTTTTCTCATCTTGTAATTAGGATTTTAAAATGAATATACTGTAATTCAGATTTTATGAATCGTAATATTGCAAGTATTAAACTGGCAAATAACGCTGTACAGTACTGGTATTTAAAAAAAAAAAAAATGCATATTAAATGTCATGCACACTTCCGTGGAAATAAATGGAAGTCGAAGCTCTATCGACTTCGTCGATAGAGCTTCGGCCTCACGCGTGGGGTCCACGGTTTGAGTCTCCTACAGCCCAAGTGAATGGAATAAAATGAATAATTAATAATTTGATCATATTCAAAATATACCTTCAAGACCATATAATTTAATACTGACTTTGTAACACCATGCAAGTGTTACAAATGAATTTATTTTTAAATTTTCTTTAAATATGTTCCTCCTCTTGGAATACTTAAATTGTACTAAAAACCTTGGCTAAAACTTTGGTACACTTTACAATCATACATTGTGCTATGTTGATTTAGGATTCTGTAGTCTCCTTATGGTAATTTATGGAACTTTATATAATTATAATTTTTAGTTCACATGTATGCATGTGTAGTATCTTGACCTTTAGCGCACAGACAGACAGACGGACAGATAGAGTAGGACCTTAGTGTACTGGATACTGAAGCCTGTTGGAAGGTTTCAGATTTACTAATGTATGCAATACTTAGGGGAGTAAACACTTGTTCCTGATATTAAAGTACAGTATCAGTTTTTTTTTTTCATTTTACATTAACTCTTGAGTGGTTTTTTATACGCTGCTTTTTTTTAACACGTCTTTCTTTCTCTTCCATGATAATGGGAAAAGGTTAGTGATAACGACTTGACAAAATGTACAGGCTAAGATGCACACCAGGGCAGTCAGTTGTCTGTCTTCATCTTAGTGGTAGTGCTAAGATACATAGTTTTTTTTTTTATGGGTTTGACAAATTTAACTTGAAAGATAATTAGATACATACCATGTTTATTTTCATGTCTATGCTATATGTTTGAAACCCTTACTGGTGTTGGCAAGCCAAAATGAATTAATTTATTGATTGCTTCATCTTCTTTAGGCGATATTTTACGAGTGGTATATGCCAAGAGTTTTCCCAAGTGTATTGATTCTTTACATAAAATTTGTATTGATGTTTTTGTATTTTCATGGCTTCTGTGAACTGTGATTTATATAATTAGCCTTTATCAGTGTTTTTACTATTGTACATCCTTAATTATTTTGCCAACACTGTACTAGCCTAATTGTGCTTGCGGGGGTTGAGTTTCGGCTCTTTGGTCCTGTAAAGTCCTATTTAGTATTATACTGTGTGATATTTCAGTCCCATTTTGCCAATACTGCATGATACTAAGTGTACCGGTGGTGCTGATCCTGTCAGATGTTAAGTATAACGCACTGACAACGATATTAAGTGTGCCAAGTCACCATTTAGTTTTATTAAATTGGACTGTCTGCAACTTATGCAATTTTTTAATGTGCTCCAGTGATAGTCATAAATACATCATTATTATTATTATAAGTACTCTTATCACTTTGATTATTACACCTTATCATTTCTGTTCTCTTATTGGGATCCCTGGTGATATTTAGCGCCTTCTGATTATTTTGCCCATTTGATGGTGCTACATAGCCTTCCCGGTTTGGTGTCTGCTTTTGATAATTACTTACTTAGATTATTACCCTTTTACTTGGGTGCCTCCAGCCTTGGCACCAACGATTTCAGTATTAGTCGATTATGCACATCGCATCAGTACCCCATTTTAATTGTTTATTATGCATCCCATACTTATTCTGTTGGCTGTACCTTATCAGAAAATTAAATGTATGTTTCAACTCTTAATACAAGACCCACAGCACAACAATGAAAAATTATCTCTGATTAACTGTGGTCATTATCAAAAGGTTTTGCAATACAAAAATTACAAACCACTTTATAGTTTATATAATTTAATAGGTTTATATTTGACTATCTTATGACAACATTAATGTTTCATTGTGATACATGCTACTGAAGGTATCATTTTTCCTGTTTGTGGTAAATACACGTTTTGGGTGTTTAACCCTACATTAGTTCTTAGTGTGTTTAAAGGGAGCATTAAGGATATAGTGCATAGCACAGCAGTGGGCTGCATATTAATCCAATTGAGGTAGAATTGCAGACAGTTTTCCTTACATATTTGACTTTAATTTTTATTTAAACCTTTCAACTGCAAGAAACCAAATTGTTGAAGTAACTACAAGAAAGCACTAAACCTGGAAAGCTATATTGTATTCAAAATATTACAACACTCAAGTGGGATAGAGAAAATATGCAAAGGAGTTTTAACATTTAATTAGAAGAAATAACTGATACAGAAAATCAACACATTACATAATGATTACATAAAAAAAAAAATGGTATAACTGCTCAAACATGATCAGTGAACTCTGATATGCTGTACTGCTTACATAACCTGTAAAACATTACTCATGAAAACCCAGCATTGAATGTAATGAAATGCCTTTCTGGAGGAGCCACTGTGGCTGTCTGAAGCTAACTTGCCGAGATTGCTCTATGCTAAAAAAAAAAAAAAAGGTCACGTCAGTTGCAGAAGTTTACTTGTTTGGTCTACCCAGGGACCTGGCCCCACCAATGCCGGAACTGCAGACTGCAAGGCCTACACTCAGAGTGGATCCCAGTGATGCCACATCCATACTGAATTGCTCAAAGTACCCCTTCCATGATTACAAGACATGCAAGACGGCCAGCAAGTGCAAACACATCCTATGGTCTTAAATAATAAGGGCCCCAGACAGCACAAGCTGCTGCACATGGACCTGACACTTGCTCATATTCTTGGACAATGGCAGACAGCTAAAAAGCAGAGCAAGAGAAGCTCCACTCGGGAACACCTTTAAGATAGAGCTCGCCTGCCAATCAAGTAATTCACACGAGTCTGACAACCCCTGCCAGGTCCCAAGGAAAAGACAGGGTTGTCAGTCAGCCAGGATGAACTAGAGACCTCAATACTGTACTGCAACCAATAAGCAGGCAGAGACCCATAATTAATAAGAGGACGGGTTCATCCATCATAGAAGGTGCAGCACAGGAAGTCGGAAACCTCCAGAAATACAACACCCGAGACACTGAATAAGACTCAAAATTGAACCTGTGAGGAAGCAGCCAAGCGATCCAACTCATACATGGAGGGATGATGTGAAAAATGGTCTGCAGAGGGGACCAAAGTCGACAAAGGACTGAAGGACACCCACAGACACCTGTCATGCTCTCCCTGGGTGTTATCATGCACCCAAACAATTTATCCAAAACACAATCATTGGCCAATTAATCTGAGCTACAATAAACCAAAACAGGCACTTTCCTTAGTTCTGCAAGTTGTGGCAACAAATAATGGCTATTGTCAGTCACGATGCATTCAGCAACTTGCTGGTAGAGTTTGTGATTACGGTGGTAGGTCCAGTGTTGGCTCAACCCCATGACGCATCAACTCTACCATGTTCAGTGCACTTAACCACAATGGCCTCCCTTTCTCCCTTCTCGGGCGTCACCTCGAGGTGCGAATTTTATCGAGAAGGGTAAGGAGGGTTTTGTGTAATCTTGTATTGTTATTGAATGTTTAATTACATTATAATTTCATACATGTGATAAAGCACAAACACCAGTGCACTCAGCACAACCATAGAACCTCTCCCCGCCAAGGGACCAAACAGAGGAATCAAAGATCCGTGATTAGCCTGAAGTGAGGCTCTCCAGGCCTCTCGGGGATGTACTCTGAAACACACAAGAGAAGGTAACTGACAGCTAAGACAGCATTAGTGGGCACCTCATGGAAAATAACCCTGAGCAAGTGCAGCTTGAATGCAACATGAACCAAGGCCATACAAGCCAGGAAAAAAAAACACGTGAAGCCAATACTAAAATACAGAAACAATACACAAAAGCAAATGGTTCCTTTAGGCCAACAGAATCCAAGGATGGCTGGCACTTAGCTTGAAGCTGAAGGACTGGATCACTACAGGCAGCTCTACACACTGCTTCATCAGCAACAACTGATCAAGGGAGCTGACAGGGCTGGGCCTGGGCTATTTAGTGGCAGTATTTGGTACTAATGAGTTTCAAGCTAGTTTGTGTGAATTGCTTGGTAGTTTGGAGGCTTTGTTTTCTGTGAATTCTCCAGTTGTCTGAAAGGCTTTGCTGACTTTCTGGAGAGACTAGTGGGGAGGCAGAGTGTCACCCACTCACCAACCCTCAGGAAGGAAAGGGGGGCTGGGGACCAGATTCTGGCTGTAGTCACTGGTAGGCCTAACAGAACTTCTGCAAATGATGTGACTTATGTCCCCATGTAAGGCTCAATGTAAACTCCTCGTTCTCAATATTAGTTAAATCTGGCATCAAGTAAATCACAACTTCAATAAATTAGCCTAGGGTATACAAAGTATATGGGAAAAGAACCACTAGTTTACTTGGGTGACCTTGTCACATGTAACAAAAGCCATTTACAAATATTATATACAAGTACATTAAAGTAATAAGCATTGACACTTCAAACTCCAATTAGATGCTACTAAGTTAAACAGGTCAAGCTTCAGGTACATGAAACTCAACATGGGTACACTAGTGGTCACCTAGATGCTGTTCAGTTAACTAGTCACCAGCTTAGTTTACATAACACTTGGGTACACTGGTACACTAGTCTGCAGTTAAAGTGCATCCAAGTTAATGTGGTTAAGACGGAATCAATGTGCACTTTATCAAAACCTTGACGTCACTATGGACTATGAAATTCAGAGACAACAGACTCAACAAAGTTAAAGTCAATGGCACTCAAATACATAGGTCCCTCCCAGGGCCTGGCAATTTCAGTCAGTATTTTGCTGAAAATACTTTGTCCCAAATTACTTTGCAAATGACTAAGTCCCCACATGGACAACTATAGTGTATATGGGGGACTATACTTAATAAACTAAAAATCACATTCACTAGTACTCGCTGTATGGAACATAAGCAAATGTTCATTTATATAAGAGACTACAATAGTTAAATGATTACAAAACTGAGTAACCAACCACCTGGTTGGCTGCCCTGAATTATGACTCAGACATATCCCCACACTCACTCAAGCTGGCCAGTGTGCACACGAGTCTCAATCATTAAGAAGCAATTCAACAGTTTGGCATCATGCCAAACATACAAACAAAACCTTGAAATATTGTATAGTCTGACTTTCATATGGACATGTATTACATACACTGATATTATAGTGACAAAATATACTTATTACAAGAATATACATTTAGCTTAAACATTAATGACTAATTATATTCTAATTATAAAGATTGGACACTGTGTATATTAATATGCTGTATATACTGAGTCTGGGTCATAATAGTGACCTTTTGAGTTTGTAACAATTGTAGCAAGATAGCTTCAAGGAGCCACCGGGAGGCTCCCTCCAGAAAATCTTTATATACTCAGGGTTCACTATGATGGGCAACAAAAAGCTAACCCTGTCCTGGTTTTTGCCTTCTACCTCCTAACTAATACTTGGTCCAGCCAATCAGTGCCAGGTCTTAGCTCTGCCCACTATGGCTCCCTGGGCTTCCACCAATTGAACTCCAGGATAGGCTATAAGCCTGCCCTGAAGGGGTACGTTTCCTTCCCGCAGATTGGGAGGGAACTCTCCCTTTCAATCACATGATTCTCTCTAGTATGGTTGGAAGCTTCAGCTCTTCCCTCATGTTGTTGATTCTTGTGCACCTTCGGGCACCAAGAATTATCCTCATAACTTCATTCTGTATTACTTCGTTTGTAATTTTGTGCTATATAGTGTCCCCCAGCTTGGTGCCTTCTTTGGTAATTACAGTACTGTACTAGATTGTGTAAGCGTGGGAACAACTCCCGCTTGTTATCCATCTCTTATCCATCAGTTCTGGGAGCCACTTTTTTTTTTTTTTTTTTTTGGAGATATATACAAGAGTTGTTACATTCTTGTACTTAAGTGGCATGTCTTAGTACCTTTTCCAGTTTGTTGATTTGCTTCTTTAGATATGGGCACATACAACCGCTGCATATTCCAGCTTTGGTCTAACAAAAGTCGTGAACAAGTTCTTTAGTATTTCGCCATCCATGTATTTAAAAGCAATTCTGACGTTAGAAAGTGTAGCATAGGCCCCTCACACAATGTTCTTAATGTGATCCACAGGTGATAGTTTTCTATCTAGAACCATGCCTAGATCTTTCTTTATCAGACTTCAAAGATTTTTCACATAATTTATAGGTTGTGTAGGGTCTATGTTCTATTCCACATTCCATAACATGGCATTTATTTACATTAAATTCCATTTGCCAAGTGGTGCTCTATATACTTATTTTGTCCAGGTTTTCTTGAAGGATATAACAATCATCTAAGTTACTTATCTTCCCTATTATCTTAGCATCATCATCAAACATGTTTATATAATTCTATATTCCATCTGGTAGATCGTTTATGTAGACAATGAACAATACTGGTGCAAGAACTGAACCCTGTGGTACTCCACCTGTGACATTTCTCCAGTCTGATACACTTCGTCTTATTACTGCCCTCATTTATCTATCAGTCAGAAAATTTTTCATCCATGTTAGCAGCTTACCTGTCACCCCTCCAATGTGTTCCAGTTTCCAGAACAACCTCTTATGTGGAACTCTGTCAAGAGCCTTTTTTTTTTAGGTCCAGATAGATGCAGTCATCCAAGGTGAACACTAGAGTCATACATACAGCAGTCTCAACAAAGCCATTACTGGGTGTAGACAGATGCCTCCACACACCTCTTCCAGCCAGTAAAAAATGTACACGTTAATACATAATTGTTTTCTTACATTTTGCATAGAAATAAATACTGTACAAGAAAATATATTTTCTGGAATTTTGTTTATTTTTTTGCGTATGGTCAAGAATTACCATTTTTCAATAGCCGCTGTAAACGGGTTAAAGAATAAATGAAAGTACAGTATGTACTGTATTGTATTCAGTCCTTGGTGAAAATCCCCTTATTATCTGCCTCACTGACTAGGCCGAGTACCCTGTTATTCATGACTTCATTCTTGCCAGAAATAAGTTCTTTGAGAACTGGCTTGTTGACCAGTTGAAAAGTTTTCATGGTCAAATACTCGCCAATTGGTTTCTTAAATAAAGGAACAAGAAGTTTTGACATCCCAAGTTTCATGCCATCAGCAACAATTTTCACTGGTAACATAAAAGGTTTGTCCAGTACAGAAGGTTCTGGCTCTTTGTTTAGAGGACTGCATGTGTTTAGGGTTCCCAGCACCATAGTGAAACCTAAAAAGAATCCCAATATGTAAGTCTTCTCCCAGTCGATCATAAACTGTGTAAAGTTCCAGCTGGCAGCAGGAGACCCCAGCTTAGCAGCGAGCCTGGTGAACGTAGAGTGGTAGTGGTGTAGGAGCTCCTCTAGGTGGGTAGTTCTGATGGTGTGAGTCGTGGAGGCGTGTAGCAGATACTGAAGGTCAAAAAAAGGGCTTCCCCAGCTAGTGTTTCCCCAGTCAATGAGTTTTATTCCTTCAATCTCTTGATGGCTTCCATTTAGTTGAGGATCTTTGTATTTGTACATGATATTATTTATCCACATATCTCCATGAATTAAACATTTGATAGTATCTTCTTCAGGCAGTGCACATGTATACTTTTCTATTAAACTTTGTTTACATTCTTTGACTCTCTCCGTTACATCTTTTTTGTCACTTTGACTCTTAAGAAAGTCAATGGCAGTTTCTAGCACCGCTGACATGACTGGTTTAAATGTCAGTAGATGTTGTGATGTTGTCGGAAAACATGTGTATTTTTCCTGGAATGCATTGGGCTGATAGTATGCATGTGAAAGAGCGTGAATTCTCGCAATCTCTTTAATTATAATTTTAAGATGATCAAAATCTAATCCTTTGTACTTGTCATATGTCTCATAACCAGTAATCTTTATATTTTCCATTAGTAATATATTTTCCTTGTTTGTGCACTTACCATATATTAATTCTGGGATTGGTATACAAGGCTCCTCAGGTGCTTTAGCAGCTTGAAACTCATTCAGTTCCTTTATGATCTCTGCATATACTAAATACTCCCTCAAACTAGACTTCACCTCTTTGTTTATTTCACGAATCATCGGATTCAAACTGGAGAACTTGGCTACCAGATGGAGAATGATGGTATTGCGAGAGGTTTCACCTTCATTCACTGACACCTCAACATCCAGCAGCACCAACTCAGAGTTGAAACCATCACCTGGGCTTGTACCTGATGAAACAAACATTGAAAAACACACACAACAGCCAATGTAAATATAGCCCCTATGACAACTTTTCGATGCATCTGTTCAATTTCTAGAATTAGTAAGAAGCTATATTTTCTGTTTTTTACATTTTAGTGAGAAAGTGAGTGTGAGACTGTCATTACTGAAGTAACTTAGTGTAGTTACAGGATGAGAGCTTTGCAATAAAATTGATAGGGAAGAATTCCCGAGACCTGGAACTTCAAAAACAAAAGGTCATAGATTTAAACTAATGAAACAAAGCTGCCGGAGAAATATAAGAAAATTCACGTTTGTAAACAGAGTGGTAGACAGTTGGAACAAGTTAGGTGAGAAGGTGGTAGAGGCCAAAACAGTCAGTAATTTCAAAGCGTTATATGACAGTGCTGGGAAGACGGGACACCACGAGCGTAGCTCTCATACTGTAACTACACTGTCATATAATGCTTTGAAACTACCGACAGTCTTAGCCTCTACAACCTTCTCACTTACCTGGAGTGTGTTTTGGGAGAATTCTACTCCCAAAGCCCAGCCTGAGGCCAGACTCGACTTAACTTGTATGAACTTGTCTAACACTGTGAAATTGAATTTTCTAACATTTCTTTGGCAGCTTTGTTTAGTTAGCTAAATCTATGACCTCTTGTTCTTGAAGTTCCAGGTCTCAAGAATTCTTCCTTATCGATTTTGTCGATTCCTGTTACTATTGTAGTGATCATATTGCCTCTATTTTTTCTATCTTCTAGCTTTGTCATATTTAATACCTCTAGCCTCTCCTCACAGCTCTTATTTTTCCGTTTTGGAAGCCATTTTGTTGCATGTCTTTCCACCTTTCCAATTTTGTTGATTTGATAACACATTTGACAATGTTTTTAAGATTTTTAGTAGAGTATCATGCCCTGCACCTAATTAACTCCACCACCTCTGTTTTGAACAAACTAGAAAACAGAATGAAGCCATGAGGGTGATTCTTGGTGCCAGAAGATACACAAGAATCAACAACATGAGGGAAGAACAAACTTTCAACCATACTAGAGAATCATGCAAGTTAAAACAAATTTAATAATTAAAAGTCTTGACAGACCCCTACATCTCCTGCATTGCTCATTGACAAATTATTATTATGTCCTGTTAGCACAATATTTACTGGTGCCAACACACCACCACACATTAAAATTAATTTGTGTTATAATCCATATAAATACTTTTTTTCCATTGCCCATTATTCCTTAGATTGTTACCTAAAAAATATGTCTCACACAACACTTAACCGTTACCTTTTGATAAGGAGCCACTCGTAACATTATGCCCACCTATAGTACAATGCCCAAAACTGAACTTCATACTCTAAATAAAGTATCTTACTAACAATAATAAGGTAAAACTTATGAACAACATTAAATAACTTATTGCTAACACTTCTTATGAATTCTAGTATCAAATTAGTTTATTCTGAACATTTGTACACTTTTCTTGGCTTAAGATCCCTCTTGATCATAAGATCTTTTGCATTCAGATTTGGCAGTTTCATCAATATCAAGCTGATATTTGGTACAGTAACATTTTTACCAATACCTAGGCTTGGAATCCAGTCTTTTTTCAGCACTGAACTGCATCTGGTGGTAAATTCAATCAATCATCTCCCTCCTACCATCCATACCACTCATCAGCAACAAAGACTTCATTAAATCCATCATACTAGAGTTGAATTGACTGAGAATTCAGCTGCAATATATACATTATAAAACATCCAATTCTTAAACTTTGAACAATTCTGAGAAATGATAGTGAAAATGTATATTGGGTAGTTTAATCATAGTCTGCCTTGTGGTGTAGTCTCGGGGATAAATGACTTGCCGGCACTGTACAATATATTGTATGTACTGTATTAATTATAATTTATACTGCTGTACCTTCAAAACGTTTCAGGAAATGAAAGTTCTAGATTTGTGTTAGAGAGATGATTTTGGTGTAAATTTTTATATGTAAGAGAAAGGAAGTCAGTATTGTACAGTACTTGTGTTCAACAGTTGCTCAAGGTCACTTAATACTGAATTTAGACATTACAATTCAGAACCCGGATGAGAACAGCCCGAAATATTTGGTTCTAGGCACTTCGTGTATCAGTGGTTGGTGCAGGTGCCACACAACTGATTGATTTTGGATTGGCTTGTTTCCTTATACCTGATGTCTGTTCTCTTAGCAGTAAATAAGTTCCTGAGAGGTAGTTAACTGCTGTGGGTCATTTTCAAATTTAAAAGGATTGTGATATTTTTCATATTGATTTTGTGTAGAATTACAATTTAAAATTAAATAGAATACCATTAATCATGAATTAAAGACTAAGTAAGTAAGTAATTATCAAAAGAAGGCACCAAACCGGGAAGGCTATGTAGCAAATTGAAGAGTAAATGATAGTATTTATTCATGTTTTAATGAAAATCCCCTTCTTATCTGCTTCACTGAATAGGTCAAGTATCCTGTTATTCATGAGTTCATTCTTGACAGAAAGAAGTTCTTTGAGAATTGGCTTGTACATCAGTTGAAAACCTTTCATGGCCAAATACTCGCCAACTGGTTTCTCGAATAAAAGAACAAGACATTTTGCCGCCCCAAGTTTCATGCCATCAGAAACAAATTTCATTGGTAACAAAAAAGATTTGTCCAGTACAGAAGGTCCTGGGTCTTTGTATACAGGACTGCTTGTGTTCAGGGATGCCAGCACCAGTGCGCAGCCTAAAAGTAATCCCAATATGCAAGTCTTCTCCCAGTCGATCATAAACTGTGTAAAGTTCCAGCTGGCAGCAGGAGATCCCAGCTTAGCAGCGAGCCTGGTGAACGTGGAGTGGTAGTGGTGTAGGAGCTCCTCTAGGTGGGTAGTTCTGATGGTGTGAGTCGTGGAGGCGTGTAGCAGATACTGAAGGTCAAAAAAAGGGCTTCCCCAGCTAGTGTTTCCCCAGTCAATAAGTTTTATTCCTTCAATCTCTTGATGGCTTCCATTTAGTTGAGGATCTTTGTATTTGTACATGATATTATTTATCCACAGATCTCCATGAATTAAACATTTGATGGTATCTTCTTCAGGCAGTGCACATGTATATTTTTCTATTAAACTTTGTTTACATGCTTTGACTCTCTCCGTTACATCTTTGTCATTCTGACTCTCAAGAAATGCAATGGCAACTTCTAGCACTGCAGATATTACTGGTTTAGTTTTTATGAGATGTTCTGATGTTGTTGGAAAACATGTGTATTTTTCCTGGAAACTACTGGACTGATAGTATGCATGTGAAAGCACATGGATTCTCGCAATCTCTTCTATTACAATTTTAAGATGGTCAAAATCTAGTCCTTTGTGCTTGTTGTACGTCTCATAACCAGTGATCTTAATATTTTCCATTAGTAATATGTTTTCCTTCTTTGTACACTTACCATATATTAATTCTGGGATTGGTATACAAGGCTCCTCAGGTGCTTTAGCAGATTGAAACTCATTTAGTTCCTTTATGATCTCTGCATATACTAAATACTCCCTCAAACTAGACTTCAGCTTCTTGTTTATTTCACAAATCATGGGATTCAAACTGGAGAATTTAGCTGCCAGATGGAGAATGATGGTATTGCGAGAGGTTTCACCTTCATTCACCGACACCTCAACATCCAGCAGCACCAACTCGGAGTTGAAACCATCACCTGGGCTTGTACCTGATTAAATAAACATTGAAAAGACACACACACAATCTGTGTGTGTAATGAGTGTAATCTGTATGTAGAAGGTCTTTGATTTTCAGCAATTTTTGGTATTTAAATATATGCAATTGTTAAAAGTAAAATTGTTTTAAAAGTATTGTTTATACAAGGTACATTCTTTGGTAAGAACATAAGAATGATGGCAACTGCAGAAGGCCTATTGGCCCATATAAGGCAGCTCCTATTTATAACCACCCAATCTCATTCATATTATGTCTAACCTACACTTGAAATAATCAAGGGATCCTACTTCTATTATGTTACACAGTAATTTGATTCACAAATCAACAACCCTGTTACCGAACCAGTATTTACCCAGGTCTTTCTTAAATCTAAACTTATCCAATTTATACCCATTGTTTTGTGTTCTATTTTGAATTGATATTTTTAATACCCAATTAATATCCCCTTTGTTATGTCCATTCATCCATTTGTATACCTCTATCATGTCACCCCTAATTCTTCGCCTTTCTAAATAATGTAATTTATGCTTTGTCAACCTTTCTTCAAATGACAGGTTTCTAATTTGTGGGATTGGCTTATTACTAACACATTGATAGATAAATCCCAGTGTCCTATTTGCCTTATTATGAACATTTATGCATTGATTTTTTGGTTTAAAATTCTTACTAATCATAACTTCCAGAGCTCTTTTGCAATCTCGACACCATCTAGCTCGTATCTTTTAACTATCATTACATAGCCTCAAAACCTTACATTTGTCAGCATTAAACTGCATCTGCCAATCTTTTAACCATTTCAAAATCCTCTTTAGATCGCCTTAAAGTGACAAAACTTTTGCATTAACTTTGGTAGTGTGACACCATAGTCAGCAGTGTGACAGTGTATTACTGTCACCTTCTGGAGTACAGTGGTGTCGACTGTACTGGTTTAAGTGTTGAGAGACTGTGCTACAGTGCATTGTTATTGACTTTGATTAGGTGACTTGTTTGTCTGTTTTGCTTTGATTATATCTACATTAACTTGTGTTAAGTATAGCTGCTTGGCTTAGCCTTGTGCTAATTATAATGTAATGTTCTTGCATTTACCTACAGTACTGTAAAATTGCAATAGGTAAATCCATCACATATTTTTGGTATTATTAAATACATGTGAGATACTGAAGGAATCACACATTTTTGTAATAATAATTAGTTTAAAATTAATTTGTGTCATACTGTATAATCGATATACAGTACAATACTTGTTCCTTTCCACTGTGGCCATCATTCCTTAGATTGTAAACTAAAAAACAACTGTTCCTCCCAACACTGAGTGGACTGTTTCCTTTTGATGATAAGGAGCCATTCAATAACATTATGTCCATCTATAGCACTCTGCCCAAAACTGAACTTCATAATCTAAATGGGGCCTTACAAATTAAACATAAAACTTACAAACATTAAGTAACTTATCACTAACACTTTTTATGAATCCTATTATCAAATTTGGCTTATTCTGAACATTTATACATTGTTTTCATGGCTTAACTTCCCTATTGATCACAACAGCAAGAGTTTTTTATCCAGATTTGGGAACTTCAATATCCAGCTGATATCTGGTAACACTTTTACCAATAACTAAGCTTAGAATCATGCCTTTATCAGCACTCGACTGCATCTGCCAGATCATTCAATCATCCCTCATCATCCATACACACTAGCAACAAAAACTTCATTAAATCCATAACTGCATCATACTTGGATTGAATAGGCTAAGGATTCAGTTACAATTTATACAATATAAAAGATCCATTTCTGAAACTTTGAAAAATTCTGAGAAATGCAGTGGGTAAGTAATTATCAAAAGAAGGTATCCAGTAAGTAATTATCAAAAGGAGGAACCGGGGAGATTATGTAGCACCACCAAAGTTGCAGGATATTCAGAAGGCGCTAAATATCACTAAGGATGCCAATACGTACATACAGTATTGCTTAGTTTAATAATATTTTGCATTGTGGGTGTAGTCTCGGGGATAAACGACTTGCCAGCACTTTACATTGTATGTAGTACTATAATTGTAATTTACATTGCTACCTTCAAAACTTTTCAGGAAATGAAAGTTCTAGATTTGTATTAGAAATATGATTTTGGTGTAAATTTGTTTGAGAAAGGAAGATTTAGTACTATACTTGTGTTCGACAGTTGCTCAAGGTCATTTAATGCTGAATTTAGACATTATATTTTAGAACCTGGATGAGATAACAGCCAGAAATAATTTGGTTCTAGGCACTTCCTGTATCACAGTGGTTGGTGCAGGTGCCACACAATTGATTGATTTTGGATTGGTTTGCCAAGTAGTGCAAGATGCGTGGGCTCATTTCCTTAAACCTAATGTCTTTGTTCTCTTTGCAGTAAGTAGGTACCTGAGAGGTAGTAAACTGCTGTAGGTCATTTTCAAATTTGAAAGGACTTTTTTTTTTTAACATACAAGAGTTCTTACATTCTTGTAAAGCCACTAGCACGCATAACATTTCGGCAGGTTCTTAATCCTAATTTTTCCCAGAATACGACCCACCAAATCATTTAACAACCAGGTACCAATTCACTGCTGAGTGAAGTGAGGCATACAGTTAAGGATTGGTGCCCAGTCAATCCTCCTTGGCCAGGATACAATCCCAGGTCAAATTTCTTGCGAAGCGCGGGGTGAGTGTGTTACCACTGCTCCATGGGGACTGCTTGTGGATTGCGATATTTTTTTGTATTACTGATTTTGCAAAGAATTACATCAATTTAAAAATAAATATAATACCATTAACCATGAATTAAGGAGTAAATGAAAGTAGTATTGTATTCAATCCTTAATGAAAATCCCCTTTTTATCTGCTTCACTGAATAGGTCAAGTACCCTGTTATTCATGACTTCATTCTTGCCAGAAAGAAGTTCTTTGAGAACTGGCTTGTACATCAGTTTAAAAGCTTTCTTGGTCAAAGACTCGCCATTTGGTTTCTTGAATAAAGAAGCCAAAAATTTTGCTATCCCAAGTTTCATGCCATCAGCAACAATTCTAACTGGTAAGAGAAAAGATTTGTCTAGTACAGAAGGTCCTTGTTCTTTGTTTACAACACTGCTTGTGTTCAGGGTTCCCAGTGTCAGACTACAGCCTAAAAGTAATCCCAATATGCAAGTCTTCTCCCAGTCGATCATAAACTGTCTAAAGTTCCAGCTGGCAGCAGGAGACCCCAGCTTAGCAGCGAGCCTGGTGAACGTGGAGTGGTAGTGGTGTAGGAGCTCCTCTAGGTGGGTAGTTCTGATGGTGTGAGTCGTGGAGGTGTGTAGCAGATACTGAAGGTCAAAAAAAGGGCTTCCCCAGCTAGCGTTTCCCCAGTCAATGAGTTTTAGTCCTTCTATTTCTTGATGGCTTCCATTTAGTTGAGGATCTTTGTATTTGTACATGATATTATTTATCCACATATCTCCATGAATTAAACATTTGATGGTATCTTCTTCAGGCAGTGCACATGTATACTTTTCTATTAAACTTTGTTTACATGCTTTGACTCTCTCCGTTACATCTTCTTTGTCACTCTGACTCCTAAGAAAGTCAATGGCAGTTTCTAGCATTGCTGACATTATTGGTTTAAATGTCATGAGATGTTGTGATGTTGTTGGAAAACATGTGTATTTTTCCTGGAAACTACTTGACTGATGGTATACATGTGAAAGCACATGAATTCTTGCAATCTCTTCTATTATAATTTTAAGATGGTCAAAATCTAGTCCTTTGTACTTGTCATATGCCTCATAACCAGTGATCTTTATATTTTCCATTAGTAATATGTTTTCCTTCTTTGTGCACTTACCATATATTAATTCTGGGATTGGTATACAAGGCTCCTCTGGTGCTTTAGCAGCTTGAAACTCATTTAGTTCCTTTATGATCTCTGCATATACTAAATACTCCCTCAAATTAGACTTCATCTGTCTGTTCATTTCACGAACCATGAGATTCAAACTGGAGAACTTGGCTGCCAGATGGAGAATGATGGTATTGCGAGAGGTTTCACCTTCATTCACCGACACCTCAACATCCAGCAGCACCAACTCAGAGTTGAAACCATCACCTGGGCTTGTACCTGATGAAGCAAACAATGAAAAGACACACACAACAGTCAATGTAAATATAGCTCGCATGACAACTTTATAATGCATCTGTTCTATTTCTAGAATTGGTATAAAGCTATTTTTTCAATTTTTAACATATTAGTGAGTGTGTAACTACATAAGTAATTTCCTAAGTAGTTACAAGATGAGAGCTATACTTGTGGTTCCCATCTTCCCAGCACTGTCATATTATGCTATGAAATAAATGACAGTTTTGGCCTCCACTTTCTCACTTAACATGTTCCAACCATCTACCACTCTGTTTGCAAAATTGAATTTTCTTATATTTCTTCGGAAACTTTGTTTAGTTATCTTGAGGTTATCACGAGATGATTTTGGGGCTTAGCATCCCTGTGGCCCAGTCCTCAACCAGGTCTCCTTTTTGTTACATCCCAAAGAAGCAGTCCGTACCAGTTGTCTAACTTCCAGGTACCTGTTTACTGCTAGATAACAGGGGCATCAGTGTGAAAGAAACTCTGCCCATTTGTTTCCGCCTCCACCAGGGATTGAACCTGGAACCTCAGGACTACGAATCCAAAGCACTGTCCACTCAGCTGTCAGGTCCCTAGTTAACTAAAACTGACATCATATTTAAGTTCCAGATCTTAGGAATTCTTCCTTATCAATTTTGTTTATTCCCATTACTATTTGGTGCATAGTGATCATATCACCTTTTTTTCTCCTATCTTCAAGTTTTGGCATATTTAATGCCTCTAGCCTCTCCTCGTAGATCATGCTATTTAGTTACATGTCTTTGCACCTTTTCCAGTTTGTTGATGGGCTTCTTAAGATATGGGCACCATTACATACATATTCCAACAGCATAGATCGTGAACAACAACTTTAGTATTTCACCATCCATGAACAGTATTTATAAGCAATTCTGAAATTGGAAAGCGTAGCATAGATGCCTCGCACAATGTTCTTTATGTGGCCCCTCAGGTGACAATTTTTTATTTAGAACCACCCTTCTAAACAGAAAGTGCATTCAAACCTCACTTTGTACAAATGCACTTTGGAACTGTTCATTTAGTCTTTCACACATTTCCTTTTCCAATGTCTGTGAATCTGGTCCCCATTTCCTACCTCTGGATTTTATCCTTTACCTGCAATTAGCTTCTAATGAATTTACAGAACAGGACAGGTTCTGTTTTACATTTGTCCATTATCCCTTTCTTAACATTTCTTTGCCTCTTATTATTGCTGTGCAGTTATTTCTTGCTTGTTTGTATTGCTGGTATACGAGGGTTTTATCTTTTCTTATACCGATTCCATTTGTTTGTTTTTTGTTCTGCCCTCTTGCAGTTTCTGCTGAACCAATCCAGAGGCTCATAATCACAGATCAGAATCAGCCAAAGAGATTTATGTTATCGAGTGATTTTAATCTCAGATCTATAGACTGGGAGACATACAATGCAAGCCTTCAGAGAAAAATAGGAATCTTATTTTAGAGTAATCCAGTAGTAGAGTATCCAGGTAACTGCACATAGCATGCCATGATATCAAAAGAAGCAGAACTGTACACCAGTTTTAATGCTGTACACCAGCATTATAAGTTAATTCTAGATTTCACATTCGAAAAAAAAGTAATGCTTAATATTAGTTACAGGAAGGGAAACTAAGCCTGTAAACAGGAGTCATTAGTTGTCTACTACTGTAACTACCTGTGTAAAGCTAGTACGACAACCTTACTACCCTGCAGTGGTAAGGCTTAACATGAGCTATTGGAAGGAAAACTATGCCTGTTAACAGAAGAAGAAGCCATCTTTTACTGTACCCATCTGTGTAAAAGGAAAAGTCTACAGTACAGGGCCATCTATAGAAAAAAGGTGACTACTGTATATCCTTCTAAAAATTAAATACACAAATCAATATGATACTGTAAAGACAACAGAAAGAGAGAACTGAGAAGTTTGAATTCAAGATAATGGGAAAGTCAGCATTTTCTTTGAATTAGTTTGGGGATTATTATTATTATTGTTGTTATGAGAGGGAATAAATGTTATATATGCAACATTAGGTGATACATATAACAAACACTTAATTTTCATTAAAAGAACAGAGAAGATTGGTGGAATAATAGACAGGGAGCTGTAATAATGATGAGGTAGTAGATAGGGCTGTAATAATGATGGTGGGGTAGTAGATGGGAGGCTGTAATAATGGTGGGGGTAGTAAGACAGGGGGCTGTATAATAATGATGGTAGGGTAATAAACAGGTGACTAAAATAATGATGGTGGAGTAACAAAGTGTAATAATGTTGGTAGAGAGATGATGTTTTAATGAAGAAGTTGGGAAATATAACCAATGGTTGTGACTGGAAAATAATTCAGCAATAGCTTTCTAAGATGGGTAACAAGCAGTGCTGGTAAACCTACCACCGACAACACTGAAGGAGAGGATGGCGGTGTTTTTCCCAGGATACTTTTTGGACAGGTAGTGTGCTAACACGTCCTCCAGCCATGGCTTGGTGATATCCTTGCTGGAATTTGGAGCCTTCATTGTAGTCGACACCTACACAATCTCCAGTCCTCGCAATAGCCACTACTTCCACTACCTCCACCTCCCTCTACTTTCTATAGACTGTTCAGAATGCATTCACTCTTGCTGACAGATCAAACACACACGTCTGTTGAAGTTCAAGAGAAAAAGATATGTACAGTACTGATTATTACTTTAAGTAACAAGATGCACACTACAGTATTACTCAAACATACATGTCAGGACCAAATACCGACAGACATACAAAAAGATTCAATAGTTATCAATAATAGTGAAAAGATGTTTATGTTTAACAGTAATGTTATAAGGAGACATGAATGGATACTAGACATGCAGGTAAACAATAGGGATGATAACACTAAGTTTCTGTTTATACTCAACAAGTTACGGGGTTCCATGCTGCAGCTGCATACAGTTGCATACAGTACTTGGCTGGTCTTGCAAGACCAACCAAGTAATGGGCTCACTATAAGCAGTGTGTCTGGGCTTGAAAGCTACCATTTAGATTTTTAAGTGATATTTCTTATGTTTGTTAATTTCCCATATGCTACTGATGTTATCTTGCTCACACGAGCTTCTGGTCTTTTTCTCTTATTGGTTCTTGTAATTGCCTTCCCCTTATGGTGTAATTAATTACAGCTAGGCCTCTTATCTCCTTTACCCATTTTCATTACCTTACACTTATTTGGATTGAATTCCAGCTGCCTACTCCTAAAGTTTGCCAAGGTCTTACATTAAATGTTAGAGAGATGTGTAAATTTTTCAATCAAAATGATCTGCTAACAAATTTTAGCCAAATATCCCCAGTTTGCTAACTGTAGGTAGTAGTACTGGATTAAGGTCGGTGTGCAGGATAAACATATAAATTATAACACTACCTGGGAGCCGGTCGGCCGAGCGGACAGCACACTGGACTTGTGATCCTGTGGTCCCGGGTTCGATCCCGGGCGCCGGTGAGAAACAATGGGCAGAGTTTCTTTCACCCTATGCCCCTGTTACCTAGCAGTAAAATAGGTACCTGGGTGTTAGTCAGCTGTCACGGGCTGCTTCCTGGGGGTGGAGGCCTGGTCGAGGACCGGGCCGCGGGGACACTAAAGCCCCGAAATCATATCAAGATAACCAAGATAACCTCTCCACATTATGTCAGTTGCTTAATTTAGAAACTGTACTAGTGGTCGGTCTTGAGCCCATTGTTTGTGACGATGTGCATTGAATTATGTAACTAGCTCATCAAAACTAACTTGCTAAGCTAAATTAATTTTAGGGTTCAGTCTCAAAGGCATTTAACCCTTTCCACTATCGCACACAGGATGATTGATGAAGATTAAGCCACCTAAAAGGTGGCACGGGCATGAATAGCCCGTAAATGGTGGCCCTTTTGAGCCATTACCAGTATCATTAGCTGATACTGGAGATCTGTGGAGGTGCGACTGAACCCTGCGTGACGGGATATGTCTCCCGTGCACATAGGATGGGTATGGGGTGCATAATAAACTAAACTAACTCTGGGAACAATGGATGTCATACACGTTCGCTCGGGTCCCCAATTCTTAGCTGTGTCATAGCCCACAGCGACTCCTGGAAGATGTTGTATAACACCAGATAGCTAAGTACGTGTAGGCCAAGCATGCCATAATACATCGACATTTGCCAACCCATTTCGTTGCACATATAAATAAAAACAAACTTCTGTGATGAGCACCACCACATGTTGCCCGACACCGAGCTGCCAGACGCACGTTACACTGCCAGTATATTCTTAAACCCCATATATTACCTGCCATGACTCTCAAAAGCAAGTTTGTGCATAGCAAAAATGATCCCGAAATTATGCAAGACATCCATACATGACAACATTGATGGCTGTCGTTCCTCGCCCTGTGGTGACACTGTTCTCTACACTAATACAGCCAGGAGGACATGACGTCACGTGTCTTCATCACTATCATCCCATTTCTTATATTCCAAGCCCAGTCACTTGGGCTGGAAGGTAGAGCGACGGTCTCGCTTCATGCAGGGCGGCGTTCAATCCCCGACCGTCCAAGTGGTTGGGCACCATTCCTTCTCCCCGTCCCATCCCAAAACCTTATCCTGACTCCTTCCAAGTGCTATATAGTCGTAATGGCTTGGCGCTTTCCTTCTGATAGTTCCCTTCCCTTCTTCCCTTACATTCCAAGCGTGCTACATGTCCCTCACCTGACTAAGAACTATGCTATATAATAATCAATGGTTCAAGAAGCTATGTCTGGTCCTAGGAGACAATTCTGAAACCAAAATTATCAAGGAGCTACAACGAGCTGATCAAGCCAGAAGCGACAACACTCGCCCCTCGGGGCAAAATTAAAAAAATAAGAAATAAGCTGTGGGAGGGTTTGGCCAGGAATGGGTTAAAGTTATAAGGACCAATTAGATAGGTTCTTGCAAAAAGTGCCGACCTATCTAACTGGTTCTCGTCCGCCTTTGTTCCGGCAATATTCCTAATGCTTCTTGGGAGTATATTGATCAGCTGTGGACCTCTGATGTTCAGTGTTATCTGTACCTATGGCACCTCTATTCCTGACTGGTTAAGACTTTGATAAAGCCGCCTTCAAACGCCATAGCAACTTCAAATTCATTTGACGTTTTGGAGGACGAGTGCTGTGGAGAGACTGTGGATCGCGCAAAAGGGAAAGCAACGAAGAGAAAGGAAGCGCAGGCCCCTCAGAAAGTAAAGGAAGTACCTAAGCAAACATTAGTTGTGGGAGATTCCCAGATAAGGTATTTGGATAGAACGTTTTGTGCTAGAGATAGGGGGAACAGGTTAAGGGTTTGCTATCCCGGAGCTGGCATTGGTGATATTATAAACAACATGAATGATATTATGGCTGGTAATGGGAACAATCCCATTATTTGCATTAGCGTGGGAGGAAATGATGTTGGTCGAGTCAGGAGTGAGGAACTGATTCAGAGGTATAAAACAGCCATAGAGTTAGTTAGGAGCAAGGGAGGAATCCCGATCATATGTGGCATTCTTCCAAGAAAGGGAGTGGGAAATGAATGGATATCGAGGGCACTTGGTGTCAATTGCCGGCTGGAAAGATATTGCAAATCAAATGCAATATCTTTCATAGACAACTGGGAACACTTCTATGGAAGAAATGAAATGTATGCTCGTGATGGGGTGCATCTATCGAGAGCTGGGGTTGTTGCTGTTGCGAACTCGCTAGAAGAAGTGGTTAGAGGTGTTTGTTTGGGTTTAAACTGTTAGTAGATAGAGGTATGGGAATTGATTTGGAGGAAGGAGGTAATAAAAGTATGTGTTTGTGGGAGAAAGGAATTGGCAAAACGATCAGGGAAAGAGAAGGTCCGCAAAATAACAATTCACTTAGGGTATATTACACTAACAGTAGAAGTCTAAGAAATAAAATTAACGAATTAAATGCTCTTGTCTGCACAGAAAAAATAGATATTATTGCACTTACCGAAACGTGGATGAATGTAGAAAATAGAGAACTATTAGCTGAATATCAAATATATGGATTTAAACTATTTCACACAGATAGATATATTAGACGAGGAGGTGGAGTAGCCATATATGTTAGGGACAATTTGAAATGTAGTCTCAAAGAGGGAATCAAAACAGAGCCACACACAGAAACTATTTGGATTGAATTAAACGAAAAAGCTAATAATATTATAATAGGAGTAATATATAGGCCACCAAATTTAGACAGAATGGAAGCAAAGCATCTATGGGATGAAATATCTAGAGCATCTAGATCTAACAGTATTTATGTCATGGGTGACTTTAATTTTAGCGGAATAAACTGGTTGAACAAAACAGGGAATAGTGAAGCAGAAGATTTTCTAGAATTAATTGACGATTGCTTTCTTACGCAACACATTAAGGAACCAACACGGGAAAATAATATTTTAGATTTAGTGTTAACTAACAGGGAAACGCAAATTAATGACATCGAAATAGGGAGTGAGCTAGGGAGCAGTGATCACAAAGAAATCAGATTTAGCATAGAATGGAATAGACCAGTAGGAGAAAATTCTGTTAAAGTGCCAGATTTTCGAAAAGCTGATTTTAATAGCCTAAGAAATTTTTTGGGTCAAATTGATTGGAAAGGCTTGGGTATGGGGTGTGGGCCGGTCTTGGAGCGAGACATGAACCCAGCGATAGGTGACTTAAATGGGGATTTCGATGTGGATTCAATATATAACTTATTTAAGAATATTCTAAACAAAGCACAGGAACGTAGTATACCATACAAATTGAATAGATCGTATACTAATGACCCAAAGTGGATAACAAAGAATTTGAAGAACCTTATAGGTAAAAAGAGAGCTTGGTACAAAAGGATTAAAAATGGGGAGGTCACTTTAGAACAGGAATTCGTACAACTGGTTAGAAATGTTAAAAAAGAGATAAGGAAAGCAAAAAGAAACTATGAAGTTCGCATAGCAGGGCAAGCAAAGACAAATCCTAAAGGGTTTTTTCAGTTATATCGTACTAAGACTAGGGAAAGGATAGGTCCATTAAAAACTGAGACAGGTCAAATAACAGATAGTGATGAAGAGATGAGTAGTATTTTTAATAAATATTTTGTATCTGTATTTACTAAAGAGGAACTTAACAATATGCCTTCAGCCGAACAAGTCTATGTGGGTGGGGACGAGGACAGGTTGACGAGTTTAGCAGTTACCAGGGAGGATGTTCTTAAACAAATAGTAAAACTCAAACCAAACAAATCCCCAGGGCCGGATGAAGTGTTTGCTAGGGTGCTTAAAGAATGCAAAGAGGAGCTTTGTGACCCACTGTCAACCATATTTAATAAATCAATAGAGTCAGGCAGAGTGCCAGAGTTTTGGAAAGTTGCTAATGTGATACCAGTTTTTAAGAAAGGAGATAGATCACTTGCGTCTAACTATCGACCAATTAGCCTAACGTCTATTGTGGGAAAGTTACTCGAATCTATAATAGCAAATAAAATTCGTCTTCATCTTGAAAAACATAAATTAATAATTGAGTCGCAACATGGTTTTATAAATGGCCGTTCATGTTTAACAAATTTGTTATCTTTTTATTCTAGCATTGTTGAGGCAGTTGATAGTGGTAAGGATTGCGATGTTGTATACCTT